ACACTGATAGAGAGCTTGCTCTGGGCTCAACACCTTATACCTGTCATTTAATCTTTACAACTATTCTGCCAGGTGTGTGTTATTAAGAAACGTATAGAGATGGAAGCTGAGACTTAGAGACGTTAAATCCTAAGGTCACATAGTTAATAGGTGGCAAAACTCACTTTACTACAAGGAACCGTGTATAATGGGTTTCAGATTCCGATCCTCTCACTCTGTGTGTATACTTGTGTATACCTCATTTTCTAAATTATCGTAACTTGTAGTAAATCCTCTGCTTTGGTGCCGGAAGTCCACCACATTTGTTCTTGTTGCAAATTGTCTTGACTACTTTAAGACCTTTGCATCTCCATACCAATTTTAGAATTAGCACATCAATTACTGCAAAAAATATCTGATGTGATTTTAAATGGGATTGCTAATGGCTAACCCTCAAACTTAGTATATCTATCCATTTATTTAGATCTTTGCTCTCAGCAATAATATGTAGTTTTCAATTTAGAGGTCTTTCACAACTTTGCCAGAACTATTACCAGGTAACTAATTTTTTCCCTTGATGGTATTACAAATGATTTTTAACTTCATTTTAAAATTGTTTGTTACGTGTATATACAAATACAATTGGTTTTTCCGTACTCATTCAGTAATCTTGATAAACTCACTTATTAACTCTAATAATTTATTTGTACATTGTTTTGGATTTCTTTCTGTACATAATTACGTTATCTACTCATAGAGTTTTACTTCTTTTTCTCCAGCTTTATTGAGATATAATTGACATATAACATTGTGTAAGTTTAAAGTGTACAATGTGTTGATTTGATACACTTAAATATTGTGAAATAATTACCACTGTAGTGTTGCCTAACATCTCCATCATCCCACATAATTACCAGTTCTTTTTTGTGGTCAGAACATTTAAGATCTACTCTCTTAGCAACTTTTAAATATATAATACAGTATTTTTACTTCTTATTTTCCAATTGTTATAAACTTTATTTCTCTGTTTTGCCTTATTGCATTGGTTGAGACTTCTAGTACTATATCAGATATTATTGGTGCTTGTTGATAATCTTATGTTGCTTGTGACCTCAGGGGGAAATGTTCAATATTTCATCATTAAGCATGATGTTAGCTGAAGGATATTCCTATCTATTTCCTCGTTTGCTAAGAGGTTTGTTTGTTTGCTTGTTTGTTTTTTTATCATGTATTGCTGTTGAATCTTATGAAAGTATTTCTCTTTATCTATTGAGATGACCTTATGACTTTCCTGCTGAATGTTAACATACCAAAACACATAGATTGATTTTCAAAGCCCTGTAACCCTAGAGAAAGCACCATTTGGTAATGATGTATTACTTTTTAAAATATATCGCTGAGTTAGTTAGATAATATATTTCAGGGTTATCTCATCTATTTTTCTGACATATTTTAGCCTGTAATTTTCCTTTCTTGTAACGTATGTATCAGATTTTGGTGTCTGAGTATGCTGGCCTCGTAAAACAAGTTGGGAGCATTCCCATCTCCTCTACTTATGAAAGAGTTTGTGTAAGATTGATATCACTTCTATCTTAAATGTTTGAAAAGATTGACAAGCCATCAGGGCTTGAAGATTTCTTTGTAGAAAAGCTTTTAGTTACACATTAATTTTCTTTAATAACCAGAAAAATACTCAGATTTATTTATGAGTTTATCAATTTTATTAACCTTTCAAAGAGGAAATTTGGCATTATGGATTTTCTTTATTGTATATCTTTTCTATTTTATTCATTTCTGCTCTTATCTTATTTCTTTCCTCATACTTTTATAAAGTTTAATTGGTTGTTCCTTCTATAGCTTCTTGAATTGGAAGCTTACTTTATTGATTTCAATTTTTTTTTTATTTTCTAAAATATACATCTAAACCTACAAATTCACCTGTAATCACTGTCTTAACTGCATCACACCAGTTTTAATTTGTCAATTTTCATTTTCATTCAGTTCAAACATTTCCTAATGTTCTCTGTATTTTTTATTTGACTCACGTGTGTTATTTAGGAATATGTTGCTTAATTTCTAAACACTTAGAAACTTTTAAGTTATCATCCTGTTGTTAATTCCTAGTTTAATTATAATGTCATCATACTTTGTGTTCCAGAATGTGGTCAATTTAGGTAAATATTTTATGTGTACTTTAAAAGAATTTGAATTATTCAGTTTTGGGCTATAATTTTCTTATTTGTTAATTAGGTCAATTTAGCTAATGGAATTGTTCAAACCTCCTATAGTCTTCTTCTTTTTTTTTTTTTTGGTCTACTAGTCTCATCAGTTAGTGAGAAAAGTGTGTTGACTCCAGTAATGAGAGTGGATCTAAGTTCTATCAATTTTGTTTTACAAATTTTGAAACTGTGTTTATAGATGCACAAAAATTTAGGGTTATTATGTCTCACTGTTGAACTGATCTTTTAACTTATGAAATGTCCTTTTTCTCATAATATTTCTTTCCTTAAAGTCTGTTTTGTCTGATATTAATATAGCTATACCAATTTTCTTTTGTTAGCCTTTTCATGGTATATTTTCCCTTTCAATCTCTCTGCTTCTTTATATTTAAAATCTTTCTCTTGTAAACAGCATATAATGAGTTTTCTTTTATTATCTTGTCAGACAATCTTTGCTCTCAATCACAATATTAGTTCCATTTACATTTAATGTAATTATTGATATATTTGGGTTAAAGTTTATAATTTGCTATTTGTTTTCCACATACTCCATCTGTTCTCTGTTCTTTTCTTCACTTAATATTATATCACAGAATGACCCATGTTTCTACACTCACTTCATACATTTTGTTTTTAATTGCTCCACTATAGCCCTTGTTTTGATGTTTCACGTCTTATTGAACCATTAGCTATCATTTGGTTCTTCCAATAACTTTGCTATTACAGATAATGCTGCACTGAACATCTTTGTATACATCACTTTCTACTTTATGTGTTATTTCCTTAGAGTATATTTCCAAGTGTGGAATTACGGACTCAAGGGATAGAAACATTTTTATAATCCTTAATACAATTTGTCATCTTGCTTTCCCTAAAGAATTATTCCAATTTATAAGGTTATTTGCAGTGTGTAGCTGTAGTGATTTCATTGTAGTCTTGCTAGCATTGTGAGTTCCCTTTTTAATTAAAAAAAAATTCCTATACAGAAAAGAACTGAAGGAGAGTCAGAATTATGATTACCAATGCCATTTCTGTGTGTGAGTAAACAGAATAAGAGAAAGCCATTTATGAATGTGCTCGTTTCAGCTACAAGCTGGACTAAAATTCCAAATTGTCCTGCTTCTACTTTGCACACATTTGGGCTTTGGCAATAAGACCCCATAAATAACTGAGTAAAAGAACGCATATGTACGACATAGTATGTGAACTTGCATATACATTTTATTTGAGTCTAATAAAACTATAATTCACAAATAAAACCAAAACAGATTTATAGAATCAGAGGGAAGATAGGAAGAGAGAAAGGAGACCCAACTGAAAATATGCTTAAGGGCAGAGTGAATACATGTTTCTGAGTTACACTTAAACCTTATCTTGCATGAATAATCTCAAAATAGAGTGTCTGCATCACTAAACATAATGAACGTTTTTTTCCCAGGTGGGTTAGTGTTGAGGCGCAGTGGAAAGGAACTCTTAAAACTGTAATCACTTTTCAGAGCACTTAAGGAGACGTTATCTTATTTGAGTACAAGTACCCTGTAAGGCACGTATTTCTAATTTTTTTGTAGAGGAGTAAATTGGAATTCCCTAGAGATGAAATGATTGATCTAAGGCCACATAGTTGATAGCTAGCAGAGTGTTAACTCAAACTTGTGCCTGTGACCTTTCCACTACGTTTAAGGATTTCTGTCAACAACTGTTATTAAAATCTGGATCTACTACGGAGTTCTTTTTCAGAAAAAAATGATGAAAATGACCTTATTGAAAATTGAAACTTTTCCAAAGAATTAAGCCAACAGATTTATTGTAACATGATCTAAACGGGCATGAAATTCAGGAGATTCCATCATTGAAAAACGCGATAGAAACTCCGTAAAAACCTATTTTCTTGACATTACAGCTCTGTGATCTGGACATAGCAGTTCAGAGTCATAGGAAAAACACATGAAAAATAACAGCAGAGCCTAAAATAATAGTATAGTGATGACTTCATTTATAATCAGCATCTCTTTGGGTTTTCCAAATACACTAAAAAACTAGTTTTTGAAATTTAAAAAACAATGCTGTGAAACTTCATTGTAGATGATGGAAACTGGAAATTTGTTTTAAATAAACAAGTCTATTTTTTAGTTATTTGTTTTCTCCTAAAAACACATGAAGTCTTTCCTCAATTCATGACAAACGTTAACTAACCTACTACTAAGAGCAGAAACATTTTAGCCTGTTACCCTCAGGGTGAATACCTATAAGCTGTCTTTCGAAAAATCTTTCATGTCCGTAGATAATCTCTTAATTTGTCTCATTCTACTGTTTTAGAAACAGTACACTTATTCGTACTTTCAATCCTTCTCAATCATATTATTATAAGACAAAGCTGAATTTGAAAAAGGCTAGATATATGCGTGGATCGTATCTACCATAATTTTATCATCTTCCTGCAGTAAATTCATATTAAAAACTTTTTAAAACCTTATAGCTAAAGAAGGCAAATCTGGTCCAAAACGTGAAGTATTTTACAAAAATCTTAGGTGACTTTTAAAGAGTATTTAGAATCAAATAAGTCTGCCCATTTCTTGCCCCTGCTGTCTTATGTTTTGGTTCATATGCCAGGGTGACAAAATGAGTCTTTCTTTTTTTATTATATCAGCTGACAGCTGTAAGCAATCAATCTGATTCAACCAGCCAAAACTAGATTTCCCTCCCAACCAACACTCCTGCATCTAAAGCTTGTGTTTCTTGGAACAAAACAATGTGTTTATGTGAAAAAAAGAAAAATAGAGGGATCTTTTATTTACTCTCCAGGAGGTGTTTGGTTACAAGACCCAGAATCTACGCAGAGCCTTCTGCCTTATAGGATTTGTGCTGACCTGTGGGGTCCTTCTGCTGGCGTTCATCTGGAGACCCCAGTGGTGGGTGTGGGCCAACTGCATCCCGTGTGCATTGCAAGAAGCAGACACTGTGTTGCTAAGGACAACGGTGCGTGCCCTTCTGTGTTGCGTCTGTGGCACAACCAATGCCTGGCCAGCATTCCAGAGAGTATATCTTCCTCTATTTAAAAAATTTTCCTGTCCGCAAACAGGAGATGGCAAGACTTTCCCTGCAATCTACTTGCCATCTCTTATTTTGACCCAGGAATGAAGGACATTTCCTCCATGTCAGCCTGGGGAAATTTCTACCATGTCAGGCTAATTGGCTGTGCTCTTAGCCATTACATGAGCAGTGGTTGTCAGTGTTAGAACTCTAAGACATAACAAGGAAATGATTGCTCAGTTTTTCAAATATATGCATTTCGAGAGAAATGAGACATTTTAAATTTCTAAATGTCATTTTAAGATAGCCAGAAACTATTTTCTAGATATAAAACTTTCCCGCAAAGTGTGTCTTTCTCTTTATTTTCCAGCACACTGATGCTCAAATTTTAGTGCAAATCAGAATCACCTGGAGGGCTCCTTAAAACACAGACTGCTGGCCCTATCTCCAGAATTTCTGATTCAGTAGGTTTGAGGTGGGACTGAGAATTTGCATTTCTAGCAAGTTCCAAGGTAATGCTGATGCTCCTGTCTGCAGCCCAAACTTTGGGAACCATTGGTCTAGCACTTGGTAGATATTTGGTTAATTGAGAGCCTTATTGAATAACATTTGAGAATTGCATGGGCTGGATTGTCTTTTCTAGGACGAGTTTCAAAGATATATAAGGAAGAAGGTAATCTGTCTCTACTTATCCACACTGAAGTTTCCTATAAGCAAGAATCCAGAAGAACTCCTGGTGGTTGACCGCCACTCTGTCATAAACCAAGCCGTATCGAAGCCAGAATTAAAAGTAAGTGATTTTAAGGATGCCTTGTTATGGCATGTTTTTGCTAAAAATGAATAATGTCAGTGTTTATTTGATGAAAGTCTGAGTATCACACTACTGGGCTGGCAATTACAGCTCTGTATCAAGGAAAGTGCGAGCCGCCTGAGGACCTGCATTTAACAACCCTCCCCTCCCCTGATGGGCTTTACTTTGTGAATAACATCTGTTCTATCACATTTGTCATTGCAGCTACGATATATCCAAGTGCAGAAAATCAGGTATGTTTGGGACAACTTGGAGAAGAGATTTCGGAAAGTTGGGTAAGTGACTTTTTCTCAGCACTACATCAGGATATAAAGGAAGCACACCGTTTGTTGAGTACCGTGAACTGAGGTGTGGTTCCTGTTGCGCCCACATCCTAGGTCGCTGGAAGACAGCAACACCTGCTACGACATCCATCATACGTTTGGACCAGGTCTGACCAGTGAGGAGCAAGAGGTCAGGTAGGGTTTGCGGTACTCTCTGAGTGAACTCTGCCAGCAGAAACTGAAATATCAAATGGTTTATGATTAGTGAATTGTTAGCATAATGCTTCACCAACTTCCTATAATCCCAGTTCACTTACTGGCATCAGGGAGATATTCTAAATTGTTCACCTCGTGGGCAAACTTATTAGAAAGAAAAGAGAACAATGCAATCAAATAACATTTTCTCTTTTCTCTCAGGATTGTAGATCAATCTTCTCTGTGTTGTCTTTTTTAGTCTTTCCTCGAAAAATCTTAAGCCATTTCATAAACATCAGCTTCTTCATCCTCCAACTCCTCTGAGAGACAGAAAGACAATATTATGATTGCATTTTACTTTGGAGAAACAGCCCTGGAGATGAGGATTTTGTTTGTTCATTTAGTTGTGTTGTTCACCACTGTATTTCCAGCACCTAGAACAGTGCTTGACTCCTGGTCAGAGCCTGATGGATATTTGTGGAATGAATGAATAAATGAATGTGTTCATCGATCTATTCACTAAATGCCTCTAATATGCCAGGCACTTTGAAAGGCACTAGGAATCTAAGGATAAATAAGACTTTGTCATTGTCCCAGAGACATTCTCTGACTAGTGGGACAGAGAGAAAAAGAATAGTGGTACAATTGTGAGAAGAATATCTATAGAGCCACACAGATTAGGACATAGTAGTATAATCATAATAGCGTAGGAAATTCTGATGCTACTCACTAACTTACAATGGTCTAGAGTCCCTCCTCCCTCATCTGTAATTTGAAATGGTGAGTCCTGGCGAGTCTGAAAGGAACCATTGCAAGCCTTCCCCAGAATCTTATAATCACATTCATTTCTTGTCCAATTTTAGGGGCATTATCTGTCTGACCTTCTTCACAATCATAAACACTGATTCTAAGCGAAGAAGCAATCTGGTACTTAAAATACAGGTTCTCGGGCTCTCCCCCATCATTCTGAGTTAGTAAGTGGGAACTAGGGGTAGTGGTGAAAGAAGAAACTCTGCATTTTTAGCAAGCATCTCCATAATTCATATACACACCAAGTCTGAGAATTACCGATCTGTTGTCTTTAAGTTTTCCCTCTGCCTGAACACTATGAAAAATGAAGCGGGCATCTAGACTGTGACAATATCGCAAAATGCCTTAGAAGTGGTATCATTATATAAGATATCAGATGCAATCCTTAATATATTGAAATACAAAAAGTTTTCAAAGTCATTAAAAACATATTGATATAATAGCACCATGCACAAGACTTTAAAGGATATATCTAGGGCATTTAGGAAATCTCATTGATAAATGTAGATATACGCTGCCTAGGAAACCATTTCTGCAGGAAAGATTTCCCATCAGTGTAGCTACCTCACGTTTGTCCTTATTTATCAAGTGTCAGGCTTTAATAAACATCATGCATAATTAAATTTAAATCTGGTCCACACAATAAAGAATGTGACAATCTAATAAGCAAGACAAAGAGTATAGTTTCCCAACTATGAAGAAGAGAGGAGATAATCTACTTTTGAACATATAGGCATATTTTATTTTATGGGCTTATCTATTTGGAGGGTAAAGAGAAGAAATAGAAGGTGGAGTATTTTTCCCCCTAATTTTTCACCTCAATTTTTAGTGTAAGACTAAGACCTTTTTTAAAAAAAATAAATGTGATTGATTGAGTGAGTGAGTGATAGCAACTTCCTCGAGCTTGCTTGCATGAAAAGCAAGGGTACAATATGAGAATTATAAAAATCTCTGGTGATGACAAGCCACAGAGTCTAAATCCAACTTTCCCTTAGGCTTCCTAGCAACTAGGCAAAGAAGGAAAATGCACAGATTTACGTAGTTCTCACTTTTCAGCAGCAAAAAGCAAATCAGGACATCAGGAGTGAGAACTTTATCCTGGAGAGAAACTGTCAGAGGGCATCAGGAACAAAGCAAAAAAATTATTCCAGGAGGTTCCGTGATCCTGGCTTCCTTCATTCACGAATGAATGCAAATTTTCCTCTTAGTACCTGTCCTAGACAGGTTCAGAGACACTTGAGGTAATTCTCTTATCTTAGGAAAACAGGAGCCCATGGAAAAAAGCACACCTACTTCATTCCCCATCCATCCAAGTAGTCCCCCTATGAAGACAGTTTTTAAGGAGAGCATCTCTTCATCTTCTTTTCACTCAGCCCACCTTCCCCTGCCACTTTTAAAATAGAAGGGGAACTTTCTGACAGCAGAGATAGTAGGCACCTCCTAACTCGGGTTCAGCTCCAGACCACCAATAACCTTGTTGATAACCCAGCTCTCCAGGAGACAACAAACTGTGATGGGTAGAGTTTGCCAATTTCTATAATGGGACTACTCCAACTATGGCTGATTTCAAGCCACTGATGTGACATCTCTGGAGCTGGAAAGAGATGCTCAGAATTGGGTCAGTGACTCTGCAGGGCCAAACTTAATTTTCAACATTCGTCACACCGTTGAGAAAAAAGCCATGCCTGTTAGTACCAGAGGAAAGAAATTCCACCAGTGCTCAGCTCCAAGCCAGTGGAAGCTATTCCAGGAGAAGAGAGAATGTTGGAACAGAGAGAAAGAAGAATTAAGAAGGAGGCAGGAGAGAGAGAAGGAAATTAGGGCTGGTATGAGACCCTACTTTTTTACTCCTCCAGTCTTGCAGGCAGCAAAAGTCAGAAAAGAAATCATGCTTATAAACATCAACTGTATCCCCTTTGAAAGCTCCATCCCTCAGAAACAGCCTGATTGTAGACACTGGGCCATCAGATCAGTTCCTTGGAAAGGAGCAAAGGAGGGTTAGTTGCAATAGAAGAGAGAGAATTCACTCATTCTTTTGGAAACCAATAAGATTATCTCAACTCTTAGCATTCAGTTAGAAGTTAATAAGTTACTTAAAAATATGACTTTGCATAGGTCGTTTAACAAAAATTAAACAGACTACTGAGATCAACATTCTCTTTTGAATAAATTGGGTTTGTCAGACCCCTGGTTCTATGGGTCTGGAGCCATTGAATGTATGAAATCACTTAACTTCAGTGCCTTGTTTCAGAGCAAAGCCCTATGGCAACGTCAGTAAGCCCAAGTCCTGGGTGTCCCTGTGGACATCCTGCCTGGGATTTTTCCACCCCCGCCTGTAACCCCATGCCCTCCTGGCCCTCTGCTCTCAGATCCTTGCCTAAAAAAGCTGACTGGAAGCACCTCACATAAGCCTGACTTTCTCTGAGGCTATCTGGAAACGTGCTTTCAGAAATGAAAGAAATGGGCACATCATAGATGGTCACTAATGTGAAAAATTAAAATGCCGCTTATGTCTTCTGTAAAATGGAGCTTCTCTGTATAAATGCTTCATTGAAGTGTAGAAGCAGGTTCAAGCCCTGCTCAAATAAAGTGTTTTTTCTCCCAGAAAGCAATGTCTCTAAACATACCAATCTTGTTATTATTAATTTTTTTAATGGGAGGGCTCTAAGACCAACGTACTTCTTATACTATACAACCATACCCAAGTCCCAGCAATTGGATGCCTCATTCTATGCATCTTTGGATTTCTTGGCTCTCTTTTCCTTTATAAAGCAGAAGTGTTAGAAAAATGAGGGATTGGCTAGCAGAATCACCTCAGAACTTTTTAAAACTAGAAGTCTGCTCCCTAAAAATTCCAAAGTTCACAGAAGCAGCTTGTGCCAGAATCCCCTGACTCAGCATTAATTGTTCAGAAAACTACAAGGCTCTCTGCCTGCCCAGAGTTCTACTGGTGGCTATCAGGATGGAAGCACAGTGGTCATGTGCAGTTTGCAAAAGCTCAGCAGTGATTCTGACGCGGTCCTCCTGCCTCCTTGAAGACCCTCTCTCTAGCCTTCACCATCTGGAGCCTAAAGTGCCTAGCACACAACATATTCTCAACAACTATTTAGTGAATAAGTTGATACACAAAGGAATGAATTAATGAATGAGCAAAAATCAAACTGAAAAAGGTCATAGACCATCACCCAAAGAAAGTCTTCCTAGTCATCCACGTTTGGTTTTTCAGAAATAAATGCATTCCAGCAGATTTACTAATATCCATGGATTGCAGAAAACCTCAGTGATCCTCCAAGTCTAGCTCACAGGCAGTGCGGAAACGTCCTCCACAACTTCCCTGCGAAGAAATTCTTCAATCTCTTTTGGAGCGGGATCTTATATCTCCAAAGCAAGTATTCTCCTACTGAATAGTTCTGAATATTAGGCAGTCTACTTAGTTTTATTCAGCCTATTTAGTTCTATGAGGCCACCTGGAATAATTGTAGGGCTTCTTTTTCCTGCCAGCGTGTCAGATTTTTAAGGTCAGGGCATGTACTCTCCTTTATTCCTTGGAATTTTCCCTGTGGGACCCAGCTTCAAGCTTCGTGTTCCTTCTGGTTGCTCAGCCATTGGTTAATGTCCCTGAAAAATCTGCTTGGCTTATGCTGAGGTTGAGATGAGTACACGAGCCCTGAGCACACAAGACTTTTTGACAAGAGATGGTGGAAAAGATGAAGCAGCAAGGGGCATGCTAGACTTGGTTCAAACTTGGCCCAGATGAACCCTGAGGAAGGTAGTCTATGGGCAAGTATCAATCCTCTTGATCTCAGTCCTCACGGGTGCTGAGCTCCTCTCCCTTACTGGTAATATCAGAAACCATCTCCCCAGCCAGGGAAAGCCAAAGAACTTTGGGCACTTGGTTTGCTGCTTTCTCAGTTGGCTTTGCACAGCCTGTGTGCTCCTGTAGTTCTGGAAACTTGGTTTTTAGGCTTGTTAGGGGAAAGAGTATTCTAGACATGGGTCACAAGATCCTCATTAATTAAGTTCAATGATTGGGAACATTCTCTGTGTTAGACACTGTGTCTCTGGATGCTGGCAAACACAGTTGAGAAAGCTCCATTCTTGCCATTAAAGAGCATCTGGCAAATTTGAGAAGAAAGACATGTAACTATAAGTTACAATTCAAAGTCACTAAGAAAAGAAGTGTTGTTGGAAGAGAGAAACATCCAGTTAAGTGTGCTCCAGGAATAGGGAGGATTTCAGCGATGACTCGCATGTATTGAGAACTTGTCGTGTCCTGGGCACTTTTGTTAAATGCTTTACATATTTATCTCATATCCTAGTGATAGCAATTTTATTAGGCATATATCTTCAAACCCATTTTACCAAGGCTCACCCCTCAGTCATCTATTCATTCATTCACAAATTAATTCTTGAGTGCGTTATATGTATTAGGCCCTGTTTTAGGCATTCAGGATATATCAATGTCCTCCTGAAGCTTATATTATAGTGGAGGATGCAGTCGATTGTTTGCATACATATTAACACGTAAAAAAATAAAGTGTAATTTCATATTATCAAACACACTATAAAGAAAAATGAGATAGGGAGATAAAAGGAATCTGACTTGGGGGTCAGGGTAGCTATTTAAAGTAGAATTATTAAGGAAGGCACCAATAAGGAGGTGGTGTTTGAACAGAGATCTGAATGAAATGAGGAAGTGAGCCATGCAAAGATGTGGGGAAACTGGTCCGAGGTCGGGGAAGCCACCAACTCAGTGGTTTAGCTGGGTTAGATCCAGGTCTGTTGGATCTCACATTTCTCAGCCACTTGGCTCTATTGTCAGATTTGGCTCTCAAAGGCTGAGAAGGCATTTACACAGTGAAGAATATGAGAAGGGCATTCCAAGCAGAAAGACAGAAGACCAAGTCCAGGAGCCTGAGAAGTTTTGACCCTTGGCCAACAGCAGGTTATTTCCATGGGTTCTAGAAAAGAATCCTGAGCACCAAAGTGGCCTGAGTGATGGTCTCTTCCCAGTGTGAGGTTTAGGGACTTGTGAAGTCAAACAGTAGCACATGCTGTTTGACCTGTCTGCTTCCCAACATCTCTGAACCTCAGTGTTCTCAAGGCAAGGAGTCAGAAGACCTGACTCTTGTGAGTGATAATTGTACTTGGAAAGGCATGGCTTAGAAGTCAGACAAACTTGGGTCAGCTCTCTGTTATACCTGAGACCAAAGATCCATCATGCAGATTTCGCCGTTGGAACTTACTGAGGCAGAGTGTGAAGTGGAGTCATAGGGACCATGTTGTGAACCCTGGCTCTGCTTCTTTCTAGCTCTGAGACACTGGGAAAGTTACTTAGTTTATCTGATCTTCAGTTTGCCTTACAATAAAGATGACGATATGAAATCTCATAGGGATAATGCGATGATTAAAGGAGATAATGCATATAAAAGGTTAAGTGCAGTTTCTCACAATGTCATCTCTGCTTTGTCATGATTAATAGTAGATATGTGCACCTTTGGCAAAACATTAGGGCTAAATAGCTCTTCCCATTGGCAAAATGGGGATATTAGCCCTTTCTTTTGGCCTATTGTAATGATCAAATGAGAGAATCTTCTGTAACAACTTTGTAAATTGAAAAATGCTATACAAACATGAAGGCTTCTTATTGAAATGCACATATGTGTGGATTTACAAGGTGTTAGCCGTGAACACCACATATCTATCATCTTTCAGTTCCTTAGCTCATTCATTCATGTGTTTGTTGAGGTCATATACTAAGAGCCTGTCCTAGGTGCTAGAGATATCAAGACAAGATAGACGTGATCTCTAACATCAGAGCAATCCAGAATGCCTGAGAGTTCCAGGAACATCTTCATATCTGTGTCTTTTTAGATCCTCTTAGAGTATATTAAAATAATTTTTTAAATAACTCAAAATGCCTTTCTGACTTCATTTCTGAGATATTCAAGATACTTTTTAATAAGAAAAACAGTTTTATCCATCATGCACTGACTTTAGTTTAAAAAATATATTAGCATTTTAAGATTTACACATTAATTTTTAATTGAAGGCACGAAATCTCTAAAGGGTAGAGAAGTGACTTCTGCTTAGTTTGGTCTGTACTCACTTATCAATGAGCTTGTAGGTGCGACACTAACAGATGATCAATCTCCTGCAGAAGATTAGTGTGCGGGCCCAATGCCATTGAGGTTGAAATTCAACCCATATGGAAGCTGCTTGTTAAACAGGTAACTAACTGTTTTCCTTTATTTTTGAAAAAAACATAATTCCCATCTTGATTTTTCACTTCCTACTACTCAGGGGAATCTTTAGCAACACATGGGTACCTTGATGTGAACAAAATCTGGGTTTCATGAAATTTCTTTTTGTTATTTCCTTGTTGCTTTTAGTCTTTGCTTTTCCTATCTATTGAGGTGTCTTTTTAGAAAAATAAATACACAGACAAATATATATGTATATTTGTTCCAGGCTTTCTAAGGGGTCTGTTTCCCTCACCACTTGTTTTAAATTCAAATCACTTTAAAAATCCCTTTCCCAGTGCGAGGGAAGATTCCTGTTTCATAATCTCCTCTCTGTTTGTTTTGTTTTCTTAAGTTTTTGATGGTAGTTGTGGTGGCAATGACCCCAATGTTATTACTTCTATCATCTCTTTGAGGATTTAGAATGTATTATTTTGCTCTTTTTCGTATTGATCTATTATTTCCATTTTCTTGAGAGTGACTTCATCCTTTGTTAGCAGGGTTTTTTTTTTAAGGAATATTTTCTTTGCGTGCTTTGAAGTTATTATTATTTTTTTGGTTAACTCCCCTTACGTGGGCTGTTCCCTCCTCCACTTTTCTCCTTCTCTTTGTGCTCTCTCTTGCTGTTTGATGGCTCTGCATTTCCCTTTCCCTGGTCTCCATAGGTCCCCAGTTCAGAACCAGGACTTACGTTGGAGGTTTGGGCTCTGTCCCTTGGGAATCTGTTAGATGCAGGCCCTGAGCCAGCGTGGGGCGTGGCCAAGTCACAGTTGCCCATGTACTCTGTTCTTTCCCTTTCCACGCTCTGCTGGTGAAACACTGCTAAATATGACTTTTATCAGCTTCTTCTTTGGGGCAGAAGAAGCCCACTGCCACCCCTATTTTCCTCTGCAAGCTTGGGCTTTGTCCCCTGCCATTTATAGGGCATTTTCTGTCTTACTCCCCCTAGAACTGGGCTCCTAGCTTTCTCCCTCCAGTCCTTGTCTGGAACCCAGCAGACTGGTCATGTTAGTGCCCATGCAATGCTGCATGTTTCTAGTCTATTTCTAACCCAAAAAGATGGTCATTTTATTTTTGAGCATGGTCGTATCTGTTTTAAAATAAAATTCTCACTAGACTTTTTTCTTAGGTTCACAGCAAAATTCAGTGGAAGGGACAGAGATTTCCCATATACCCCATGCCCCACATATGCACAGTCTCTCCCGCTATCGAAAAGCAGGCAGCTCTTTTGGGCCAGCCCGGGTGGCTTAGTGGTTAAGTTCAGCACCCTCCACTTTGGTGGCCCAGGTTCCCTTCCCGGGCTCGGACCTACACCATTCGTCAGTGGCCGTGCTGTGGTGGTGGCTCACATACAAAAAAGAGGAAGATGAACAAAGATGTTAGCTCAGGGTGACTCTTCTTCAGAAAAAAAAAGGAGGCAGTTTTTTAAACTTCTTATTCAAGTACATTTTCAAGTTGCCAATGACTCTCCCAAGTGTCAATTTGGTCTAGTTTGAAAGTTAGAGCTAGTATTTTCTGGCATCTATTTACTAGGCCTTCAGAAGAAAAAAAGCAAGTAAAACTGTTTCTTCACATTTGGTTTCAAAAGAATATTGAATAAGGGAGCTAAATTAATTATGATGGTGTTGTTTCTTCGACAAGAAGTATTTAACCAATTTTCTCCTGAGATTATATAAATTGAAAATTGTATTATCGTCAGTGCATAATCTACAATTAGAACATTTTATGCCAAGCAACAGAAGAGCTATAATTTGTAAGAGAAGCATGTTGCAATGGAAATAATAAATGTTAAGGAACAAAAGCTTTTTCCATGTACAAAATACTTCTAAGAGTTTAAGAAACTCTTGAGATACAGCCTATTAACTTATTAACCAGGTGCTGGTTCATTTTTAGGACTAAAGTAGAAGTTTATTTAATGTATTAGAGAATTATAGAAAGTAGAGGTAAGAAAGAGTGGCAGTGTTTTAGGTAATATTTCATCTAATTCATAATATTCATAGAGAGCACTTCACCAAGAAAAGAATCCTTGCACTGCTGAGGCGAGCTCTCTAACTCATACTATGCGTGTATATCACGTGAGCTTCTCCAGCTCCCTCAGGTTCCCCTCTCTGCTATTAGTATTAGTAGTGGAGTCAGGGGCCGGCCCAGTGGCACAGCGGTTAAGTGCCCGCATTCCGCTTTGTCGGCCCGGAGTTCCCCCGGTTCGGATCCTGGGTGCCGACCTGGCACCACGTGGCAAGCCATGCTGTGGTAGGCATCCCACATATAAAGTAAGGAAGATGAGCACGGATGTTAGTCAGGGCCAGCCTTCCTCAGCAAAAAGAGGAGGATTGGCAGCAGATGTTAGCTCAGGGCTGATCTTCCTAAAAAAGAAAAAAAAAAAAAATAGTGGTGTCAGCAGGATCAAAATGGGGGACATGAGAGAATAAAAAAAGTTGATGGTATTACCAAAAATACCTGCATGGCGACCAGCTTGGGGGCTGAGGATCCATCCTGCCATGGTTTTCACTGCAGCTTCGGGTAAGGCCTTTCTCTTCACTCCTCCTCCTTCACTCCTCCTCCTTGTTTAAGGCAAGGCCCGTGCTGACTTGACTGAACCTCAGAGGATCTTGCTAAGGCCTGTGACGCAAAGAGTATATTATTTTTAAATAACCTGGATAAACGTCGAATCTTTAATTTTCGTTGTACAACTTGACTAAGTCTGTGGTGTGTGATCATGTGACAAAGAAACCTGCAATAAAAATGTTCAAAATTGAACTATGTTTTAAAAAGAAACTGAATCACGTGTCTCCTCCATTATGGGTAAATCTATTTAAAAAGGTAAATTGTTGGATTTTTGTTATTGGTAAAATAGTTTTGAAAATTCAGGGTAAATAAGAATGGTGGGTTTGTGGGCATAGCTCTGAGTGCTTAAAATAATTTTGCTTCCACCACGTTACATCCTATGTGCTTGACATTGTCCCCACCAAAATTAAGGGAGTTCAAAGTGAATTTTTAAATATTAGAGATTGTTGTATGTTGTAAAAAATTGGAAAAACCAGTCTATAAAGAAATGACATCATCTTGACTGCCACTAAGTTCCATGCAAGTGACCTAAATGCTGTCTTTGTACCTGCAGGTTTTAAATCCATTCTATGTATTCCAAGCCTTTACTCTAACTTTGTGGCTGTCTCAAGGTTACCTAGAATACTCTGTGGCCATCATCATCTTGACCATTATCTCCATTGCCTTAAGTGTGTATGATCTGCGACAGGTAAGAGCTGAAATCACAGTTGGATTCTATTTAGCTTTCGGCTGCAAGAGAAACAAAACCTACGGAATTTCCATTAAGAGCAAGGAGTTGCTTTGTTAAACATAAGTCGTAACAAAAAAACCCAACAAATCAAGGGCTTACTAAAAGTGGAATCTCAGGAAGAGGGCTTCCGGAATACCAAGGAGATTCAAATGTCCGCAAACTCTGATTATCGACTGAAGGCTGCACTGAATACTATATTTAGAAGGACTCTGGGGCCGTGTCTGAGTATGGTGGGGAAGATACTGTGATGGATTAATGAGGCTGGCCGTAGTTTTAGGAGGGGCAGCAGCCTAACCGTGCATTTTAGTCAAGACTCTTTCAGTTTGCAGTGGGAGAAACCCAACTTGAGCTAAATTAAGTAACTTATATAAGCCATTTCAGGGGTGTTTGTTTTACTTTGGCCATGGATGGATCCAGACACTCCAATAATGATTAGGAATCTGTTTCTCTTTATCTCTTAACCCTGCTTTACCACAGTGCTGCTTAAAGTATGGTCTGCAGACTGGTGCTGGTTATCTGTCTGTGATACAATAAGTACGAGAGTAGGCGTTTGTAAATTTTTTTTAGCAATTTGATATTACCACACCATCCAAATGTGTGATCACTTTTCTAGTAATCATGGTTTGAGAAATGTTTTACTATATATGGTCTTTACACCTAGATAGAGACTCTCTGTACTGACAAAGATGGCCCTAGAGCATCCAAAGATGGGATATATGACTTCAGGGCCCATGATCTCAGAGGAAGGGAGAGGTCTTCTCTTTACTAGCGTCCATATCAATATCCCCCGAAAGATCCTGGTTGGCCCAGCTGGAAGCAGAAGATGGCGGTGCTTACGTGCTTTCATCTGTCTCCAAACCCTCTTTCTTCAAGCTCTTTTGATTCGGTTCTTCAATCTATGTTCCTTCACATTGCAAGATACGCTATTTTCCCTTGTTCCTAAATGTTCTCCCACCTTGGACTCCAGTTTAGTTTGCACTAGATGCTTCCTCTGCCTCTCATGTAAGCACAGCCTTAATCAGAACATGGTTCTTAAGAGCTTCCCATTTCCCTTCACTCCTGAAGCCCCTCTTAGGCTGTCTTGCTAATTCCTAGACTCCTTTGTAATGTAAACTCTTCTCACAGGTGATAGTAGGTTCATAGTTCATAACCTTTCCCTCTCTCACCATCATTGTCCATCTTACAGCCAGTGAAAATCTTCCTTCTTAAAAAAATCAGTCTTATAAGTGATATAACAACACATTCTGAAATAGAATTTAGCTGACTGCTACTTGTAACGCCACAGATCCTCTAAGTCTCAGCTCCCCACAGCATCTTTCTAGAAAACGTTCTATTACTTTGCTTAAGATTCATCAGACTGAATCATGAGGCAACCCCTAAAGGAAGTCTCACTGTATTGGTTGCATACTTTTATGAACTTGACTGTGGAATTAGCTTTTTAGACACGGTGGGTACTTGTGTCAGCCCATCAACTCTGGTGAACTGTTGAAACCATCAAGTCTCAAACTTCATATTTCATCTGGAGAGGGGGAGACTAAGACACACAGAACTTGTTCCAGGTCATCAAGTGGGTTTGTGACAGAGTCAGGGGTTGTGGCTCCTCATAACATGAAACTCTTCTGCATGTGCAGTATTTTCTTAGCAGAAAGCCCTTTGCAAAGTAGCATCAGAGCTGGGGCTGAGAGTCTAACGTGAGTGTGAGAGGAGAGGTGAATCCTAGCTGTCGGTGGGGTAGACTCTGGGCACGTGTCAGTAAGGCAGACATGCGGGTGTTTAAGCAAGCCTAGCTGGAAGAGAATTTTGCTCCTTCTCTATTTCATCACTCAGCAAACATTAGGTCTAATACTGGCTTTTTATCTGGTTTTAGATCCTACAAATTTTGAGTTACAAAGCGTTCGATGAGAAATGAAAGTAAGGCAATACGTATTTAATGAGTTAGGAAACAGGATCTAAAAATGAAAAGTTAAATGAATGAAGACACTTTGAGCTAGGGAGTGAGGCCTGGAAGGCCTTTGTTTTTGGTTTTTTGCTTTTTTGTAAATGAGTGCCCGAGTGTGTTTCTTCATGAACTAACTTAAATCACAAAAATACTAACAGTGACCAGTAACCTGCCTTTGATGGTGGCAAATACTTTCTGTCTGGCTGCCAAGTCAGGGGGAAGTGTGACTGTCCTTCTGGTGACCTCTGGGCATTTGAGCAAACGCATGAAAACAGACGCCAGGACAATGAAAAATCTGACATGTTCCCCTTAGTCACGGTAGGAAATTACAGTGTCCCAAACTTTTCCCTTGGTCATTTGAGAAAGGTATGTAATATGAAGCCCCCAAGTTGAACTTCTAGTTTCTGGTTTTTGAGAAATCTTTGCAGTAATCGAATATCTAACTTGACACCTGCAAGCCACTCATATGCTTTTTGGCTTAAGTCAAACCTTGTGAATGTAGTTCCTTCCCCCGTGTGCTTCAATCTATTGGGAAAATGTTACACACAATGACCAGGAAATATCATCACAAACCATCTCAGTGTTCAGAGGGAAAATACAGACCCCTCTGACGACTTTGGGCCGGATAATCTTATCAAGTTCAAATCTCCCTCTTACCACTCTATTTGTATAACTTGACACTATTTGTTACTTGATGTGCGTTTGTGTGCGTTTGATGTTATAGTCCAAAAAATGAGATGAAATAATGAATTTCAGACACTTGTGTTCCTACTACATAGTAGGCACTCACATATTATTAGTTCTTATTATCACTGACATTGCTGTCTTTATCATTATTTCTGGAATGGGGAAAGTAGGTGATGAAAGGCTGGGAGGGGCACAAAGGTTGAAGGGAGGGGTCCTATAATTTGAGCAAGGAGGTAACATCGAACATCCCAGGACATGGCTTCCAACAATCACTGACTCACTCATTGTGTGACGCTGGGGACTCTCCCTGGAGAGTCCTCCCTGGGCCTCAGTTTCCTCAGCTGTAAATGGTAGAGGTGAAACTCTGGTTTTTTTAGGTTCCACCTTTTTAGGATCCTGTTTCACCAGGGTCATCAAAAGACATGAGAAAAGAGCCCTTGAAAACTTTATTTCTGGCCACTGGCAATCTGGGAGCATGTGTTGCAGGCTGGAGTCGATTCCTGCAGAAGCCTAAGAGGTGTTGGAGTAACTATCACTAGTAACTAAACTGCTCAGTCATGATAGGTACAAATAATAGAAACCTATTTAAACCACCTCAAGTACAAAAGGTATATACTATAAATATGCACCAGTAACGCATGGGACCCAAGGACATAAAGTACAGAGGTACTTTGCCAAGAGGCTGGACCCAGCAACTTGGGTTACTCTCTCCAGCTTCCTTTTCTCTGACAGATATGGAATGTAGAGATTGTTGTATGTTGTAAAAAATTGGAAAAACCAGTCTATAAAGAAATGACATCATCTTGACTGCCACTAAGTTCCATGCAAGTGACCTAAATGCTGTCTTTGTACCTGCAGGTTTTAAATCCCTTCTTTGAACCGCCTGACATGCACTCACTCCTCACTCTGGGAACTGGGCACACCCAGAGCTGTGGCAACCTGAAACTACTTTGTTCCTTGTGGCTTACACATTTCCCATCTATGTTTATGACAAATTTCAGTTACTCTTTTAAAGTTCCTTTACCATGTCCATTTCTTCATTTGAAACTCAGGCATAGCTTTCTTTAAGGAAATCCAAAAGAAATATAGAAATTCCTATGTAGGAGTTTGGGGAAGGATTGTAGAAAAATTAGATTTGATTCTACACTTCAGAGGGCAATGTTTCCATAAGAGAATTACTTGAGATTCCCGAGCTCTTGACCCATTAAATCAAAACACCCAGGGTGAGGCCAGCCCAGTGGCACAGCGGTTAAGTTCACACGCTCTGCTTTGGTCGCCCGGGGTTCGCCGGTTCAGATCCCGGGCGCAGACTTAGGCACCACTTGTCAAGCCATGCTGTGGCAGGTGTCCGACATAGAAAATAGAGGAAGATGGACATCAATTTAGCTCAGGGCCAGTCTTCCTCAGCAAATAGAGGAGGATTGGCAGATGTTAGCTTACGGCTAATCTTCCTCAAAAAAAAAAAAAAATCCAGGGTAATGACGGGAATCTGCACTTTTAACGGTTTCATAACAGGTGATTGTTAAACATTCTAAAGGCTTTAAGATCTATGTTATAAGGGAATCCAACAAAGGACAAATTCAAACACTAAGATTCCACGGACATCATTTATTTATTACTGTCACCATCAGCTGAACATATTTTTTCACACTTTTTATTCTATTAGATGCACAGAAATCCAAGTTTATATGGAGATTTATTTATATATTTAATATCACATTTTATTAAAACAGGATCTTACTATGTACATTAATTTGGAACTTGTGTTTTCCACTTACATGCTATGTAATGGCCACCCACCATGTAAACAAATAATTCTAAATCATGTTTAAAAATAATGGTGTGATATTCCATGGCATACCATGATTTATTAAACCATTTTCTTATTTATGAAAAATAAGGGGTTTCCTCCCAATTTTTGCCACTGCAAATATATTGAATTAAACATAACTACACTATAGGTATGTCCTTACATATTAGTGTTTGTGGGGTTTTTTTAGCAAAGCAGCCAAAGTCAGGTTGCTGTATCAAAGGATATGTATATTTTGGATGTTAATAGATGCTGCTATATCATTTTTCCCAAATTAAACAATTCCTTCTCCTACCAGCAACGTATGAAAGTACCCACTGCCCAAGTTCCTCACCAGCATTTCATTTTCTATATTGATATTTAAAATTTTATCAATCTAATATATTTTTAAAAATTGCATCTCCTGGATGTTTTAGTTTATGGTTCCCTGATTACTAGTGAGATTAGACACATTTTCCTTTGTCTAAGAGATTTTCATTTTTCTTTTCTATTTACTATACTTCATATCCATTATATACGTGGAAAAGTTTTATTTTTCTATCTTTTTTCTCTTGACCTTGCCTTTTGCCAGACATTTAAAAATATGTATAGTCAGGGGCTGGCCCCGTGGCCGAGTGGTCAATTTTGTGCACTCCACTATAGGCAGCCCAGTGTTTCGTTGGTTCGAATCCTGGGCACGGACATGGCACTACTCATCAAACCACACTGAGGCAGCGTCCCACATGCCACAACTAGAAGGACCAACAACGAAGAATATACAACTATGTACCAGGGGACTTTGGGGAGAAAAAGGAAAAAAATAAAATCTTTACAAAAAAAATATGTATAGTCAAATAGGTTTCTCTTTTCTGTATGGTTTCTAGGTTTCCTGTTTTGCTTATAAAGTTCTCCTCTTCCAAAATTAGATATTCTCTGTTTTATCTATTTATAATTCATTTAATATTCATTTTAAAATCCTTAATGGAATTTAAACATTCAGGTTCTCCTTCTTAACAGAATCCTTAAATGCCTTTGCTCAAAACAATGACAGAGATGGAACTTCAGACTTAATGGCAGTATTGCAAAAGATTTCTTTAGAAAGAAGAAAAGGGATCAGAGGACAGACATTTATTCCATTAGCAGACAGTATTTGCTAATAGAAGCTTATCTGACCCAACCTTTAAGGCATCTTGTAACACTATACAAAATGGGCCAGCTTCCTGAAACTGTATCTTTGCAGTTTAAATCATACATCCTCAACGATCAATATCTGCCTAGCACTTTACAGTTTACAGTGGGCTCCCACATCCATGATGTATGTGCTTGTGCGGGGCCTGGCAAACTGTAAAGTGACACACATACGATTGTTTATCCTCCCATGCCCTGAGAGGGAGGGACTGGCGATCAGGAGGGGCTCGCCTAGGAACAGTGGCAGCAGACCACAGCCCCGGGTTTCCTGACTCCAAGTCAAGCACTACACACTGTCCCATTGAGCAGAATCTCAAAGAGACCCGAGAGCTTCCTTGCAGCAGTAAATGATGGTTTGATAATTTTATACAACAGAAAGCAGATCAGAGGAAGCAGGTTGGCAGGAATGGAAGAAGGAACTTGTACCGCCTCTCCAATTCCTCCTGTTGAGCCACGTCGATGTTCACCGTTTCACTGAATTGCCAATTTAGCTAAACAGAGCCATGCTTTTGAAAACTAAGAGGGGAGCTGTGCACAGGAGTAGAAATAAGCTATCTTCCTGCATGTATTCTAGCCCAGGTCATGCCGCACAGAGACGGCTTACCTTGCCTAAGCCAAGAAAGACCCGCTGCAGTCCCTTTCTAACAAGCCTGGTGCAGGCATGGGTGCGAACCTTGGCACTCAGCTCTGTTTACATGGAGCTGTATTGCACCCTCCGTTGCTAACTCCATGGGCGGCTGCTAGCAATAGCGCTGAGCGTACCAGGCCCATGGTGCTTTGCCTCCACTCAGAAGTGAGTCTGGCTCAAGAGACACCTGAGTGGATGCTCTCATTACTTATCTCCAGAGGAAATCCAGCCACAGCAAACACAAGGACACACAGCAACAGATGCTGAATAATAACAATATGCATATTAGACTTGGAAATTGATCCTGGTCCCACTGAACAGGGACTGGAGACACCAGAGGGAGCCTAATGAAAATCAGGCAGCGAGCTTGGAAATCATGACAAGCATCAAGCATTTGCTTTCTCCTAGCTGGTTGGTTGTCATAGAAACCTGTGTTTGTAGAGTTTCTGAGCATATTAGCTCAAAGAGGATGCTTACATTATCCTACTCCAGTGTGGTTAGGAAGAGTAGAATAATTCAGTTGTATTAAATAGATATTTGCTGAGGGCCTACTATGTGAGAGACCACAGGGATACATAGATGAATACACGGTCCCTTCTTTGAACCGCCTGACATGCAGGGGACATCTGACAAGAAAACAGCTAGCTGTAATGGAATGTGATCAGTACGGTAATGCACGTGGAAATGGAGAAAGCAGAACAGTTAATTCTTCCTGGGGATGTTAGGGACTCATGGTGCGGAGGTGACATTCGAGCAGGCTTTATGTGAAGGATCAGAAACTTGCTAGTAGAAAACCAGGGTGAACATTCTAGGGAATAGCTTGAGCAAAGGCACGGAAGCGTGGAGGGCTACACGGAATGCCAAGTGTGATAAACAAAGCCAGCTTTCTGCCATAATGAGTTTTGAGAATTACAGTTAAGCATTATTAACTCCTACTTCACTACTTGCAAATGTGTTGATTATCATCCTCTTAAGCTAGGCTGAAGTTATCACGGCATTGACGAAGAGAGTTTGCCAATGCAAGAAAAGAACTTAAAGAAATTTATACAGAAGGATGTTTATCTTCTTAAAGGAAAAAAGCTGTTTTCAAGCACTTTCAGAGAACAGATTCGTCAACAGAAAAGGCTTGAGAGTCAGATGAGATTGACTGAGTTTGATGGTTGATCTTAATCCTTAGTAAGTAAATGGCTGTGGGCAAGTTACTAAGTCATTTTTAACTCCCAGTTTTTTTTGGTTTTGGTTTGTTTATATGCATTGGGGAGAATAACATTTTCATCGTAGGATTATTTTGAGGATTAAAAAAATCAAGCAATATATTCCAAGGGCCTACGACAGTGCCTGACACACAGTAGCCTCTTAATGTTCTAAACTGCTTAAAAATAATAATAATTTTAGTCATTTATATACTTTAGATATTTCTTCTACGAAGTGGTGGGTTATGAATAAGTCTCTGGTATGCAAAATAAATCAATATCATGTCATTTTAGAGGTTGAAGGGAACTTGAAAATGATCCAATTCAATGTCATCTGTTTACAAAGGAAACAACTAACTTATAAGGTGAAATTTCCTATATATGGGTACATGGCTGGTTAGTGGGTAAGCCAGACCTACAACTCGGGAATCCTGACTAAATCCAGTGTTCTTGCCACAGAATCACGGCTGACTTTCTCATTGTTATCCATCATTAAAATGGAGCCCCAACAGGCATGCCTCAGGAAGTCAAGTTAGGGCAATGAATACGTGCCAATAGTAATATCACTTCTTCCACTCAATTGATCCAAATGATTGAAGTTTACCTTTTCAAGCAAAACTGAAATAAATAATAAATTGTTCTGTGTAAATATTAACATTAAATTCATTATGTTCTCTCAAGAGGAAAGTTGCATAATTGTGTGTAATGCTTGTCTTAGCCTGGTGACATTTGTAACATTAAAAATCATCAACAGAACAGATAAAAATAATTTACTGTAACATCTAAAAGGAAATGTTTTATATCTGAATGGGGTTAAGCTGTATTTAAGTACCGCTGACAGTATTCAGACCTCTCCACTTAATGGTACCCAAGTAACTGACATCCATAGAGAGAGGGGCAGAGCCAGCCGGTGATGCTCAAGCTGGCCCAGCATCCCACTCTCTCCAGCTGATGGCGCCCCCTACTGTCAGTCTGGGGAATTGTGTGGACACCTCTGCCTTGTCCTCTGAGTTCGCCTACGAGATACTGTCTCCACTTCCCCAGGCTGCTTCTATTCCCTCCGCTTTGCACAAGTCATATCTCAATGAATTCTACCTCAAGTGACTCTTTCCAACTCATGTTCTCAGACAATTGTTTTTTCAACAACAGCTTTCTTATTAATCATTAACACTCATTGAGTTCTTACCACAGTAATGAGTATTATCTGAAGGGATAACTAAGATAAGCACTAGCGAACTTGAAACAACCCCATGAAATAAATACTGTTATTGTCTCCACTTCCAGATGAGGAGAAGGAAGTTAAACAGCTAAATAAGTTATAGGTGGTAGCACCAGGATTCCAAACAGCGCAGCGTAACTCCAGTCTGCAGACTTACTCAACATGCAAATCTACCAGGTCATAAAGGAGGAAATGGCTGTCCCACATACAATCGAAAATGATGCAAATATTCACAGGTTTTTACAATGGAAAGCCACTCACAGATCAAATTCAGCTTTGCCGTTTTACAGACAGAGAAACAAAGGCACGGAGAGGGGAAGTAACCTATTTGTGGTCTTGTTCTTCCTCGTCTAATCGTGCATCCTCCAGAAGTGAAACCTCGGTGCCTTTGCCTGGGTCTTTGGGGTGCAGCGGCTGGGCACTATTTTTCCTGGAGTTGAAATAGCATTAAACTAATGAACATATTTGCTGCTGCTAGCAGGGGGTTGGGTAGGGTAGAGGTTGGGGTCAAGGAAGCAGGAAGATCAAAAGAGAAACTTGAGTCTTTGCCCAGAATCAGCTTGGCTGTGACATCAGGCTCAACATTTACTTTATTGAGATCATGTGGTTTTTAGAATATGGAACATCTAATATTTAAACTTTGACTTTAAATTGGTAGCAATCAGTTAAGCTGCACAACCTTGTGGAGGATCACAACAAAGTCCGGGTTACAATCGTCGTAAAAGGCAAAGGTAAGTGAGATGCTCTGCCATCTTCAGCATCCTAATATTTCAGGGTGGAATTGTTCTCATTTGTTGTTATTAGTCAAAGAGAAAAAAGTCTTTTCTGATTGAATTCAGGACTGGGGCTAAGGTGAGGCAAACGAGTCACCTAAGATGGAAAATTTAAGGGGGCAACGGCATGCAAAGCTGACCTGTACCTATAGGACCCTGAACGTGAGTGCTTTGTTGAATTTTGCACCCTGGGTACCTTGCATGCCTCATCTTGTCTAGCCCTGATTGAACCGTTTCTATCCAATGTCAAGGTTACTTCAAATTCCCTTTGCCCTCCATATTTCACTCACTTGAATGTTACTGGATAAGTCTTCTTAAGGCATTTTATTTGCCCAACAAACCCTCCAAAACAGACCCTGCGTCCTACATTTTGATCTGTCATTGAGAATTAGGCCTGCAGGAGGCTTGTAGATGGCTGGCTGGACACCTGGCATTTGCTCTGAGTTGGCCTGGGGTAGAGTGGCCACAGCCCTCTGCAAGGAGTGATGAGCTGTACCCCAGGGCAGCAAAAGCTGTCTGGATGGTTTACACTAGGCCCCAATCCAAGGACAGAGTGTGCCACGGAGGGTGGGCAACCCAGCCAAAGAGAGTAGGCAGCAGCAAAGGGACACTTCATTGACCAGGAGTATCTTCTGTGGGCAGAGCGCTGTCCCAGGTACCAGGATCAAGATGGGATCTTGATGCTGAACTAATCCTTTGCTATGGCCCAGGAATCAATTCCCTAATCCTGGTTCTCTGGGAATTTCTGATCCTGTGGGAAGGGGCTGGAGCAGGTCAGCATGCAGAGTAGCTCTTGGCCAACGGGTTGATAAGAGTTCTCAGCCACTTTGATTCCTAGGTAAAAACAGGAAAAAGTCAGCTAGTCATGGACAATTTGTTTTGCCTAGGTTTGCAGGAGGTGGAATCCCGTCTCTTGGTTCCCGGAGATATTCTTACTCTTCCCAGCAAAGTTTCATTGCCATGTGATGCTGTTCTGATTGATGGAAGCTGTGTGGTGGATGAAGGCATGCTCACAGGTAGGCACTTGTTGTGGAGCTTTCTCTTTCCTGCTCAACATCTCGGCCAAGTGTTAGCAAAGCAGGTCAACATATACTCACCCGCTTTATACCAGGCTCATGCTAAGATGGTGAGAGATCGGGGAGGGAGACATGCTCAACCTATTTGTGCAGATGGAGACTCAATATATACAAACAGGAAACATTTAACAATATGAGAATCAAGCCACGATAAATACGGAACTGGAATAAAAGTGTAACACAACATGTGACTAATTAACTGATGGGTGTGGCGCATGGGGTGCTTTGGATTCAGAGGACAGTGAGAACACTACATCTTTTTATAAATATGGGAATGGTTTCTACACCTATCCAAACAAAACACAACCCCAAACCACCAACTCTCACAGTTGGCAGAGCGTGGATTTCTCCAGCCCTGTAGTCTATAGTTGGGAAACGGAGCCCCAGGTTACCCTGGGAAGGAGACTAAGTTGACCCTTCTGGGAAAGGCAGAGTAACAGTTCTGTTCTTCAGAATCGTGTCTCCAGCTGATCTCCCTGAGCAGAAAACCAGTTTTCTAGTTACGATTGATCTGTCCTTGTTGTCATTTGTACTTTGGAAAGTCCGCTTGAATTTGTGTCATTAGTAAGACACTATTTATAAAATATTCTTTAGGCAAACAAAAAATTGCATAGGACATGGTAATGGGAGAAGAAGAGACTATATAGCAACACAAAAATAGAAATGATTTGTCTTTTGTGCTTATAAATTGTTGCATTTTTCTGTTTCCAAATGGCTAAAGACAGGACACACACGCAACTTTTTTCCATCACTTAAATGTTACCAGTCATTACGTATTCCTAAACTGTTCAACACGAGCAGCTTTCACATTAAAAATGGGTCTGCTTAATTTAAAATTGAGACAAGAAAATGTAGTAAACATAACTCGGTTCCATATAATTACAAAATACCTCTTTAATGTGTTGAAATCTAACTGCCTTATAATGATAGTGATGAGGATTTGCATACTGATCACATCCTTTATCCAGAATGTTGCCATAGCACCCAATGTGCAACCCTCAAGCCCAAGACAAACCGTCCTCCCCACTCAAAGGCATCAGCTGTCTTGCATTTCCCCCCAGCCTGCCCATGAAGACTGGCCTCTCTCATTGGTGACAGAGAGTGCGGCCATGAGACATCAGGGGAGGACAGACAGCAGGGTTCACTCCCCTGGGTCTGCTGACTTGGGGACACTGTTCTTGCCTAGACTTTGAGGAAAACTCAGAAAGTTCCAGAGAAGTAGAAACAATAAACAATGCTGCCTTTCAACAAATGTGCAAAATTGACCTAAAATAACCTTAAATGGTAAGTGGCTTTTCCTAGGGTCTGTTTCTAGAAAAATAAAGTCACCAGCATTAATATCTATGTAATCTGAGTGCTGATAAAAGTCAATTTTAGAGACAGACGCATGAAACAGAAATACATATATTTCTTTCTCATTGATTTTTTCAAAAAATCTAGGTACCTCCGTGCTCTAAATAGTTTATTACACAGCTTATGTAGATCCTCCTGCTCATGTGCATATTAGTGAAAAGGATCCTGATTGAACAATCAGATTAGAGTCAGATTCTGGAAACTGCACCTGTATTCCTAGAGCATTTGTCCACAACTGTGACTCACTTGTTTTTTTCCCCATGTGCAAAATAGCCCTTTGCATATATAGAAGTCTTTATTTACATAAGAAGAAAAATAGCAGATACTCTTGGCATCTCTATAGCAACAACTTTTATATCTTACTTCCTCATAGCATAAAACCAAAGAGACCAGGAGCTATTATACTACCCAAATTACAGATGAGGAAACTCAGGTCAAAAGAAAACAGGGCTGCTCAGCTAGGAAGTGAAAGAAGCAGAGTTGGAGGTGGCATCTGCTCCCAGACGTGAAGGACCGTAGGTGTGAGGAGGAGGATGCTAAGATGGGCAAAGCCGCTGCCTTCAACTTCAGGGCCTCATCACCTTTTTCCTCTGCTGGGTATTCCCACGCATAGCACATGTCCATTGTAGGATCTTCCGTCTCCTCATCTCCTTAGCCTCATCCTATTGCCATAAGCTCAACTATGCAAGAAACTTTATTTTATAACTATGCCTCAATTTTACTCGGTCTCCAAATTTTGCCGTCGTTGAAAGGCTGCACTGTGAAGTAACTGGTCTAGGTCAGACAGCTGTCTCCATCAGTTACCACGTCCTCCCAGTCCTCGCCTGGCTACCTGCAGCCGTGCAGGGCACTGGGGAGGGCCCTCTGCTCTAGGGCGGCTCTCCTTTCCGTTGCTCCCACTCCACTCCGGGCTGGGGAAATGTGCCAGGCACACGCACTGGAGAAGGAGGCAGCCCCAGGTGCCTTTTGCTCTCAGTTTCCACAAACTTCTAGAACATTTCCATACGCTACTGTGGCGCAGGCCCCTTCTCTCAGGGACATGCAATATCTAAGTTTCCTTTGGATTTTTCCTCCACCTCCCAGTCCAGAGATTTTTATTTAGCTGGAAAAGTAGTAGAGAGAAGGCGTGGCTAACGGAACAGCTTTGTTCTTACTCTTAGGTCGTCCTTAAAATTCATGATCAAACTTAAGAATGACTTTGAAACCCAAAAGCCGGTTATCAACTCCTCTTTCCTTCTTTTCTGCCTCCTAGAGCAATGATCCCCTTCACGGTCTACCTCCTCACAAAGCGGTCAAGAGGCAAAAGGGAGTACCGTGGGGGAAATTCTATTAGTATTTTGAATTTTTCTCTTAGCACAGTAGCTAATTTTTCTTAGTTCCTATATGTATTAGGCACTGTGCTAACATTTTACGTATGTTATTTCATTCAATCCCCAACTCTATAAGATTATAACTCTATAATCTAAGGCCCAGAGAGGGTAAGTAATTTGCCTAATGCCACGCAGCTTAAAAGCAATGGAGCTGAGATTTGGGTTCATTACTTTTTCGCTCATTCGTTCATTCCACAAATGTTTATTAGCTCTTTTTATGGAACAGACACTCTCCTAGCTGCTAGGGAGACAGCAGTGAACAAAGCAGGTAAGATTTCTGCCTTCATGGAACTGACATTCTGGTGGGAAGGCAGAAAACATGAAAATAGGTAAGAGACATAAATTTCCAACAGCTATAAGTTCTATGAAGAAAATAAAACACTTAAACCCAGGCATTTTGACCTCAGAGCCCAGGCTTGTAACTACACATGTCAAACCCAGGCATTTTGACCTCAGAGCCCAGGCTTGTAACTACACATGTCAAACCCAGGCATTTTGACCTCAGAGCCCAGGCTTGTAACTACACATGTCAAACCCAGGCATTTTGACCTCAGAGCCCAGGCTTGTAACTACACGTGTCAAACCCAGGCATTTTGACCTCAGAGCCCAGGCTTGTAACTACACGTGTCTCCCCTTATCTGCAGTTTCGCTTCCCGTGGTTTCGGTGACCGGCGGTTAACCATGGTTGGAAAATATTAAACGGAAAATTCCAGAAATAAACAGTTCATAAGTTTTAAATTGAGCACCAATCTGAGTAGCCTGATGAAATCTCGTGCTGTCCTGCTCTGTCCTGCTCCATCCTGCCCAGGACGGAAATCATCCCTTTGTCCGGAGTGTCCACACTGTGTAGGCTGCCCACTGCTAGTCACTCAGTGCCTGTCCTGTTATCACTAAATTGTTACAATATATTGTTATAATTGTTCTATTTCATTATTAGTTATTGTTGTCACTCTCTTGCTGTGGCTGATTTATAAATTAAACTTTACCATAGGTATGTGTGTACAGGAGAAAACAGAGTATGTACAGGAATCCATACTATCTGTGGTTTCAGCCATCCACTGGGGGTCTTGGAACGTAGCTATTGTGGATAAGGGGGGACTGCTGTCCTGATCGCTCATTCTCTTAGGGATAATTATGAGGGAGGGGCTTAGATTTCACTCTGCCACAATCCCCTTCCTCTACTCAGTAGAATTACTGATTTAGTTTACACGTACATGTGGGGAAGTATGGGGCCATCTTAGTTGGACACACAGGACTTTCCCTAAGTGGTTATTTCACATTTATATCCTGTCAGCCAAGCTCATAATCAGTTGATAGTTCAGATTTTTTCCTCTCTTCCTTTTTCACTTTCTTCCTCTCACTCCCTTCTCCCTTTCTTTCACTTATGCATTCACTCATCCACTTATTACACAAAGGTTCAGAAATGCCTACTGTTTGCCAGGCACTGTGTTGTGTGCTGGAGTCACCCAGATAAATGAGCAATGACCCTTGCTCTCAAACAGTTTATAGTCAAATGGTCCCAGAAATATAAATAAACAAGAACATGGCATTTCAAACACTGTCACCATGTGGTGCATCTGGCTTATTGGGGACAAGGAAGAGACTCTCCGTTTCACAACGACCATGATCCCCAGGTCCCAGAAGCCACCTGAACAGTTGATGATGAATGTACTTCCTTCTGAAACCCTCTTTAGCCTCCTTAGAACCACTTTTGTAGACAAATCCCTCCTTTTTTGAGATTCCAAGAAAGGCCAAGCACAAGACTGCTTATTAGTACATGAATAATGTGGAAGAGACTTGAAAATCATCTCTGCGTAAAGTCGTCTCATTTGAACCTTATCTCTGGAACATGATCGCCAGACGACTTCCACCTCTGGTTGGTAAACACCTGCCTGACCCGATCCCATTGTTTGTATGCAGAAACTTACGCTAATATCAGCCTAAGCATATATTATGGATTGATATTTTGTGACCCAAAGGCAGAAAAACATTTGAAATTATAAGTATCTGCCTTTACAAGGGCTGATTTCAAAATAATGCGGTACAATGATTTGGAGATTTGTGAACATGTCCTATCTCTTTTATAAAGCCATTTGGAATGCAGTGGATAAATCCATACAATGGATAAATATCATAATTGTTTTAAAGAAATGACTTAGGGACAATGTTTGGCTAAAGGAATTTCCTGGAGAACGTTCAAGACCACTAATACAAATTTGATAGTTTCTTGCATCTTATGATGTAAAAAAAGGTACCATGGTAGGAAAGAAGTTTTGAAAAACAAATCGTAGAAAAACCTGAGTAAACATTTTTATTCAATTCATTCAGGCATTCAGCAAAAATATGTATTTTGAACCTATTACATACCAGTAGGGAAAATGAGGAATATAAAAAGTTATACATGTCAAAGTCCTTGCCCTCCGTTATTACCTAGAAGGAAAGATAGAACTAAAATCAATACAGTACTATTTCCAAACTAGAAATGTGACATGTTATCTTCCTAATTAAACATTTAGCAAAAGACTGATGGAATTTTAAATTAATTCCAGTGCTTTTTAAATCTGGGAGCCAGAAGTGTTATTAACATTCTTATTTTGTCTCTGAAATGTACCCTTTTTGAACTCTGAACTCATTTTCTTTGTATCTTGAATATCCAGTCTTACAGCCATCAGGGACAGGAGAGGAATGATACCCGCAAAGGAGGGGAGTCAATAAGAGGATATGCAAGGGGCCTGGTTTAGCTGGAGTTTGTGTAGGGGAATGACAGCCAAGGATGCTTGGATTGTGGTGCCTTTGACAATCTAGCAAGAGAGTTTGAGCTTTAGTAGTAATGGCAATGGGAAAGCTTAAGGCCTTTTGATTAAATAATGAGATAACAAAAGGGGGCTTTGATAGGATTCATCTGGAAGTGGTGTGGCATGACTAAAGGGAGGAGGGGCTAGAGGGGAGAGACCAATTAGGTCTATGTCTATGTAATATATGTATTGGTCTCTGTCCCAGGTTCTTGGTACCAAGCTCCTAACCTTGTAATTTCCTAAGAGATAAGAGCACTAGGAGCATCTTTTGTTCTAATGAAGTGACTCTGGATGGGCTCTTGGATGGGGGCTGGTCACCAGAAAGATCAAGCCATGATTAGAAGCCTGGAACTTTTAGTCCCACTTCCCATTCTCCAGAGAGGAGAGAGGGGCTGGAAATGGAGTTAATAATTGATCATGCCTAAGCGAGGAAGCCTCATAAAATCCCAATAGCGGGGGGTTCGAAGAGCTTCCAGGTGGGTGAACACATCCATATACTGGAGGGTCCCAACTCACAACTCCACGAGGACAGAAGCTCCTGCGCTCAGGACTCTTCCGGTGTATCTTTTCCTTTGACGGTTCATCTGGACCCTTTGTCATATCTTTTAATAAACTGGTAAATGTGTGTTTGCCTGAGTTTTCTGAGCCACTCTAGCAAATTAATCCAACCTGAGGTGGGGGTTGTGAAACCTCACATTTACCCGTCAGAAGCACAAGTGACAACGTAGATTTGCATTTGACATCTGAGATGGGGTGGGAGCAGTCTTGAGGGACTGAGCCCTTAACCTGCGGGATCTGACTCCATCTCCAGGTAGATAGTGTCAGAGTCGAGTTGAACTGAGTTAAATTGTAGGACAACCAGCTGGTGTCGTGGAATTGCTCCTTGTGGGGAAAACCGTCACGTATCTGATGTCAGAGGTGTTGTGAGTGTGGTAATAATGTGGGAGTAAAGGAGAAACACAGGAGGAAGGTTGAGAGGTTTTTCATAAGTCAGGAGGTCAGGCAGGTTGTGGTTGAGATACTTCCTCATAAGAAAGCTTTATTGGTTCCACTGTAGCCTCAAGTTACCTAGAGGATGTGTTTGCACTTCAGAGAGCTAAACAATTTACAGCTAATCTACTGTTAATGCAACCACCATGAGTCAGACAGCGACTGCCAGTGATGCCACTGGAACCTAGATGGAGTCCAAGCATGACTGGCGAGGCACGCTCACAAGGAAGGAGCAGCGGGAGGGGAGACTCATTCCATAAGAGGGCAGAGTCTGGGAGAGGAGGTGTCAAAGACGCTTCTGAGATTGGAAACCTGTGACTCAGCAAAAGGGTGGTACCAGAAGAGAAACAGGAAAGTCAGGAGGAAGGTTAGGGGTGAAAATAATGCTGTGGATTTTAGGTATGTTGAATTGGAGAAGTTAGTGGGATATCCAGACTGAGATGAACAGCCTACAATTGGGAAATACAGAACAAAAGCCCAGAGGGAGGAAAGACGAAGACAGACATCACTGACATTTCTATTTAGAGGTGCTAATTAATGGAAGTAGAGCTGAGGTCATCGAGAAAGAGAAAAGAGAGATCCTGTCTTATTGTATTGGTATCTATCTTTCACTGCAAGCTCCACAAAGATCATGAAGAATATTTTGTAGATTTTGTGAAGGCATCATTTCTCGTTCATCTCTGTACTTCTAGGACTCCTTACCTCTACCCACGCGCTCAGTGTCCTGAACATCCTGAGCTATCTTTAGTGCCTGGAGGACCCCATGCTCTTTCTCTCACTTCTTCCAAGAGCACTTTCCTCTCCTTCTGGATCTGGCTGGCCTGACTCTCCTTTCTTTTTTTTTTTTTTTTTTTCTGCTTTATCTCCCCAACCCCCAGTGCATAGTTGTATATCTTAGTTGTGGGTCCTTCCAGCTCTGGCATGTGGGACGCCACCTCAACGTGACCCGCCGAGCAGTGCCATGTCCGCACCCAGGATCCAAACCCTGGGCCACCACAGCGGAGCGCACGAACTTAACCACTCGGCCATGGGGCCAGCCCCTACTCTCCTTTCAAGGTGTCGTTTATTCATTGTGCGGGAAATCTTTTCTAATCATCTGTTTGGCTTAGATCTTCCGATCTCCTAGTACTACTACCAAAATACTTACTTTGTTGTATTTTAATTATTTACTGCTATTTACTAGCCTGGCTCCCTGAGCTTTACGAGGGCGGGGTTTCTGTCTCTCTTGTTCATTATGATATTCTCAGCACCTGGAGCTGTGCCTGCACAGAATAAGCACTTAAAAATATTTGTGGAATGAATGGATGAATGGGGGGGCAACTGAGTGAATGAAAGGTAAATAATAATGACTATGCACATGCTTTATTGCTCCCTTGTTGCCTAGAATAGTGCTGGGCTTAAGGAACACTTGGGAGAGTGATTAAGTGACAGTTCTCTTTGTGAAAATGGGCCACTTTTTAGATTATAACAACAAACCATGCTGGCCAGGTGTGGGAAGGGTAGGCAGATTTTGAGGAAATATTTGAAATGTAATCAAATGTACCATTGCTTGCACCACCAGCATCCCTAAGAACGGTCCTTTGACTCATGGGATAGGCATGAAGACTGGGTCAGCTGTGGTTTGTATACTTTCTTGAAATTGGCAAGTGCGAACTCTAAGTAACTACCTGAGTTTGCCCAGAACCAACAAAATACAATCTTCTTTAGGAGAAAGTACACCTGTCACAAAGACACCATTGCCCCATACGGAGAACACCAGTGCCTGGAAATCCCACAGCTTGGAGGATTATCGGAAACATGTCCTTTTCTGTGGAACCGAAGTGATCCAAGTCAAGCCCTCTGGGCAGGGCCCAGTAAGAGCAGTCGTTTTGCAAACAGGTTAGTAGATTCCGCTTTTGTAAATTTAGTCCATGACGGGAGGTAGGGGAGCTGGATTAGGGAAATCTTGTTTAAGATTATGGAGTTTGTCACATTCTGGAATTACCAAGCACACTCGTTTCCAGTCAGACCCTTATTTTAAGTCGCCACCATTTCCAACTGAATGGTTCGTTGTTAAAACCATCATATATGACGAAGCGTATACAGGGATGAAGTATATTTCCTCAAAGGCAAAACTATGTTCTTGTTTTTTCTTGTGTCCACAGGCTTCTTCTCTTTTCCCTCTACACCCTTTTTAAGTGATTGCCAAGAAAACAAATTCCAATCGCTATCATTTGAGGACTTTTTCCTTTCAAAGAGTTGCTTGCTGGGCTGTTATTTCAAGGTCTCTGCTAGATAATTCTGCCTGGGTTCCCTACAGACACTTCACAGTCAAGGCATCCGAAGAGAAGCATCCTCCTCTGTCGCCTCTCTCTTGACAGCATCACCATCTAGCTAGCCTCTTCACGTCATCTTAGACTCCCCCTTTCTCCCATAGCAAATAGGACACCACATCCTGTCAATTCTTCAAAGACCTGCAGGGTCTCGTCTCCCTCTCTCATCCCCATGGTTGGTGTTTTGTTCCGACCTTCATCATCTCCTGCCTAAGCTATAACAACAAAAATATTCTTTTGACTGTTCCCTTTCAACTTTTACTTCAAACACTTTTTCTTGTGTTGTTCCATCTTTTTTTAACCTATCCCTCAATCTGAATCAAGTCACATTTCTAAAACATGGTTTGAAACAGTTCATACACACCTTGCTGAAAAACTTTTCAAGACTGCCAACATTAGTCCCAATCTTTCACATGACATTACACGACCCACACAGATACAAAACATGCCTTGCACTTTGATATCTCTATGTTTTAGTTTAGTCTATAATTCAATTGTTCTACCTGATTTTTTTAAAATTAAAAATATTAAGTTTTGTTTTATGTTCGAAGTAGTCAGTGGGCATGAGAACATCTCTCAGCCTGCTGATCAGCAGTAGCTAGTGGGCGGTGATCATGGAACCTGCCTGACCTGAGCTTGTAAAGTTCTAAGGCTACAGGTTAGGGGAGACTCTCCTCCTTTTCTCCAAAGCCTGCAAAGCTTTGTTTGAGGAGACCAGATGTCCATTAAGCAGAGGGATTAAGGCATGTTTTATACTTATAGTACTGACTGATATCTAAAATATATAGTGGTCAATGTCTTTTGCCAATAATTTAGATCTTAATGAGTATCTACTAAGGGCAATGTACTGAGGGTTAAAGAAAAAAAATGTGAGATACTCTTTGTCCTTAAAGAAGATTGTGGTCTGGTGCAGGAGACAGATGGATTCATAGTTAACTAAAACACAAAGCAGTGATAGATGTCAAACCACCAAGTGTTACAGGAACTCCAAAGAGTGAGAGAAATTATTTTTGATATGAGGTATGGGAGTAGAATTTTGGAAGCATTTATTTGATGAGATGGCATTTTGAGCCAAGCCTCATAGGATGGGAAGGATTTATCCAATCATATCAGATAGCTGGAAAGGCATGCTAATTTGTGTTTGCGAAACACGAAGGAAGGAGTGCACAGGGGTCTTCTGGGACCAGTGAGCAGTCAAGAGATAAGTCTGGCAAGGTAGCAGGAGATCAGACTGAAAGGGATCTCAAATGCCATGCCTCGAAATTTGAACTTGATTTTAAAAAATAGGGGCACTGGGAGGTTTTTGAGCATAAGAATGACGTGATTGGAGGCATACTATTTAAGAAATGACTTGCCTTGTGCTCTCCTTTTCTCTTAATTTCCTATTACATTCAACACATATCTGTGCTTTAAAGCCTTCTTCTCTCAGCGGCTCCTCTTACCTGGTCACCACAGTCATCAGCTCCTTAGTCTTCTTTTCCCCAACCCCATGCGTAAGTGCAGAGCGGCACTGTGTGAGCCACTGAAGCACCGACCCCCAGAGCAAAAGAAATGGAGCAGCACTAAGTGAACGCCATTTATGGTTTCTGGTGACTTGTAAGAACAATAAATATAAATACACTGTTAGGTCACAGCAATGCTGTGTTCATTCCATATTCAAATGACTCTATTAACCAATCCTTAATTCAATGCAAACTATTTTTGGTTTGGGATGAAACTGTATTAAAGGACCTTACTTGACCTGTGATTATCTTCATGTAGGTTATAATACAGCAAAAGGAGACTTGGTGAGATCCATCCTCTACCCCAGGCCTCTGAACTTCAAACTATACAGTGATGCCTTCAAGTTCATAGTGTTCCTGGCCTGCCTTGGAGTTGTGGGTTTTTTCTATGCTCTTGGTGTATACATGTACCATGGAGTAAGTACTGGGTGTAAGCCTTTTCAATGGCATAGCTTTTTCCAGGAGCTTGACCTCAAAAGGGTTGGGCAAGGTTACCTCTTAGTCCCATCAGTCTGAATCAATGCTGTCCAGTAGAGCCTTCTCAGGTGATGGAAATATTCTATATCTCTGCTGTCCCATATGGTAGCCCTTGACCACATGTGCTTATTGAGGACTTGAAGTGTGGCTAGTGTGATAGGGAAATGAATTTTCAATTTTACTTATTTAAAGTAATTAAAATTTAAATAGCTATGTATGGTCAGTGAAAATTGCATTGGATGGTACATCTATGAAAAGTCACAGAGTTCATGGCTCCTTTTACCACTTGGTTGGGAATAAGAGCTCACCACATGTGTGGCATTTGTGATAGCCAAACCTAAACAGCCTCAGAGGACATGCATGTTTCTCAAGCCCGATAGGCTGGGGAGCATTTAGTCAATCAGATCAGAGAGCAGGAAGGACATACTAATTTGAGCGAGCAAAACACAAAGGAAGAAATGCACATGGGTCTTCTGGAATCAGCAAGCAATTAAGAGATAAGTCTAGCAAAGTAGAAATAGATCAGATTGAAGGGGATTTTGAGTGCTATCCCTAGAAGTTTGGGCCACTTGAGAGCATTGAAGTATTTGAGCGTGTACATCATACCCAACACACCACGTAGTCAATGGATTGCCCCTGTGTTCTGGTTAGGTTCTGAAATGAAATCAAATGTTTACTTTTACAGAGTTGCATTCTGCATGGATCCTCACTTCCTTTTAAGCTTCAGGGTATCTGGTTTCACTTGGATGTCTCACTTAATAGTTGTGATGGATGGAGAGAGAGGGGTTGTCTCAAATGACCTTTGAGTTCCTTTCTGGTCCTGGGTCTGATTCTGTTGTGAACCTGCAGTCTCTTCTGTAAGACATGCTGGGATCTTAGCAGTGTGGGCTCATGGGGAAGAAGAAAAAATTGTGAATAAAAGGATCCCAACAACAGGTGTGAAATTGGGTGTGGTGGCCTAAAATTATGATACCCAAACTGATGGCATCAGTCCATTCTGTGTCCGTGTGTAGTGGGGTGGATATTGATTGGCAAAGACACAGTCACAGGAATTTCTATGCAATGTTCATGTTCAAACTTGAGCTCTGAGGGGCTGGCCTGGTGGCATAGCAGTTAAGTTTGCATGCTCCGCTTCGGCGGCCCGGTGTTTGCTGGTTTGGATCCCAGGCATGGACCTACACAGCACTTATCAAACCATGCAGTAGCAGGCATCCCATATATAAATCGGGAAAGATGGGCATAGATGTTAGCTCAGGGCCAATCTTGCTCAGCAAAAAGAGGAAGATTGGCAGTGGATGTTAGCTCGGGGCTAATCTTCCTCAAAAAACAAAAAATACAAAAAAAAAAAAAATTAAACAAAACAGAACTTGAGCTCTGAACAGTCATTTGAATCTGAAATAAGTCCCCTAGGAGCATTTCTAGGGCAGGCGAGGGCAGAGGAGGCCAGAGCATATTGGCACCAGTAGAACGGACCCTGGAAAGAGCTAGGCAAGATGTCAAAGCCGGTGAGGCTGGAATTTGAGGCAATGTGCCATTTTCATCTCGAGAGGGAGCGTTGGGCAGGACAACAAGCCAAAAACCCTCTCCTACAGACCAGAAAGCCTGGCAGTGATTGGAAATGAAGGCTTCCAGGGCAGGACTCAACATCCAATAGACGCCAAAGCAGCAAGGCTAATCCCAGACCCCATCGTTCTGCGGGGCAGAACCTGTGGACCTGTTGGCTGCCTCTATCTGCACTGGCTCAGGATTAGACAGGGCTGAGTCCTTGGGGGCAAAACTCCTCTGTGGCTTTGGTTGGGAAAAGCAAGGAATGACAGATTTTGTGATAAACTGAGATCGAACCAAAGATGTATCCAGCATCCATTGTTACTGAACTTGAATCTGTGTTTCCAATACACAAAAGAGGACTGGATGGCTAAAATTATGGTTAATTTCATAACAGCCTAGGCAAGGTGGTAGAGGGTAGAGCCATCAGTGTCTAGAACATGTGAAAAATGAAAGAAGCCACTCCATGGTTTTATCTTGGTCTCGCCCTTATCAGCCACGTGAGCTTCTGCAGCCCTGCCTGGGATCTGACTCCGCAAGAACTGGCCTGATAATAGGTCACACTGGTCACGCCTTTGTACCCTCGAGTCAGACAGACTAGGATTCATACCCTCACCACTTAACTAGCACGTGGCCTTGGGGAAGTTATTTCACTTTTAAGCCTTTGCTTCCTCATCCATTAAATGGAGAAAATAACAGTGTTTATGTCGCGAGGTTTTTGGGGGGAATAACTAACTAATGTACGTAGCCTGACACAATGCCCGCCCCACAGTGCCTGTCCAGTGAGGACAAGCTATTTGTATTATTGGCTTCCCTTGAATAGATAATATATGCTGAATTTTGCTCGTAGTTTTTGTCAGGTCACCATTCATTCAATCTGTGAGCTGAGCACCTCCCCTGTATCAGACGCTGTGCTAGACTCTGTATCTGGAGATGAATAAGATGAATCCGAAGATGACTTCAGAGATGAATAAGCCGCAGCTGCTGTGCCCAAGGAGTTTGTGGGCTGGTGGGGGAGAGAGATTTATAATAACAGTCAAGTTGCTGTGTAAGATATTACAACTCAAGACCAGTCCCTGGGAGTCCAGAGGGGGTATGTGAGAGTCTGGTGAGCAGAGAAGGGATGGGCGCTCTGGGTGGGGAATGCTGAGGAATGGAGAGAAAGAGTCAGGAAAAAGCAGAGTGGACCCAGAGAAGGCATCAGAGGACTCCTTTGTTCTGCAGTGGGAGACAATTTGTTCATTCCCTGGGCACAGCCAAGAGAACACTCAGTCCTACCAAGAGAGCCGACCCACTATGAATATTCTGAGCGGTGGTTTTGCAGGAAATGGTGCCAGGAAGCGTGCCAGCCTGCTCTGCTAGGCTAACCAGTCTGTGCCTCCCCTCCCCAGGTCTCTTTTGGAAATACTGCGCCCATGGCCCTGCTCCTCCTCACCGTTACTGTCCCTCCCGTGCTGCCAGCTGCCCTGACCACAGGCATCGTGTATGCACAAAAGAGGCTGAAGAAAAAGAAAATCTTCTGTATCTCCCCACAGAGAATCAATATGTGTGGACAAATAAACCTCGTGTGCTTTGACAAAGTATGATCTAAACTTTCCAGGTTGGAGGTCAATGATTCCAAAGCACAGCAGGGCGGGGAAAGGGCCTCAGAGAATGTCTGGTCCGGCACCCTCATTTTACAGATGGGAACATTGAGGCCAGAGAAGATCACGTTCTAGAAGCCTGCTTTACTGAGTCCTAGGAAGGGGTTTAGCCATCATATCATGAATTTCTTCTCTGTGAAATTTAGTATTTTTGTGTCTCATTTGGATTTCAAGACAATCTCTTACTGTAATAACTTTGGCTGACTGGCTTTTTCAGACAAAAAATATGAGGAACATTTCTGTTCTCCAAAGGGCTTTGTCCAGAGCTTACGTGAATATATTCCTTTCTCCTCCTCTGCTTCTTCTAAGGAAAGGGAGGGAGTGGACCGTGACCTGTGTTTATGCAATCTGCTCCCTCTTTTTTCCTTTGCTCCCCAGGTTATCAAGACTCAGGACTAGGGAAGCTTGTCTGTGTGCGTAGGGCCCTGGAAAGGTGGCAGAGGAGGGATATGTTCAAACGGAGCGACTGCTGCTTTGGGACGGGTCCCGAGACCCCTTAGCATGACTCTCCTCTGGGGGACCTGGAGGTCTTCAGCGTCAGCTGCCTGCTGTTCAGATGCTGCCCTCAGCTTGGGCAGGGCAGTTGAACTGCTCTAACACAGTGGCCCCAGCTTGGTCCCTCCATGTCCTCAGTCTATTTGCATTTGAATAATTCCTAAAGGCTTTGCTACTTTTTAGTGAACCCACATTGGCAGAGAGCCGCATTAATGAGCTGCTCCTAGCTCTTGAGAAGCTTGTGGTCCAGCTGAGGAAAGAGATAAAATGGAAGTGTGGACAATGATAATGCAGTGAAATGTGTGCTTGATAGCAGTATGAGCAAAGCACTGCGTGCAGTTCCCTGCCACAGGTGGGAGGTTGCCTTTGAGCTGTGGCTTTGGTTGTTGGACAGAATGCGCTCCAGGCTCAGAGGCGAGCAGGTCAGAAGCACAGGGATGTGAGGGCCTGCAGTGTGTGGGGAATGGGGCAGGAGTTGTGGCTAGAATGTGGCTGTTTGGTGGGGAATGTAGCTGGAGAGGAGGAGCCCAATGGCTCAGGGCCTGATGTGCCAAGCTAAGGAGTGGGGCCTTGTTGTGAAGGAGAATGGGGGCCCTTCTCGTTTTTCAATACCAGTGACATTTTTATAGGTGTGTTTCATTTATTTCACCTGGGGGAATTGCTTAGAAGGGACAGAAGGGAGATGGGACTGAGGCAGGAGGCTATCTGGGGACAACTGCAGATCATTCATTGTCCTAGACACAAAGGGCAAGAATGCAGAGATGAAGACCAACTCGAGAGACACCATGAGTGGGCTTGACCAGACTTGGTCCCCACTTGGAAGTGGCATAGCTCTTAGCTTATTTCAGTTCTATTTTGTTCGAGTTTCCTTTGGCAGAGAAAGTCCTCTATGGCCACCAGTCAGGAAGCTGTAGGGTTAGCATAACAGTAGCTTCCTTTTAGATTCGGGGTCAGGTACCAGCCCCTTGGAAGTTTTTGATAGGAATTCCCATTACTTCCCCAGTAGCCTTACTAGTGTCTAGAATATAGGAGGGAGATTTATAAAATATGTTCATTACATATTTGTCTGTTTCTAAAACTAATTTTTCCAGAGGCTGGCCTGGTGGCACAGTGGTTAAGGGCTCACGTTCCGCTTCTCAGCAGCCCGGGGTTCGCCAGTTCGGATCCCGGGTGCGGACATGACACCGCTTGGCAAAAGCCATGCTGTGGTAGGCGTCCCATATATAAAGTAGAGGAAGATGGGCATGGATGTTAGCTCAGGGCCAGTCTTCCTCAGCAAAAAAGAGGAGGATTGGCAGCAGTTAGTTCAGGGCTAATCTTCCTCAAAAATAAATAAATAAATAAATAAATAAAACTAATTTTTCCAGACAGTGGAAACATTTTTTTTTTACTTCCCATGTAGGGCTTTTTCCTCTCCATTCTCCTGTGCTCCTTTGCTAGACTGTTTTAGGGACTGCCTCTCAGCATACTTGGCCAAACTCTGTACAGTATGACAGCATGTTATAGTGCAAGAACTCAAATGAGAAATCTAATCCTGAATTTGATGCTAAGTTCCGTGTGACTTTTTAAGATACGAACGTTGAATTACAGTCATCTCTAAGTTTCTTTCTAGCTTTCACATTATAAAACTCCACCAACACGATGTTGGAATAAAGCATTTCATGATTAATTGAATTTCCATCTAGTGTAGTTTCACTGTGGAAGATATTCACCACTGAGTTTCTGAGTACATTTACTTCCATGTATATTTCTAGTTTAAGCTGATTTGTTATAAGTTCTGTAAAGCAAATTCTCTCTTTCTTTTCTATCCAATTAAGTCCAAGCCTTGGCTAGTATTTATGCTAAGAAGCTTTCATTTCCTGTCTTATTCCCTTTATAATGGCAACTATAATTCAATTTCTTTCTGTTTATGGTTAGTTTTAACATATAGGGTTATTTTCACATAGAGAAAGAACACGGTCCCATTTCCGTTTTGCTGTGGCATCATTGGCATCATCTCTCTGTCTTCATGTTCAAAATATTGAAGCTTAAAAACATAATCTAATCATCAGGAAAACATTTCAGTTTGAATTAAGTTGCTAACTCTTTTTGAAATGGAACAACTCAAGAGGATTTGGAATATAAACACACAAGTTGGGGCCCTTATAAAATGCAGGAGGGAAATGAAGCAAATAGCTTTTGTTGCTGTCTTTGTTGTCCTTCAAGGAATAACTCACACAAACATGCTATCTCTCCATGAAGTTCAAATGAATTAATGAAATAAAGAGTCCTTAATTCTTTAATCCAGAAACCCAGTACAGGCTTTGTCTTTCTACGTGCTTTGCTGAGTTCTCTTAACATTTGTCATCTAGTGGAAGACTCTAGATGGGCTGGATTCTGGTTCTTTCTCTCCATCCTACTCGGCCACTGGATGCTGAGACTGCTCATTTCACCTCTAGCCTAAGAATGCCTCTACTCTATTTACTCTGTTGTAAGAACTGAAAGCATTGAAAACACTTCACTGTAAAGCATTGTGCTAATATGATGCGCTGTAATGATAGAAGATGTCATTTGGTAGAAAACTAGAAAATTCAGTGTCTTATACAGAGATGACCTTAAAAAACAGCATCAGAGACCTGGGTGTTGGTGTTGAAACAGGATATTTACCAACACTTGGTAATGCCCCGCTCTGCCTTGACTATGCTGAAGCAGCACCAGCCAACTCCTTTCTCTGACTAGGGGTTAAGCAGGCCTCGTGCTGTCAGCCTGCTGCATTAGACACCAGGTCTGTAATTAATGATCGACTGTGCAGCAATGAGCACATTAACAGGGCTGTGAGAGTCTTCAGTTCCATTTTACTTTCTCTGTTACGTTATCTGACAAATACTCTCCCCTAATACAGCAAATCAAATCTCCCAGCCATTTTCCTCTTGATCTGCAATAAAACCCATTCATGGGCACTAATTAGTATTTATTATTAGCACTTCGTTTCTCTCTATCATCTCAAAGCCCTTTATCAACATTTCATTATCAATCTGGACAGTCACCATGTCACCCATATTTTAGAAAATTGCTGTGAACCAGATGGCAGACTGTGAATTAAATGGTCTTGAAAAGAAAGGAAAAAAAAAAATTCTGAGCTCTGCTTTAGAGAGATAGCAGGTGCCAACTAAAAAGTCAGACTCGAGCTGGTTCTTGTTGGATTTTCAGTTGCTGAACCTCTGTCATTTAGCAACAGCAACAGTCACAACAATAAACAAAAACAAATACTTGCATTTTGTGGTAATAATGAGTCATTAGAGCCCCCTGACTTTCCACATGGTCTTTCGGGAATCACTTGTCACCTGTTGAATCTTTCTTTCAGGCCCTCTTCTCTGATTTAAAATTTGATGCTTACAGATAAGGGCTTTGGACAATTAGATCTACTTTAGTTTCTCGGGAGCTTGGGTTTTGTGTAAATCATGATATAATTAAAAGCTTTAAATTTTATGCTAATACCATTTCTAACTTTTTCCCAGACCGGCACTCTTACGGAGGATGGGCAGGACCTCTGGGGGACCATCCCTACTGCTGACAACTGGTAGGCACATTAGTGAACATGGATGTTGATTGGTGGGCCATCTTGGTGCTACTCAAAGCCATCCTTCCTGTGTTGAGGGATGAATGTCACATAAAATATAGATAATAACTGGCTGGAACCAGCTCCCAATTTTTCTAACTTGTTAAATCAAATGAGTCTTAAGTTCAGAATCAGACAGAGAAAGTAGGCCTTGAAACTCCACATGGAAAATGGGATAGAATGAGGTGGATGATTAAGGAGCTGAACGAATAAAACAGAGGAGCAAAGAGCGAAATCAGGACTGTGCTCAATTAAAAACTGCACAGACTTCCTGAGCGGCTAGTGCGGTGGGGGATCCAGACAGGAAGAGCTGCGTCTCCTCCCTCACGGAGTTCACACTCCAGCGGATAAAAATGTCCATCCACGTTCAACGTACAACACAGGCCGAGAAAAGGGTCACTATGAAGGCATAAATATTAGAACAGAGATGAAGAAATCATAATGATGGCTTGATATAATACACAGTCCTGGTGTTTATTATAACATAGTGAATAAAAGGTAGAAGTTAAATTTGAAAATGAGTACATCAAGAAAACCACCTGAAGGAGAGAGCATTTGAGATAGGTTTTGAAGGGTGTATGGATAGGATTTTTATAGACCTGATTTAAAAGCAGGCACTAGGGAAGGGAGAGGGCAATCTCAACGATGCTACCCCAGAACAGAGCTAGAGAGGGGAGGGAGTGGCCCCTTCTCAGAGAGGGTCCCTGAGCTCCTAGCTCCCTTCCCTGTGGGGCCAAGACCAGCCTTCTCAGTCTGAGTGGAGGGGCCTCTGCTCTTAAGCTCCAGGAACCCTGCCTTGGCTCCAAACAGTGGCTAAGGCTGCTGACATTGAAGGAGTCAAGCAGGGGCTCCCCAAGAGGGTAACAGGGCCGGACGCAGCACTGGCACTTGGCAAGAGCAGACAGGCGGTGCAATGCGGCAGAAGATCCTCGGGCTGGGCATCAGTGAACTATGTGGGCTCTAACCTGCTCATGTGTCTGCTCCTGGCTGCTCAGATACCTGGTCCAGGCCTTTGTCCAGAGAGGCATGGCTTCTATTTGCCAGAGCAGTGAAAGGAGAAAAGGATATTTGTCGTTTCCATCCCTCCTTTATTCCCTTGTCCCCAGAACTCTGAAGCTTTTGGGGAGTAGAAACTAAATACAATTACTACTCAGCTCTAACATGGGAGGAGACGACGGTAACACAAGCCAACTGACAGTCACAGAGGAAACTGTGCTTTAGATGCTGGCTGTCTATGCCAGGAGTTTCAGGAAATAGGGGCAAAGTGTGAAGAACTGAGTAGCAAGAAATATTTCAGAGTCCGTGCATGCTTTCACTTGAAGGAACAAGGAACCACCAGGCAGGCTTCTTTCTCGTCCCTGCTACCTCATCGGTCTGGAGACTTCTTGCCTGGGCTGTGTGGCTTTCTAGAGCCAGCACTGCGGAGTTTGCAGATGTCAGTTCCAAGCCTTCCCACAATATGCTTTTCTACAATACGGCCACCGTGGACGGGGCTGCAGAAACCTGACAAAAGTCCCTGTGATTCTAGCCAAGCTCTCTGAAATGATAGTAGTTCCTGGCCAGTGGCAAACTGTTGAGAAGGAAATTCACATCCAACTCAAAGGAGGGCTTTATAAAGAGCAGTCTACAGGCAGAATATTCCAGTTAGAAATTAGAAAACCATGTGAGCAAGGGCTCAGGGCAGGGAAATCCCTGTGTGAGCATAGACATAGCAAGAAGTTTAACTTGACTCTGGAAAAATTGTGCATAAAGGGCACTAGTATGAGTAGAATCTGTAAGATGATACAGAACTGGAGAAGACAGGGCCTTAAATACCAGCCATAGGAGAACTTTATCACACATGGCATGGGGAGCCATTGAAGGTTTTCTGCATGGGGGTTAGGTATTATTGAAGCTTTACGTTAGTAAGATTTAAGGGGCAGGGTGTACAAAAAGATTTCGTTGAAGACCTTAACTTATGAATTGTCTTCTCTACCAGCTTCCAGGAAGTCCATAGCTTTGCCTCGGGCAGGGCTTTGCCATGGGGCCCACTGTGTGCGGCCATGGCCAGCTGCCACTCCCTGATCCTTCTGGATGGGACCATCCAGGGAGACCCTCTGGACCTCAAAATGTTTGAGGGCACTGCCTGGGTAAGGTGATAATTTCTTGCTTCAGCTGAATGAGGAAAACTTGAAGAAATCCTTACTAGGAGTGCTAAAGCTTTTCTAACTTTGGTGGAAACCCAGAGAAGATTCCTAACAATGCACGAATGAACATCTGATTCAACCTGAATTTCCCAGACTCTGCTCCAAAGAATTCCGTTAATGAGTGCAACAGGAAATCGAGTTCCATGGGCTAATAAATTTGGGAACTGCTATTTAAACAAACTTAAATAGGTTTCTTGACTGCAGGATTTCTTTAATATGTCGTGGTCTGGTGTGAACATTCAAGGGAGAATATGATATGCAGCACTTGCCAAACTTATTCGACCACAAAAACTTTATTGACAGGCCAAAACATGTTTTGGAGAAAACAAATATTCTTTGAAACACCCTCAGAGAAACAGGGTGTTTATACTAAAACAGTGCCATCCAATATAGTAGCCACTAGCCACGTGTGGCCAATGAGCGCTTGAAACAAGGCTATGCAACTGAAAAACTGAATTTTTTATTTTATTTACTTTATGTTTTTCCTTTTCTTTCTCTTTTTTTTTTTTTTGAGGAAGATTAGCCCTGAGCTAACTGCTGCCAATCCTCCTCTTTTCGCTGAGGAAGACTGGCCCTGAGTTAACATCCATGCCCATCTTCCTCTACCTTATATGTGGGATGCCTACCACAGCATGGCATGCCAAGTGGTGCCATATCCGCACTGGGGATCTGAACTGGTGAACCCTGGGCCGCTGAAGCAGAACGTGCGCACTTAACCGCTGCGCCACCCGGCCGGCACCTACTTTAGTTATTTTAAGCTTAAGTGTAAATAGCAAGAAGTGGCTGGTAGCTACCATATTGGACAGCAAAGATCTAGACACCAAACTGGAGGACTCTTGGTTCAATTGATTCAATTTTCTGAGTGAATGACAGTTGAAGGGTGTAAATTTATCCTGGTGGCTGTCATGACATGGTGGGAAGAGCTCTTGACTCCACCACTCTCTAGCTGTGTGACCCCAAATTCAGAACCAAGACTCAGTGTGCACCTCATCTTGCATTTGGGATAATAATGTCTCATTCACAGACTTGTGGTGAGCTTGAGACTATGACCCTAAAAGGACTGTGTGCATTGTAAATGCCCAACAAATGGAGGGTATTCATTCATTAGTTAGTTACCTAGTTAATTACATTCTGCTGCCCTCCAAAAAAGTGTCCTAAAGCTACTTACAATGATACATCAAGTACAGGACAGCATTTTAAACAGAGTTGTAAAGGAATGGAAACAAATGATCGCAGAGAAAGGAAGTACCTCTCACAAAGAGGCTAATTTACAGATGTGTAGTAGGAAAATTGTAGCTTTCTAGAGGCCAAAGTAATAAAAGAGGAAACCTGGTAAAAAGGGAAATTTCTAATCTCAGTAAGTTAAATTAAAACATTTGCTGTGGAGAAATTTTTGACACCAAGACAAATAGTAATCACTTTCCCAGATCTTAATGCAGAAGAATCAGGGTAATTGTTATCAGCAACGTCCTTACCGGCATCCGTGGAGTTGACACGGTGATGAGTTGAACAGGGTCGCCGTTACCGTATGTGCCTTTGATCCTGGTTCTAACAGTGGCCGCTTCTCCAGCAGAGGAGGGTTGATCCAACTGTACAAATGACATAGCAAGTTGGGGTCTAGCGTGGGAACATAAATGTTTAGTATTATCTCTGTACGAATTGTTTTTAAGAACAGTTACATCTACTCCAAACAAAGCATAAAGATTATTCATTGAGTTTAAAGCTTGGTGAGAAACAGCCTTGCATTAAATCCCTTGGCAGTAAGGGACCTTTCAGTAAACGTTAGGGGGATGGAAAATGTCCTTATAGACCCTAAGAATGTTTAGCACTAGAAGGGATGTCAGAATATTTTTCAGAAGAAACTGAAATCTGGAGACATGAGGTGATGTCCCCAGGGTTAAACAAGCAAGTGACAGAGAGGAGACCAGATGTTGTCTCCTATTTTCTGACCTTTACTTTTTATATATCCAACTGCTTTTTCGCGTATTTTAGGTTACTATTGGTTTCTCAGGTGGTGTAAATTATACTGTTTAACATCCAAAGAATGCACACCATTTTCAAGTGTGCTTTCTAATTTGCTGGCAGCTAACTCTCTAGCTAAGCAATTAGACCAGTAGCATAGATATAGCATAAGAAACAGTCCCGTGTTTATCTCAAGACCCAACCCTGACTCATCTGAGAGCTAATGTGCTCAGCTGTATTGGAGAGTAGATCTTACTCAAACCCTCCTCCAATTACTAGACATACCATTTAGGAAGATCCATTGGGCCTGTAGCTATCACTGCTTCCACCAATTACTACATAAAGTGTGGTCACAATATTTTTGGCTTTTTGACATTATACAGTAAGGTCCTTAATATAAATCAACACAACAGAAATTTGACAATGACAGTATTAAGATAATTGGCCTAGAAGAGAAAAATATGTGAAAAGGGCTTTGAAAAGATTAAAGTGCTATGCAAATGAGAGATATTTCTTTCTTACTATTTTTCTCTAAGGAATCTTATGAATGTTTTCATTTTTAAACAGATAATGGAAGATCGCAAAGTAAACCACTGCAAATTTGGGATGTCAGATTCAAATGTGGTAATAAAACCAGGACCAAAAGCCAGTCAGGTATGATTTGCTTCTTTAAATCATGTAGCTCTTTCCCCTTAAACCTGGAGAAACTCTCTTGACTTCCACATATTTTTATATCCCTATTATTTTGCCTTATCCTAACAGGATCCATAGTTGGTTTGCTCATTCCTTCATTCCTGAATTTATCCATTAACTTATTCAACAAACATTCGCTGAGTACCTATGTATGCTAGAGCACTGTGCCGGGTGCTAAGGGGTGGAGTGATTTCAAAGCTAGACAAATGGGGCTCTGTGCTGGAAGAGGACACGGGCTGGGAGAAGAACCAAGAGAGGTGCAAATAATTGCAATACAACGTGTCAAGTGCTATAACAAAGGCCCAAGAAAGAGCCGCAGGCGTCCAGAGGTGGCGGTAACTACTGATTCTTGGAGACAAAGCGCCATGGAGGAGCTGACCTGTGAACTTGGGCTGGAAGATGATTAGGATTTTTCCAGGCAGCCAAGGGGAAGGGCCTTGCAGATCAGCCAACTTGATGAAGGAATTGTCTTAGAAGCAGCCAGAAAAATATCAACGTCGGGACAAATGTACCATTTCATGATGTCCCTAGGCTCATTGCAGAGTAAATCTTATTTGTTGGCATGCATCTGCTAAATCTCACTTAAAAGCTTCTTGAGCTCCGCTTTCTCGGTGCACTTGTAGAGTCCGGTGGAAGCCATCACCATCTTGCACCAGTTTCCATTTTCCTCCAGCCTGCAGAGGATGTCTGTGGTCGCTTGGCTGGCGGGAGGGGATCACTTCCATGTGTACATGAAGGGTGCCCCGGAGATGCTGGTCCAGTTCTGCAGGTCTGAAACAGGTACTAAGGAGCACTTTTCTCGTTCAGGAGGTACAATATTTTAAAGCAAACACTTAAAGCAAACGAACCTAAATCAATGAAGGTGGAGGTGGTTGTTTTCTAGGTGATTGAAAGTGGGTCCAATAGATTTGATAAAGCAGAGGTGATCATTTCAAGGCAGAGAGGCAGACAGTAACTCTCTGGCCATGGTCCAGCCAGAAAAACCCAACCACAATAGGGTATCAGGAAAGGAGAGTGAAGTAAACATCAGGAGCCAGAACAGGACACTACGCAGGGATCAGAGAACCAGGGAGGGTGAGAATGAGGAGCATTCAGAGGCAACCTAAGGGAAGGGTCTCACATTAGACTAATTCTGCCAACGGGGTGCTCTGTCACCTCTGGGGGGCTGTCATCACTTGCGGGGCCTCAGACTGATCGATGGCAGGAGAATACAGAAAAGACAAATCCTTTAGAAAAAAAAAAGTGATTAGAGCAAATTAGATGGTATTAGAGCAAGGTAATTGATCATTTTCACAGCAATTTCATCTTTCTGGGCCAGATTTTGAGCTGATTTGTATTGTTTCTTAGTCTTACAAACATACGCACTGTCTAAGCAGCAGCACAGATTTATAAGAATATTGTTGCATTCAAATGAGTTCATTTGGATAAAATGGGTCTTTTTCTCCTGATTTTCATCTATATTCTCTTTACAATTGCTGATAGCCATCAACTGGTGCACAGAATTCCAGATTTGGCAAATGATTGCTTTAACTTCTGTGTCTACTCGAGCTCTTTTTTAGAAGCGCCCCCTTTTTTCTGCCTTTGATCTTCCTCAGGGCTCCCGTTAACTCTATCCTTCACAGCTTGATGGCCTATACTTTGTTGTTCTTTTTTTCAGCCACACAAATACAAGTGTCTTCTTGAAATTTTAGCTGGCAATTATTGCTCCTGCTCTGTCAGTCAAGCTGTGGGTCTGTCACTCACCATCTCTTATTCTTATGGGAGCCCTTCCAATTCTTCTTAGTGTCCTAACCTCTGATCCTTGACATGTGTTAGCAACATCTTAAGTGATTTTTCCCCCCTGTATTTAAGAAATAGAGCGCTAGCAACTTCCTGGAAATTAGATTCCCCCCTCCAGGATTATTCTAGAATTACAGGAGCTGAATGGGGATGTAGAGATCCACAACCTCCTCATTTTATGGAGGGGAAAATTGAGGCACAGAAGAGAGACTTAACATGTCCAAGGTCAGAGGGGTAATTGACAGTAGAGTAGAAACTAGAACTCAGGTATTTTGCTTTCTAAGATACCACCCCTCCCATTATACTGTGCTTCTTTCTAATACACTTATAGGCATACTATAAATCATAAGAATTTTATAAGTATGTTAACATTAGTCATGATTGCCATGCCAAAATACACAAATGTTGGCATTGTGTCACCTATTATCTTAAGTAGGGTGTGGTAAACTTTTTTGCAAAGAGCCAGATAGTAAATATTTTAGGTTTTGCAGGCCATATGGTCTCTGTCTCAACTGCTTGACCCCGCCATTGTAGCCTGAAAGCAGCCGCAGACAATGAACAAACAAATAGCCTGGCTGTGTTCCAATAAGGCATTATTTACAAAAAAAAGCAATGGGTCAGATTTTGTCTGGAGTCTGCTGACCCCTGATCTAGAGGGTCAACTGTTTCCCTCATTTCATCTGGGTAAACATAATCCTGAGGTCTGTCCTTACTGAGCCTGGCCAGTGTATCTGACACCCAGTTGATGACCACTATGTCTTTGGCATTTATTTCCATCAGAGTAATAAGAACTCACTGATGAAGTTATTTGTGGCCTTATCCTGAAACTGTAGTTTTTCTGTGAAAGCATTTTTATGGAGTGAAAGTTAAAAAAAGGTACAGTGGGGCTGGCCCCGTGGCCAAGTGGTTAAGTTCGCGCACTCTGCTGCAGGCGGCCCAGTGTTTCATTGGTTCGAATCCTGGGCGTGGACGTGGCACTGCTCGTCAAACCACGCTGAGGCAGCGTCCCACATGCCACAACTAGAAGGACCCACAAAAAGAATATACAACTATGTACTGGGGGGCTTTGGGGAGAAAAAGGAAAAAATAAAATCTTTAAAAAAAAAAAAACAAGGTACAGTGACTGCATCACAGAGTCTTGCTCAGGAGTTGGGTGGCCTTCGATGTCACCGTACATTTACCTCTTTCCTCTCTCCTGAAAGTGCCCCAGAATTTCCCACAGGAACTGAAGAAATACACAATGCAAGGCTTCCGCGTCATTGCCCTTGCCCATAAAGCCTTGAAGATGGAGAAGTTTTCAGAAGTAGAGAGTTTAACCAGGTAAGGAACTTGGAAATTGGCACTAGGGCAGACTCTGTGTGCGTGAAGTGAATGAGCCCTGGAGACGGACAGATGGACAGCTCAAGTCACCAGGAAGGCTCCAGGAGACGGAGAATCACTCTCATCCAGTCTTCCGATTCCAAGATGGGCAACTTGGGAGGACTTGCTCAGGTCACAATGCTCACTGGTGGCAGATCAAGGATGACAGTTGAGGTCTCCTGAATCTTAGATGTCAGTGAGTTATCTCTGCTCTGCACTCCATCATCTCACCAAAAATGACCAACTTTTCTTCAACTTTGGAACATTATGCAACTGACTGACTTGGGGCACCCATATACAAAGGGGTTGAGAGAAGGAGACAGTTGGCACTGTGAAAGACTTCCAGAATCCCTGAGACTTGGCTTCTTTCAGGGCTCAGTAGTACACCTCCCGCAGATCTGGAGAGGTAGTGAGTGCAAACTGAATTCCTTATGCAAAATAGAATTCAGTATTCTTAATTATGTTAAGGGGATAAATCATCATCATTAGAGGATAACCTGTAGATTATTTTTTCTTTCAATGTTTCTCAGCTTTTAAAGGTTGTTTTTGAGTTGTCTATGACAGAGTAGAGAAGTACTGTGGAAAATTGAATAACAAATCATCTATGTGTCACTTATCTTTGATTTTGTGTTGCTCATAGATCCTCATTTATAATATAATTAAATGCTCTGTATAAGATGTGGATATCCTTGGTTCAACATTACTATTTATAGCCTAAGTTCATCCACTCTGATATACTCAGTAATCATTGTCCCTTCCATGCACTGTGTCTATTTCCCCATCTATAAAATGTAGGACTGGATGATCTCTAAGGAGCCTTTCAGCCATGACATTTTAATCTTCTAAATAGAATCACAAAACTCACTTTGAAGCACATGAATGGCATTCTCAGATTTAACATTCAAGGTGTTAGCTATTCTTGAGCAAGCATAAAGACCTGTAACACACAGGATTTGGTAATTTTTCACGACACAAATTTTAATAATGAAAGTTAAGGTCATGTGTGTAGAAAAGATTTATGTAGCTAGACATAGAAAGTGGCCACCCCAAGCTGCCACACACAAATGCGGCTGTGATGTTCTCTTTTAAAAGCCACTAGTGAGACAGATATTATTATAAATATAACAAAATAAGAAAATGAGGATAAAATGTGTTAGATTTACAACCATCTCAGATATTTCCCAGAGAATATGAGGAGCCTGTTATGCTTCTTGGAATTTAGTTACTATTTTCAAACAGAGTAAAGGAATAGAGTTTGGACATTTTTTTTTTCAGAATCAAATTATATTTAGCAAAGTTTTCCAACTGGAAAAATCAAAACTTCTGAAAAACTGGCATCGTCAAGGGGAAGTAGAAAAGTTTCTTGAAATGACTTAGAAAAAAAACTAAACTACAAGAAGAAATACTTTGTCCAGATTCCCCCTTTCATTGGTTTAGCAAATTTCTATTGATCTTGACTATGTGTTAGATGCTCTTCAAGGCACTAAGGATTCAGAAGTGAATAAAATAAAATCCTTGCCCTCATGAAGCTTATATCCCAATTAGGGGAAATAGACAATAAAATAAACCTATAAAGTATTGTCAAGTAGTGATAAATGCCATGAAGGAAAAAAATAAAGCAGATTAAGTGGATAAAAAATTGACAGAGGACGAGATTTTACATGAAGTGATGGAGGAAGTCCTCTGAGGCGGTGACATATGGACAGAGGTTTGAGTAAAGGAAGGGAGCAAGGCACACAGTGATCCAGACAAAGAGCATTGCAGCCAATAGGAGCAATGGGTACAAAGGCCCTGCCACAGGATTTTACTAGGAACGTCGTAGAGTCAGACGAGGCCATAGCGCCTGAAGCAAATGAGAGGAAGAGTTGTAAAGACCAGATTAATTGGTGAGAATATTTTTTTAATCTTTTTTTTAGTTCTAGTTAATGAGAAAATGTTAATCCAACTTATAATAGAAAGCCATGAAGTTAAAATGATGGGAAATTAACAAGTTCTGTATTCAGGTAGATTTTCTTTTATAATCTTCTCTGAGAACACTAAGGCAGGATTCATCTCTGATTATCTGAATACTCACCAAAGTGCCTAATATAAGATTGAAAATAAAGTCATTATTTAGTGAATGGACTTTTCAATGAAGAATGTAACAACTTAGATTCTACTCCAGAGAGAATTTTCTTCACTGTGTTCCCATCCAAGTTTGAATTATATTGCTCATCAGGAAATCCAGCTCTGGGGCCAGCCCATGGCCAAGTGGTTCAAGTTCCATGCACTCCGCTTTGGCAGCCCACGTTCTCCAGGTTCACCTCCTGGGGTGGACCTACTCCACTCATCAGCCATACGGGGGAGGCATCCCACATACAAAGTAGAGGAAGACTGGCACAGATGTTAGCTCAGGGCTAATCTTCCTCAAGCAAAAAAAGAGGAAGACTGGAAATGGATGTTAGGTCAAGGCAAATCTTCCTTACCAAAAAAAGGAAAGAAAGAAAGAAAAGAAATTCGGCTCTGATCTTTCTCTTAAAGAAGGTTTACTGATCTTCTGTTTATTTCTTTCCCAAGTCCTACTAACACAATGGAAAAGAAATAATATCAAAGAAAGCTAAAGAAGCAATACGTGTAGATGAGACATTTCTACACATTTTTGTAAGATGTAATGTAGATGGGAGCAGTGGTAGCTGAATCAAGCAGGATAGAAGAAGCTGTAGCCTACGCCATGCCAGAGAGAGAGAGAGAGAGAGAGAGAGAGAGATGGCGAGAGGAAAGTTGGTTCACCCTGTAGAACCCCGGAGAGGCTGAGACTCAGATGTGTCATGTACTGTGGAAGGTGGAAGTGAGACTCAGGACTGAACACGGGGGAGTAACTGACAGCATGCAGAAAGGCTAGATCCCTAGGTCTCCCGCTCCTCCCCCGTCCTCCCCCTGCAACCTTATCTCCACTCTGGATAGAAAAAGGAACAATGGGAGATCAAGAAAGAGCTCTTGGCTCCCAAATTTACTTTTAAAAAAGCTACCTGAGACGTGTTTCACTTCCGAGGAGAGGTCCAGCATAATAAATGTAACCCAGTTAGACTGTGAGACTCCAATTTCAAATTCTGAGAACTGTTCAAACCCTTGGCTGATGCCATATATTTACTGGAGGTTACAGATGGAGGCTGAAGTGGATGAGTCCAACAGTAATGAGTCAACTGTTACTATAGTGGCCTGTTCACAGTACGTACTTAATACATGTCTAAGAAACTGAAGTGATGACAAGCTCAAAAAAAGAAATTAAAAAATATATATAATTAACAAAACTTTTAAAAACCAACAGAAGAGTTGCAAGACAAGCACATTGTCTTAAAACAAATGGAGTTGAAAACTGGAAGAAGCAGCTAAAAGACATCAAAGTGGTTGCCTCTGGGAAGGAGAATGGGTGAGGAGGTATGGAGACAGGGACTATTGGTTTTCATCATAAACCTTTGGGTTCCTTTTGATTTTTTAAACATGTGCATGTCTTACATTGATAAAACAGAAATTGTAAAAAGAAGAAATAAACCCAACTGTTGAGATTACATAGATAAGCTTTAATACCATTGATTTTCTCCTGAATCCAAAGGGAGAAAGTGGAGTCAGAGTTAACATTTCTGGGACTTCTCGTCATGGAGAATCGCTTGAAAAAGGAAACCAAACCAGTCCTGAAGGAACTGAGCGAGGCCCGCATCAGGACCGTGATGATTACAGGTGTGTGTCGCTGGAGGCCTGACAAGTTGAATGCATCCCAGGCATGAGAAAAAGACCATGTGAGCTGAGTGAGCTCCTGTGATTGGGGCAGAAAGAAAACTGCTCTGCTGTCAAGTTTGTTTCCCCGTGGTCCAGTTACCTGGGACCATGTGTAGCTCCCTCAATACCACCATGAGCTGTGGAGGCAGGACCCATCACTCCCTTTGTCTAATGCCCACTTTTCCTACCCAGGATCTGCACAGTCCTAATAGACTCACAGTAATGTTTAAACACAAGAATGGATGTGTCCTCATCAAGAACCCCAATAAGACCTCTGTGTAAAGGATGTGAGACTCTGCTGGGCTGTCCTTCAGGGCAGTGGGGCAGGCAGGGCATATGGTAATAAAATCAAAGCATGACACAGCCCTAAGTATTCTTTTCTCTGCTTAAGTGGAATCCACATGCCAAGGATGTGTCGATGAAAATAATCCATAACCAATCTATGAATGAAAATTTGGGAGAGTTTATTCTGAGCTAAAATCTGAGGACCATGGCCTGGGGCCTTTCTTCCTGAAGGAAGAAAGGGCACCAAAGAAGTGGGGTGCACAGAGTGGTTATATACCCCAAAACAGGATGTTTCACATGATTGAAATGTCCCTTTTACCATAGTCGCGAGACTGCTCTGTCAGCACAGCGATTGATGGACACAGCAGGTAGGTTGCTGTCTCGGTGAACACAGCAGGGTGGCACGTCTGTTGTTCCGAGCTGGGTGGTCACAGGCAAGCGCAGCAATCAGTTCCTAGCCTAAGGAAAGATTCTTATCCTTAAGGAAATGCCAATGTGGGGGGAAGCTGCACCTTTACCTCAAGGGCCTTTGTTCTTGCCATAGGAAATGTTTTAAAGCAGATATGCAATGCATGCTCAATGGCCACAGTCAGACCCTTTTGGAAAAACAAGGTCAGGCCGAATTAGGTTTACACCAAATGGCTTCCTCATATACTCCAATATATCCTATTGCTTGCCATTTCTATTTGTCAGATGGTTTGACGCTGTCAGACTGGACCCATATTACTTTCACCACTAAGAGCTGTCAGTCTCCTGAGGATCAGTCATAAAGATCTCAACCATGTATTTATTCACTACTGCATGTTTTGGAAATACGCAATGTTCAGGACACAATGCTAACTATCATGGGAGGGAGATGCAGACATAGAATTTGACCACTGAGGTAGACAGGCTTGAACAGGGGGAAAAATAAATGGTTACAAGATAAGGCAGAAAGTGATAAATGCCCCAACAAGGAGCACCAACCAAGTGGTATGGACCCTCAGAGGAGCAAGAGCTCAGTGCTGGTTGCTGAGAGGTTTACACAGAAAACAAGGCGATTTTCTTTGTCATCTAGGTGACAACCTTCAAACAGCCATTACTGTTGCAAAGAGTTCTGAAATGATTCCTCGAGGGAGCCAAGTGATCCTTGTGGAAGCCAATGAACCAGAAGAGTGTGCTCCTGCCTCTGTGACCTGGCAGCTGGTAGAGAACCAAGAGAATGGACCTGGGAGGAATGTGAGCAAATGTTTGAAGGCCCCTCTGTGGCCTGCAGTGATGGAATACAGCCCTGACCCTGGGCAACCTGCTCTAAGCCATAGAAGTCATGACTGTAATAATCCCTCACATCTGCCCGGAGTTTTACAGTTTGCAAAGCATGCAGCATTTCCACCAGTGTGTCTCAGCCATGGCTGCACATAGAAATCACCTGGAAGAGTTTTTAAGTTTCCAGTGCCAAGGCTTTACCGATTGAATCAGCGTCTCTGGGCTGGGAACCGGCATCGGTCCCTCCTCCCGGTGGTTCCAGTGTGCAGCCGTGGTTGAGAACCACTGATTTACATCCATCTGATCCTCACAGTTACCCAATACAGTTGAGCAAGCTGGTCATTTTATAAATGAGAAAACTGAGACCTAGAGAGGTATGCTTGCCCAAGGCACACAACTGGCAGGTTACAGAGCAGAAATCAAATTCAGGTCTGTTTGATTCCACCCAAATAAATCCACGGGCATTTAGATCGTGCTGTACCTGTGACATGAAGTTAACAGGTGTCAGGTTTCTCTAGAAGGCAAGCTTCCTGTGTGCTAGCCGCAAAACAGCTCATTCATATGAAGAGAATGGGCTGCAGCCTGACCTTCCATCACTAAAGGTGGCACCTCCACCTTTGTGTGAGTTCAGAGATGGTCCTCCAGGGCATAAATTACAAAAATGCTCCTTTCCTCCAGGCTGACCAGCCCTTCAGATTGTCGAGTGTAGAGTAGGCCTTTATTCAGTACACAAACTGCATAACCATGCAGAGTGGCCCTGCCCCCACCCTGTGAAGAGGTGCATTAACTTGGCTCAAACACCATTACATTAGCTGTAAAAGACAACCGCTCTCTCTATGCTTTCAGCAGATTTCTGGTGCTTATTTCATTGCAAACCCGCTTGCTTCTGCATCAACGCATGTTGTCTCAATTACACTATGTGACAAAACTCAGGTCCTTACTAATTTTTAACAGTCTACTCACACTACCCATTCATGGGTTTAGTACCTTTACTGAAGTTTTGGTCATTGCTGGGAGAAGTTATATCACAATCTCAGGTTTTCCTCCCCTCTGCCTCACTCCTACCACACTCTCCTTCTCCCTTTTCTAGTCAAAGCAAAAGAAATCTTGTCCTTGCCTCATGCAGAATGCTTTAGAGCGTGTCTTTTGTTGGCTGTTTGCAATAGGGAATGGAAGGGGAGGGGTGTATCACGTTGCCTCCCAGTTTAGCACATCAAAATATTTTCTTCTTCCAAATACACTGCTTTCCCTAAGATGAACTGCTCTAATGAATAAAATTTTCTCACCTCCTCTACTATTTGAATTCAGAGTCCTACGCAAATGTAACACCCTCCGAGAAATGTGGCATGAAAATCCATTATCAGCTATTGACTTGATGGGTACATGTGCATCATCAGATGCTTTCTCTAGCTGAGCCAGGTGGGTCTAGAACACAGTGGTGTGGGGTATATTGACAGGTGAAAGACAGGAGGGAAAGGGTTTCAGAAAAGGAGTAGTACTGGTGCAACGCAACATAGAGGTTGGAAGAGGATCTGGGCACCAGGAGGGAACAGGTTGCCTACCTGTTGGGTTGGGGAAGGACCAGGTGCTAAAAGGAGTTAGGCTCTGAGGAATGAGTCTGCCTATTTTACAGTGAAGAAATTGGGGCATCATTTTTGAACAAATGAATGGTAAGAGACCTTAGGAAATAAAAGGTTGCATGAGGAGGAGAAGGAAGAGGAGGGAAAAGTGTTCCTTATTCTTCCTTGGAATCGCTAATTGGTACCTTGGAATGATTTCCTCAGTAGACTGACATCACACATATTATCTCCCAGGACAGGATCCAGAGCATCATTTTGTCAAGGTCTCACACATTTATATGATCTTGGGAGGACGTTTTGAGTGTCTTCTTCATGTGAGTCTAAGTTCCATGGGCGAATGACACATTATGTGTTTGCTGGCCCTCACATTGTTATGAAACATGAATATACTTCCTTCAATAAAACGTAGGAAAGCAGAGACGTTCCTTCAGAGCTGATATAGAAATAACGCCCTTTTGATTTTAGGAAATCTGCATTGACATTGGAAACAGCTCAGTGCCTGATAGAGAAAGAGGGAGCTGTTACCATTTTGCAATGAGTGGGAAATCATACCAAGTGATATTTCAGCATTTCAACAGCTTGCTTCCAAAAGTAAGTACTGGTGAAATGAAATGTTTTGTTTTGCTCTTCAAATTAGTGAGGCAGAAAAGGAGAGGAAAGTAGTGAAGGGGATGATCACGAGGTTGTCTCAGATTTAGGGACTAAACACCCACAAAGGGGCACTGCTCCTTCGGAGGTTTCCCAGCCCCACCTACGCCGACCTGGTCCTGCATATGCACATGGCTTCCTTTTCAGAGTTGGTGTTCTGGTACAGCACCCCTTGCCCCCATGGGCAGTCCAATCCCAGCCTCCCTTTCTCTCACTCCTCAGCAAGGGAACCTCCAGATAGTTCCAAATGTCCTGTCTGTTATTTGGGTCAGCTTCTCTCCGAAAGCTGCCACCTCGTGTTAGGCTGAGCTCTATTCCCCTTCCTGTCTGGATTCTTAAAGTACAACAGGAGGAAACAAAGGCCCCACTGTTTATTTTCAAAATCCTTTGTTATCTTATCCTCTGTGTGTCTGTTTTAAAATAGTGCTGTGCAGGGTTGCACTGTCAGTGTGAAGGAGATAAGGGGAGCACAAGCGGAGGGCAGCAGCCATCTGTTAGCAGTGTCTTGAGAATTCTGTCGCTTTACCAGTCAAGGACCATGGAATGTAGACCCCAGAGGCTCCTAGAAAGCTGTTACTGCAATTCCTCATTGAAGAGATTGGGAAAGCTGAGACTCAGAAAGGATGTCACTTGTCTAAGGTTTGCATAGTTTGGGGCAGAGCTGAGAATAGAACCTGGATTCTCCACTCCTGACCTGTTGCTCTTTCCTCTGCCTATGCTGCAATTATGGTGACGATGTTTAATAAAAAGAACTGTATTTCCTTAAGCATTTTTATCCCATATGCTCTGCTGCTTTTTTAGTTATTATTATTAATTAAAAGTTACCCCATCTTTGAAAAATGGCCTGGAAAGAAACAATGGGGTTGTGATGGACGACTGAAAGTGAGAGTTAAATATTAAACTGTTAAGTCCCTTATTCCCTTTCCTGGCATTTGGTCTAATGACACACCACCCGATCCTGTGTTAAAACGAGGGCCAGGAGTGATTTTTCAGGGCTGATCTTTTATTTAAAAAGTGTTCTTCTTCCTAACCTTATTGCAATCGTTGTTTTTCTCTTTAGATCCTAGTGAATGGAACCATTTTTGCAAGAATGTCTCCTGGGCAGAAATCAAGCCTTGTTGAAGAATTTCAGAAATTAAAGTAGGTGTTATTGCCTGAAAGAGTGTATTCATTATCCATTGCCGTGTGACAAATTACCTCAAAACTTAATGACTTAGAATAACACCATTTATTATTGTACATTTCTGTGGATCGGGAATCCAGGTGGGCTTAGCTGAGTCTTCTGCTCCGGGTTTCTCACAAGGCTGTGATCAGGTGTGGGCCAGGACTGCAGTCACCTCAGCACTCGAGGGGGGAGAATCTGCCCCCAGCCTCACTCACGTGTTGTTGGCAGGATTCAGTTCCTTGCGGGCGGTTGGATTAAGAGTCTCAGTTTTTCACTGGCTGTTGTACAGAAGCCACCCTCAGTTCCTTGTCACATTGGTCATTTCATAAGGAAACTCACAATGTGGCAGTTGGCTTCCTTAAAAGTGAGCAAGCAAGGAGAGCCAGAGAGACACCATTTTTTATATCCTCAGCTCAGAAGTGTCATGCCATCACTTTTGCTGTATTCTCTTTAAGGCAGCAAGTCATTAGGGCCAGCCCACATCCAAGGAAGGCATTATACAATGTCTTGAATACCAGGAGGTGGGGATCATTGACAGCCATTTTAGAAGTTGCCCACCCCAGAAAGCATCCTTTCTGTGTCCCATAGGGCATATCTTAGAGGAAGAGCCTCTGCTGGGATGTAGAGAATAGAAACAATAGGAGTTTATATAGCTTAGAATAGGAAAAATAGAGAAGTGTGTGGGTTATCACTTGGAATTATTTGAGGGTGGTCCATTAGAAGATATATGAATAATTTTGGGTCCTCTAGGAAAGAGGCAGAATGGCATTTTCACTGTATCTGACCCTGTTATGGATTCGGAATAGAGGGCAAAGTAAAAAAAAAAAAAAGAAAAAAGTTCTTTCTTATCTCCTTCAAAAATACAGATGACCAAGTTACATCAAAGTGAAACGGTTCTTCTTGAGACCAGATCTACCTATATTTGCTGGAAATATTACAATTTCTGGGCTGCAGATTTCTGGGAAGCGAAAAACGATAGAGAGTAGTGAAACTTTAGGTAATTGCTGATAAGTAGTAGGTAAAATCAGGAGACTGCCTTAGACTATTATTTTTTGTTGCCCAAGCATTCTTAGGGGAGTTTCAAAAACTGCCTATTAACTCCCATAATGCCTTGAGGCTGGCTTAGTAACCAGTGTCTAAAATGACTATTTTACTCACATGGTCATTATATGATATTGGCTGAAGAAAGTAATTTTACCCTTCTCAAACGCCTGAGAAATTTTGCCAACTTAAATGCTTACTTTTGAAAAGCTATATTCCCCTAAAGAAAAATCGATTCAGGAATATATATGCTGTCTCAGAATGAGCTGTCTTCTCAATTTCCCAATCTTCTTCTTCATGCGTTTATCATTGGGAATGTGCACAGGTTGTCTGAATTCTCTCCTGAATTCAGGGAACACCAGAAAATGTAAGATTCCTCATGTGATAAAAAGACTAAATATGTGTTTTAAGCCTGAAGAAAGGAAGCCATTTTCAGCAAATGTGCATAGTCATGGCATGAACATGAGTACATGAGAATGTTTGTAGGGTGATTTTCATATATACTAGCCAAATATTAGGTTGAGCCATATGAATTTGTTTGCATTTGATCATCTTTAAAATGGTCATTTCCTATGTTTCAACTAATAATAAGGAAATTCTCTGAGAACTTCTCTTTTCCTTGGATTTTTGATCTGTTATTTCATGTTTTTTGGAAAATTGCCATTGAGCTTTTAATAGTATTGCCATTAATTATTACTTATAATGTATTACTTACTTAAAATAGAACACAGAGTGTGTCTTACGTCAGAAGTTCCTTTTCTTATTCTTCTATTTATCTGATTGTGTTTGCACATCAAACTAGTATAGAAGGGAGCATGTTATCTCATTTTCACTCTAAGGTTCATCAACAATATGTATATATTGGGCTGGCCCAGTGGTATAGTGGTTAAGTTCCTGCATTCTACTTTGGTGGCCCAGGGTTTACAGGTTCAGATCCTGGGTGCGGACCTACACATCGTTCATCAAACCGGGCTGTGGTGGCGTCCCACATACAGAATAGAGGAAGATTGCCACGTACGTTAGCTCAGCAACAATCTTCCTTAAGCAAAAAGAGGAAGATTGGTAGCAGATGTTAATTCAGGGCTAATCTTCCTCATCAAAAAAAAAAGTATGCCTATTTCTCTCGTTATGCCTCTCAAACCATCTCCAAAATGTTTCTCATCCTAGTGTCTAAACTCTAAACTTTCAACCTCAGTCAGCAACCAAAACACAGATGGATGAGGTTATGATCTGCGCGTGAGGTGGTGTAGAAGGGCTGTGATTATGATTGCATACTCTTAAACTTGGCCTTGGTGGATATCATCAAACAAAACTTCTTTTGAAGTGCACGAGCATCCTTGTGGATGTCCTTGGCAGTATCCATGTGATTGACTGAAACAATTTAAATGATATGGTGGCCTTATTCCTCTGGGAATATTTCTCTCCAAGTCATTTTCCTTCAGCCTGATTCCACATGTGTTCAGGACACCCCCACACACACGCACACATCGCATGTGAGTTAGTTATGATGGAAGTTATTCAAGTGAGACGTTAAGCTATTAATTTTTCTTATCCTTTCCCCTGCAGTTATTACGTGGGCATGTGTGGAGATGGAGCTAATGACTGTGGGGTGAGTAGAAATTACTTCTCCTAATGCAGGCAGTTCACTAATATCTCTCATGAGGACCGCACGGTCCCTGGGGTCTGTCTCTTCACCCTTTTTCCAGCAATCACTTGATTATTTTGCTGTTTATATCCACTGCTATTGGCATGTGGGTTGGAAGTGGAGAGGAATAAAGTGAGATGAGTCACTTCAGCTATTTTCTGGCAACTCCTAGAAGACTAAAGACCAGGAGAGGCTACTTAGACTCCCATATTTTGGACTCAGAAGGGACTTTACAAGACTAGCTGATATAATTCTATCGTGTTATCAATAAGGAAATGAGTCTCAGGGAAGTGAACTCTTTTTTTGTCCGAAGTCACACAGCTAGTAAAGGCTTAGTGAAGTAAAAGTTTGAAATTGATGGTTAAAGATTTTGAATTATATGTAAACTGTATTTATTCCTGACAAACTTCTGCTCCAGGTTAGTACTCCAAAAATTCTTACGCTCAGTGAAATCATAGACCGAACTATGTGGTTATTACATACTATAGCAAACCTAAGTTAAATGATTCTAAGCAGATTACTTCTTATACACAATAGAAGGCAGTGCATGTTTTATAATCTGAGTTTTGAAGAGATGTTTGAAACTATAGCCTACCTTGAAGATTTATGCATGTAAGAAAATATTTTGGTGCTAATTTGTAGAATAAGAAATGAAGAGGATTGCCTTGTATTTCCAAAGCCTATTAGATATTTAAGATCTGAGTATTGTTTTACTTCCTTCTTAAATATTTTCTTTAAAGTTCTGTGAAAAACTGTGTTCATCCTTGGAGATCTATTTTGAATTTTTCTGCCTTGTGCTTCATGAGAAGAAGATAGTCATTAGTCCGCTGTTCAAAATCTAGAATGTGTACTCATTCCCATTAATTATGAGGAATTTAGAACAAAACAAATAAATTGAGTGCTAATTCAAGAATACTGAATTCTATTTCTTATAAGGATGTAGTCTCTGCCCCCAAAGAGTTCATTGTCTAGTGGGGGAAAGAATCATGCATAAGTCTAACCCTAGCATGAGCTAGAAGGCCTGAATTATATAAGAAGGAAATATTCTAATCTTTATTGAACGTGAATTTAGTATATACTGGCCACAGTAATCAGATACATTGTAGTTCTACAGAACTACAGAAATACGAAATCTCACTTTATGCTTACATAATTCTTGCAGGATTAGGGGCTTGCTGGCCTGCTTATTGCCCACTGTCTGCTCTGTGCACTTTCTGGGAAGTTTTCAGTCTTGAAGAGGAATGAATTAGCTTTTATTTCAGTGAGGCAACACACATTCTGGAATGATTCTGTGATGAGTGTGACCTGGACCCCGTCTCCAGTGAAGATGTTATGGGCCCCATACTTCATCCCAGCAGTTTTCTCATTGGCTGGATTAGACAGCCCAGGAAAAGGTGTGGATTAGGTATCTTTTCTTATTGTTCATGAAGGTGGCCCACTAAGTGTAAGAGCTATGATGGTGAGGGCCCCCACAGTTGGCCATCCAAACGCTGTCATCTTTTTAATAGACTTCTTGAATGAGTGCTTCCATTTCTTCTATTGTCTACACCTCCACAACCAATACTCACACATGCAGGCGCACACATCTGCACACCACTCTTCTACCTCTGGATCATTGTTTTGTTGGCGACTTTGTGAACCAGGGGAGAGAGGATATTCCAGGTGGAAGGATAGCATAAACAGAGACCCAGAGGTGGAAGGGTACAGTGTTATAAACTCTACAATGTGAAGAAGAGCCTCATGGTGTTTGAACAGTTAGAGCCTGGCCTGAGGAGTAATGGCTGTAACATGGATGTTTCATTCCAGGCTTTGAAAATGGCTCATGCAGGCATTTCGCTGTCAGAACAGGAGGCATCTGTGGCATCCCCTTTCACCTCAAAAACAGCCAACATCGAGTGTGTGCCTCGTCTCATCAAGTAAGCCACTTCTTCCCCTTCCACCCCATGACTGACGGGCTCATTGTCTGGCTCTGGACAGAATTAGCTATGTTTTAAAGGGATAAATGTCACAACAGAGGCGTAGGTAGAGCACTACTGGAGCACCAACGAAGGGGGCATTAGTGCTGCTCGAGAATGCTGGTAAAAGCCACAAAAAAGGGACTTTTTCTGAGTTTTAAAGGACAAATGGCTGGGTCATGTGAACCATTGAAGGCTAGAGTTGATCTTTAAAAAACTAATTGCATTTCTTACTTCTCGCCTCCTTTATTTTGTATGTTGGATACTTGCTGGAACCTTTTTCTCAGGAGTTGGGGATGAGTGAGGAAGCAGAAAAGGAGCATTCCATCAGATCACTTCCCCAAATAGTGTTGTGACTCCAAAATATAAATTAGTGAATATCCAAAATGACTACATAGAAGACTTCTACAATTGGTTGGCAATAGTTAGGGAAAGGGAAGGAATTAAAAACTGTTTATTCCCCAATACAGCTCCCTCACCTCCACTCCACTCTCATTTCTGGTCTTGCCTCTACTTATGCTTTAACTATAGCTAAGAATAAAACATTTGACTTTATACTTTGTTCATAAATCTTATTTCGCTGTTGTTTCCTGTAACACTGTCGGGTAACTTCAGGCCATCTTCCTGGCCAATGGTCTGGAAGACATCACTAAATCTTGAGGTTTATACAAAAAAGACAACCATGAAGTTCTCTGGCATGTTCCTTGGTGCATCTGAATAGGCAGCTACTGGTGGGAATTACTCATGTAAAGGTGCCAGGCTTGAAATTCCATGCCCACTTCTGGCTGCATATCAGCAAGACAGCTTGACACATCTCCCCGAACACTTGTAGCCTGCACCTGTATTCTTCCACACCCTCAAACGCCATCACCTACCCTGCCTCCAAAGCAACTCCTCTTCCCAGCTCCCATGTTCCCTGCTTCTGAGGACCATTTGGTTCTTAGAGTCCATCACTGAGGTTCAAACTTGAGAGCACTTTTAACTCTTTCCTCTTCTTCACCCCGAGCAAACCAGGCATTATGTTTTTCTGGTTTGGCTTTCAGAGGGTCTCTCCTAGCCCTTTCCTTACTATCTCTGTTGCCTTAACCCAAGTTCATGTCATGATGAGTACAAAATGAGAGTGCTCAGGACATGCGCTCTATTTCATGCTTTCCATCATCAGCATGACTCACGGAGCTCTTTTTAAATAGTGTGCTTGGAAATGTGTTATACTAAGAAGAGACAGAGCCTGCCCTGGAGGACTTACATTCCAGTCAAGGATAGAGATAGAGATAGATATAATCACAAAACAGGGAATCTTTTGCCTGATGAGTGAGAAGTGCTCAATAAATTAGCTTTAAGTAAATTAATGGCCAAACGATACAGTAATTGCTCCAGTAGTTCAGTGTGATAACTCAAGCCATGAGAGAAGGTTGCAACTTGAAGGATGGGAAGTTTCAACTTGAAGGATGGGGAGTTGCGACTTGAAGGATGGGGAGTTGCAACTCGAAGGATGGGGAGTCACAACTTGAAGGACAGATAGGACTTATGTAAAAAGAAAGGGGGTGGGAGGTAATACAAGGTAGGGGAGATGGAGAGCCATATTTAGAAATGAAGTTTTAATTGGAGAGTGCAGGTGCCCCTGATAGCCAAATTGGGCTGGAAGGCTTCTGGGATGGGAGTTGTGGAGGTTAAGCTGAAGTGCCAGGTATGGAGGCCTTGCATAGGAGTTTAAACTCTTGGATGGTTGCACAAAGTGCTGACGTGTTCCATCCAAAAGGCATTTGAACTTCAGATGCTCTTTCTCATGCAAGTGGCCCATTGCATTTAAGAACGCAATATGCTGTTTTAAAATACAAGTCATAATATAAAATTTCTGCAGTGACAGATGGTTTAGTAAAGAGTTTCAGGGTAGAAACTCTTTTCTTTTAGTATTTCATAGATTCATAAAAATTAGATATGGCTCAGCTCTGTTAGGCTCATTTTACACTTGCTATCATCGACGCATACTTATTCTTGAGAAAACATCCTCCCGAGGGGTGATGAGGTTCAGATCCACAGGTTTTCATTTTTATCCTTTGAAACTTGACTGACTTGTTATAGTTCAAGTTCTTTAAGGCAAGGCCTGTGCCTTGTTATTTCTGTATCATTGTGCCTAGCACTAAGCTGGGAACATCAGAGCATTCAGTGTATGCTTGTAGACTACATAAATAAGAGAGTGAGCTGTTTAAAATTCATAATCATTAGGAATAGCAGTAATTTTGGAAGCCCACGAAAACTTAGAATGTTTTTGGGCTTTTCTTTGAATCTGAGTGTCTTAATTTTCCTGGAAATGTACACAACTGCAGGAAAAAGGATGAAATCACAAAGTTTTTGTCAGAAAATGATTTCAGGCTTCACATGCTTGCCCTTTCTTAGCTTGTTTTCTGCTCCACCCTCTGTGTTGGAAAAAAATGTCAGTGCCTTCAGCCTGGGGAAAAACCTCTGCCCGAGGCATCCTGACCTATCTCCCACCCAACCTTCTCGTCTTCTCTGAGGCAAAGTGGCTATTAGTCTGGCTTTTTAGGTTTTCCTTCTCACTTCACTGTCCTGTTGACAAAGTCTTTGAGCAGTGCAGGTCTCTGTGTCACCAAGCACTGGGAAGGAAGAGGATGTAGGCTGTCTCCCACGTGGATTCACTTCTACCTTAACAAGCGAGGCCTGTAGGAGGCGTTGTTGGCCAGGTTCCTCACTCCTCCATTGTGTATTACCACCTCACACTGTCTTCTCTGGCCTGTCACAATCCACCAGTCAACCAAGTCTCAGTTAAGGGAATAACAGCTCAAACAGAATTTTTTTAAAGGGGGAATGTGCACTTTTGAAGATGCATTTTTTTACTGTTTTCTTTATCTCTTTTGATCTCCACGCTAGCTCAGATTATTACCCTAGGTTCTTCCTGCAGTATTAAAGACAAGAAAATCCATTTCGTCTCAGATATTGGGGTCCCATCCACACTTCCTAAAATGTGAGAGCACCTGTCCTTTGGCTTTATGTCTCTAAGCGTCTTTAAAACACACGTGGTTCAACTCTCAGGAAGCAAGTGTTGTCAGGATGTCATGGGTCACAGTCAAGTCAACGCCTGACATTTTGCACCTTAACATAATGTTGTATTGTGTTTATAATGTGTATGTTAATCTTCTTAATGTACCGAAAGCTTGCTGAAACTAAGAACTGTGCCTGATTCTTTTTATATCCTCTGTGACTCTTAGCATAATGCTGGTACCTCATAAACTCTAAATAAAAGTGGATATATGAATCAGCGAGTGAAGTAATGATTGAAGGAGAGAATGAATGAGAGAATGAATAGTTAAATAATTGAGAGGATTAATCAGTGACTAAATGAATGTAATTCAGTAGCTATTAAAAATTGAACTCTTTTTGAAATATAAAAGAGACTGGGAGATGCGTATCCTACGTAACCAGTTATTTTTATTTTTTCTTAAACAGAGAAGGCCGAGCTGCTCTGGTTTCATCCTTTGGGGTGTTTAAATACTTGACCATGTACAGCATGACCCAGTTTATTGGCACATCACTGCTCTATTGGGTATGAACCAAAATAGTTTTTTCTCAGTTCTAATTGCATTTACATCCCTGGTTTATTCTTTGGAGAGAGGCTCCTACACAGGATTTAATGTTTTATAAATAAATGACATTTCTCAGAATAAATATCTGCAATCTTGGGAACTTGGTATAACTGTGCATGAAATAGGGAACTAGAAATAAGTAGATGTCGATCAGTTTTCTAAGAGTGTTGTTTTTCTTTAGATAGCCTGAGACACTTGACCTCTTTGAACCTCTGTTTCTTCACTTGGAGTATGAAGAGAGCTTCAGAGCAGCCTAAATATAACTCGGCAGGAAATGGATCGGTCTCCAACTGTGGAATAGTTTTGGCAAAAGACTAAGAAGAGATAAAAAGAAAGAGAGGTTGTTGAATTTGACTTTGAAGGACACAAAAGCTAGAAAAACTCCCATACTGGAGCTTTACTTCTGAATCTGCCCAGAGCTTACACACTTAAGACATGTCATTAGTTAAGGATTAACAATTCTTTAAAATAAAAAAAAAAGGCTTTTGAAATTCAATGATACAAACAATCATTTACGAATTAATTGGCTGTCTGGAAGAAATATGTATAGGTTGAAAGTAATCTTCCTTAGTTCAGCCATTATTTGAGCCAAAACAAAATGATCCAATAGGCTCAGGGAGCACTCAGGGAAGAAATTATTTTACTGCTTTCCTGGGACATTTGAGAGGTGAAGGGGAGGACCACAAGACTCCAGCATCTAGTGGGCCGTTGCTTGCAAGGAACGCACACAGAGGGCTAAGGGGCAGCCAGGTGGACAGAAATGGGAACCGGATTGGGAGGCAGGAAACCTGAATTCAAGTTCTGCCTCTGTCACTAAGAACAAATTAGGCCTTGCCCTTGACCAAACCTTTATCTGCCTCTGGGAAATCAGATGGGCTGATTTCTAAAGCCCCCCAGGGTTCTGTGAAAGCTGCTCCTAGAATGAGAACTGAATGAGACCTAAAGCTGCCTTTGAACATTTCTCCCTCTTCCCTCTCACCCTAGCTATATATAAGTTTACCACTATGAGGGAGAAGGGATACGAGAAAGACAGGGACAGGAGACAGAGGAAGAATTAGAGGAAGAGAGGGACACCGAGGAACCATTTGCAGCCTCTCAAAAATATGAAAGCAGAATTTCAGTTCCAAAGTCTTCTTGGATAGAATTGGAACTGTAGTCCACTCCAATGGTCTAGACCGAAATACGAGTGTACCCCAAGGACCTTCACCTGGAAACTTCCGGGTTTTGGGTTCATTCTCTAAGAGGCCAGAAATATTTGGCATTTTGCATAAATCTGGTTTGTAGCGTGCTCAGAACTGGATTATAATTTAGTGCTCCATCAACAGCTATGAAGCAGATAAACAGACCTGGCTGCAAAAGGTATTGCCAAGGCAAATTTCCAGAGAGTAATAGGTTGCCTTTTGTGTTTAAATACTTCAACCCCATAAATGTGACCTTCAAAGAAGTTCGCTGTCTACACTAATCTTAGGAAGGCAGGTGTACCAGACTGAAGTCTGCCATGGGCTTACTTGGGCTATGGGCACTTGTTCAATTTGTGAAAGTGATTGGACTCCAAGAGAGCTATGTTGTGAACTCCATCCAGGGATGAGGATGGAGAGAAACATCTGCTGAATGATTTGAGAACTTGACTTCAAATTTTAAGTTTGAGGTTCCCAGTGGAACTTTCAGGCTTCAAAATCTTACATTGAGAATTCGACTATCTATGCTGAGACTACAGCTGCCAGAATTACTGTGGCCAGTAGGAGAGTCAGTCCCAACTGACTGACTCTCGTTGCTAATCTGGAATTAAGTTAAGCACTGGGAGAACAGTGATCTGGTTTCATTCTATCCAATGAGATGCTAAAGATCTTAGATAAGTCATTTTTTTCCTTAAGAGGAGAGAAAAAAAACAGTTGCTTCCTGACTACTTTCAAAAGGAGTGTTGGTGATGATAAAAATGCTATAATGGCAGAATCAACACATATTTACTTTTCTTTCCTTTTCAGCAACTACAACTCTTTGGGAATTACCAGTATCTCATGCAAGATGTTGCCATTACCTTGATGGTCTGTTTAACAAGTAAGCTCTTTAGCAAAGTAAACTATATTATTGTGTTCATCCATATCATACAAATAAGAGCCTCTGAGAAAGATGTACCTTAGCTACTGAAACGTCATCACATATGAATTTTCTGAAAGTGGTTTTGGGAGTAACTTGAGGTTTCAAGTTCTCAGACTTGGCATTAAAATATCTTGATGGCAAATTTTAGGAGTCTTAGCCTCATAAAATTGTCAACGTATTTTGAGTTCTTTGTAGGTTTGTGTCTTGTACATAGAAAATGTGCAATAAATCTGGAAAGGGAAATCGTTAAAACCCAAAGGTCACTTTCCATTATTCAGCTATGCTTCACATTGGCATGAAACCAGATTTTTGCTAGGTCTTTGATATGTGGGAACAAATGCTAGCATTTTATTCTAGTGGAATTCTTTCAAAAGCAAGGTGTGGCTTACAGCAGCTATTGCTCATTTCCTTCCTTTGAGATGATACTGATAAAGCATTTCCTATCAAGGAACTCAGGGCTTCATACTAACTCTTAATAAGTGAGGAAGGTGACTGTTTCAACAGAGAGCAAAGAAAAAGAATGGCATAGTCCTCTCTTTTTCCTTGTTCAACAGTGAAAGTGCTATGAAAAATAACAGATAAAATATCAGGCAAGGCAGGATATTAATAACCTTGAGAATTTCATGTAGCATCTTAAAATACGAAATTGATATTGAAATCGTTTATTATATCAACCCAATGATAAAATTTACTAGTACCAGAGACATAAGTAATACCAATTTTGATTCTCAGGGTTGAAAAGTCTATTCATAGCCCATTAAAATATTTTTCTACATGTTATTAATATTCATGACTGGATAATTTTGAATCAATGATATTGCTTCTGCAATGCTGGATATTTTTAAGCAATTTGCATGATTTACCTCTGAATATGGTCAATGATGCTAAAAAGAAAAAAGAGCACCAGGAAGTTCCAAGAGCTAAACTAGCAGGCAGTAGTGTGAAGGTGAAGGCCACAGCCATCCTCCATCACTCCCTATCTCTGTGACCTTTGACAAATGTCCTCATAGGGTTGTGAGGATCAGATAAAATAAAGCATGGAAAGTGTACAGCACAGTGCATCACACATTGTAAGTGCTCATTGCAGGATGAATAATGTCACAGTGTACCTGTTGGTTTTTTCTTCTTTTGAGATGACTGGCTAACTTGATGAGCTCTTGCAAAGAATTAGACTGTGTACAAGTAGATTGTTTGATTAGAAATCCAAATACATGAGTGTTAGTCCTAGCCTTGCTAGTCAGAATTTCTAGATGACCTTGAGCAAGTTATTTTGAGCTTTTACACACTTAATTCTATGATATTGGTTATGAATTTGACTCCCATGGTGGTGGGTGTACTTTAGTCTTTCCCGTGGCAATGGCCTGTTGACCCTCATAACAGTTGGTCATCCAATGAAACTTAGCCTCTCATCTCAGAGTGGGCTCAGAAGGAGAGTTAGAATAACTCAAGGCAGAACCATTGTTACCAGTGGGAGAAAACAGTCTCAGAAGGCTGATAGACCAGAGGCATAATGTTCTATCAGAATGACAACACTTTTTCTAATATTCAACAAATGTGTAGCTGGTTCAGTAAATGGGCTGGACTAAGGGTAGATTGCTGAAGGTGAGAAACAGAATCAGGAAACAGCCATTTTTGTTTGTTTTTTATCCTCTGCCTTCAAACACTCTTGCTTTTCTACCCCTGCAAGCTCAGACACCGCATAGGCAGATCATCTCCTGGTCAATCCCACATGTTAAAATGATCTCCTCTTTAGATATGAAAAGTCCAAGTATTGTAAATTAACATTTCGTGTTTTCATTCATTTTAAAGCTTTGCTTCCCCTACATCAAGCCTGCCCTATGGCTTGGAGCAAGCAGTGGGAGAGAAAGCCATGGTCTCTACTTTTGTTGTGTGACCTACTCTCTAACCCTGCTTCAGCGAAGATGAGAGCAAGAAGAGCAAAGGACTTTTTATTTAAGTGGAGCTGCTGTAATTCTCTCCTGCCAAGTGCCCTCTAACATGGCAGGCATCTACATTCAGGCAATTTGCATGGGGCTCATTGGCTAGTTCTTGGGTTCTTCAGAGATTCCCTGTAGATTGGTCTGGACTGGACCACTCCTTGACTTGGGTGGTGCTCTCTCCCTCTGACTCCTCAGGATTCCTTTCAGCAACTGCCTCCTAGTGGTACATACCACAAAGCCCTTTTCTACTACTGGGCCCCAGAAGACTGCCCCATTGGGCAGATTCCTTTCAAGGCAGCTCTAGCCTGGCTAATTCCCATAGCTTCTACTTGACCTACCATATAGTAGATGTATAGGTTGCTCTCACTGCTGCCCCCTCTCTCTTCCCTCTGATATTGCAACGGGAGAATGAGCAAGCCCATCTTCCTCCTCAAAAACACTTCGGTCCTCTCCTAAAGTGGTTCTTATGACCTCCCCTCATTTGGTTTAGGGTGATGCTGGGAAAGAAACCACAATTCCTGCCCCTCCTAACAATTCTTTTCAAAGAATCTCTTGATAATCTCTGTAGTTTTCTCTTATATAGTCTGTACATAGGTAATTGTGGGGAGCAGGGACATGCTTACAGTTGAAGGACGAGAATGGATCCCACTTTGTAGGTACACTGGAGATATGGCAGTCATCTCTCTTTACATTAAATTCGCACTTACCCTTCATTGCCTCAAATATAAGGCTCAACAAAATTCCCCAGACAAAAGGAAAAACCCCTGCAACATCCCCCTAGACATGTTCATCTCCTACTGTGTATTAGGCACACAGGTGCCTGGGGCATAAAAAAGCTGATTGCTGGATTTAAGAGCTTAGTGGGAGATTCGCATACATGAATGAATGAAATGCAGGTGGAAAGTAGTGAGTGGCAGAAAACAGCAGAAGCTTTGGGAGTTCAGAGAAAGGAGAGGTTGTTTCTGATAATCTGGGCTGAGGGAGGAGATGGCAATAGAGAAAAGAGAGAGATACTGGGAGTGGCTTCATGGAAGAGGTAACATTGTACCAAAATAGGAAGGATGGATAGATTTCAAATATCTTTTACTAAAAGAAGGGCATTTCAAGTAGAAGAAACCAGCATGAGCAAGAGAAAGCTGATAAGTAGGGGGCATGAGTTTTTCAATTTGGCCTCACCGTAGGGTCTGTGAAAAGAAACAGCAGGAGATAAAATTTGAAAAGGTGAGTTGGGTCAGATCACAGAATCTTGACTACCATGCTGAGAACTGTGGACATTCAAATAGACATTTGGAGTCACTGGCGGTGGGGTGATCAGTGTAAAATAACTCTGACCAAGGCACCTACACTTCCAGGTTAGGGCTTTCAACCTTAAGCCTGAATTAGTACAGGACAAAGACAATACCATCACATATTTGATTTGTTAACTTGCTTATCTATACACACCCTACCTTTTTCCCACAAGATTTTAAGGCAACATACAAAGGCGCTAATAAGACAAGATAGAACATATTAAAGAGAAAATGAAGGAGAAAAGTAAGATGAATCCAGGAAAGTCAATTAAGAAAATGCATGTCTTAGAGTCCAGTTTGATCCTAATAGGTAGAGAAGCCATCCCGAAAGGAGTTTGTTCCAGCTACGTCTCTGTTCTCTTCAACAAGATCCACTCAGATTAGATTAAGAAAATAAAGGAAAGGGGATGCTTAAGAATATAATTCTTAAAAAAATCTGAGAACAGAAACTCAAAAGCACCTGGGCCTGAGGAGGGCCAGAACATTAAAGGGTGAAAAATAGAGACTGCTTTCTTTATTTCCAAGAGGCTGTCTTGTCTCTTTCTTCTTCTTTCTGTTCTTACTGTTTCATCTCACTTCTACTCATTCACCTTGCAAATGACCCTAAATGGTGACTCTATTATTGACTCTCCATAACCTTTCTGCTTGTCTTCCCACAGCTAATTAACTCAGCCTCTCAGTGTCTCATTTGCAAATCTTTTGGAGAGAAAATTTATTGACCTAACTTGGGTAAGATGCCTAGATCTAGGCCAATCATTTCTGTGAATGAAGGTTTGTTTAGGCCAACCACCCCAAATATGGGAGGAGGCAGTGCCTAGGGAAGGAGGCTGTCGGAGGGAATTCATCCATTATGTCAACACATCTCCTACATAAATCCCATCAGTGCTTCAATGACTCCTAATCTTTTCTGGGTCTTGGTCCCCTTGGAGGATCTAATGGAGGATATAGATTGTTTCACCTTAAAAATCTCAGGATGCACAGTCAACATTTTGCATATGGTTTAGGTAAGTTCATGAACCTCCTGAAATTGAACGTACATGACTTGAAATGTCCATAATATAAAGGAAGCCAACTATTTGGGAGAGGCACACCTACATTATATCTAAATGATGATGAATGATTAAAAACTATACTTTGAGAATAGAATTTGAATCTGCTAAGTCCTTGCATACAGCAGGCCCTGGGTGAGGTTCAGTAAAGGACAGGAATGAGAGAGGATTCCTTCCCTCAGAGGGCTCACAGTCTGCCGAGTGCGTGTGTAAACAACTAGATTTACTACGAGGGCCCCTCGTATAGCAGCAATGTGAGTAAGGTGCCGTGGCAACTCAGAGGAAAGAGTGATTAATTCGGAACAAAATAGAACAATTCACGAGTTTTCATTCCTCTGCACGCAATCTGACAGCACGCATCATTATCATTTTAAGGCAACCTGGACAATTCAGAAAAGTTCTTCTGGCTGCTGGGAAACAATATGCTATCCAAGCTTATACTTTAGGGCTCCCCATTTTATCCTTTCTAATTCAGAAGATCCATCCCCCTGTAATACCCTGTAGAGCAGAGAAAATGGGGTTCACAATCACACAAACTTGAGTTTATATCACCACCCTGAAACTCACTAACTGTGATCTTTAAACAAGGGACCCTACTTCTTTGAACCCCAATTTCTTCACCTGTAAACTAGGAGATAAAATACCTATTTTTGCACTACTTTTTAAAGACATAGAGACTACGTTTCTAAAACACTTAGCATAACCTCTGGAACCTATCAGGGGCCCTAAAATGCTAGCCATTGTTTTTATTTTTAGTCAGGTATACAAATTCCCTGTCAGAAAGTATTAGGAATTTCTAATATGGAAAAAGTTAAGATATTCTTTATGTAAGGATTCTGTATCAATCAGCTATTGCCACAGTGATGCCGCATAACGTACCTCTCCCAAAAGTCATTGGCTTACAATGCCCACTCGTTGCTCTGTAGGTTGACTGTCATTCAGGTGATCCAGGTGGGCTCAGCTGAGCCACTCTGTTTTAGGACGTAGATCAGTTGCTCGCAGGTAAGGCTATGGGATTAATTCAGGCCTGCTCCACATTTTTCATTCTGGGGCCACACTGAATGGACAGACCCAGGCATGTTCTCATTGTGTATCACAGAAAGCCCAGCCATGCAAGGGGGCTGCAAACCTCTGTTAACATCTCTTTGGCCAGAGAAAATCACACAGTGAAACCAAAATTAAGGGATGTTAAAGTACACTCTGCCATGATGAGGCCAATAATTCAATCTACCACTGTCCCTGTATAAAAGAAAAGCCAGAAACTCAATAAGCTTCTGGGAAAGCGAAGACCAAAAAGTTAAAAGCCAGATGCACAGAGATGCAATTGCACCTCTCTCCCCTACCCACAGCCTCTTTATGACCTCTATGGCCACACTCTACCTTGGATATTGGAGCTCAAAGAGAACTCCAAGCACTACAGCTTCCACCTTCTGCAGCCCAGAGCATGGTCTTCTTGCACTCATTGTTGGCACTGACCATAGCCCACATTGTGTGTCTCTTCCTTGTGTGCCCATGCAAAGACTTTTCACACCAACTACCCAGAAATTAGGCCAAACCTCACAAGCTGCACAGCCTCCACAAGAGTGCTCTCATTTCAGACACCAGCTGTAAGTTTGGGCGTACCCATGCCACCTGCACTTCTGACTAGCTGGCTACAAATTTGGAGGTTCTTACTACCCTCTCAAGTTCAGTAATTCATATCAACAACTCACAGAGCTCAGAGAAGTGCTAGACATATGATTACAATTTTGTGATAACAAAAAGATTCAAATCAAAACCAGCCAAAGGGAGAGACACGTAAGGCAAGGTCTGAGAGGTCCCAAACATAACAATTCCATTGTCCTCTCCCTGGGGAGACAGTTTGCCTCACCCCCCTGGCACATCGACGTGTGAAAATAGGAAGAGTATTGCTAAACAGGGAAGCTCAACTGAGCTTTGGTGTCTGGAGTTTTTATTGGGGTTTCATTATGTAGGCATGATTGATTGAATCATTGGCCATGAGGTTGAACTCAATCTCTAGCTCTCCTCCTCTATCTGAAAGTCAGGCTGTTATCAAGTGGCTTAAAGCCCCAACCATCTAATCACACAGTTGGTCTTTTTGGCATGACCTGCTCCCATCCTGAGTCATCTTAGCACAAAATTTCTTTGGGCCCAGCATCAGTCATCTTGTTAGTTCAAACTATCAAAGCCCACCATGAATAATAAAGACACTCCTCTCAACTCAGGAAAAAGTCAAGGATTTAGAGAATACATCCCAGAAACTGGGGATAAAAGCCAGTCAAATTCTAGGGGCTGGCCCTGTGGCCTAGTGCTTAAGTTCGGTGTGCTCTGCTTCGGTGGCCTGGGTTTAGTTTCCAGGTGCAGACATCGGTGGCCATGTTGGGGTGGTGACCCACATACAAAACAGAGGAAGATTGGCACAGATATTAGCTCAGGGCAAATCTTCCTCAAGCAAAAAGAGGAAGATTGGCAACAGATCATAGCTCAGAGTGAATCTTCCTCAGCAAAGAAAAAAAGCCAGTCAAATTCTTTATTCCAGGGATTTAGAGGGAACCTCCTAGATACCTGGGACAAAGGGCAACCAACTTCTTTATTATACACTCTATCTGCGTCTTCCATTGGACTTCATGCTCTTCGATGGCAGATGAAATGTCCTTCTCATCTCTGCATAACTGACAACCTCATGCCTAGCACCCTCCTGAGGAAATCTTGATGGAATTGGTAAAGATGAAGCCTTAGATAGTCACAGAGCTTTAGAATAAATGAATTGGAAGAGTCTTTTGGAGAACATTTAGACATTTCAACACATTCATTTTATGCATGAGAAAATGAAGTACCAAAGAGTTTCCGTGGTTACCCCAGAACACACATTGAGCAAACTGAAGACGTACTTTAGAGTTTTATTATCCCAAACAGGACACCCACTCCCCACAGCCCTGCCCCTACAAGCATGAATGCAAATCTAAGCATACACACCCTGCTTTCTTCCTTACGTCAAAGAAACCAGTGATAAGCCATGAAAAGGGAAGAAGTGACAGATATGAAGACAAGAACTGAAACATGACTATGATATAAATCTTTAAATGTGATGTGTCTAATTCCTGACCTTCCCATGCTTTTTTCCTGCTCTGCCCTAAGAAGTAAAGAACATTCCATTTTCATCAACTTGTTAGAAAATATGGCTTCTAAGAAGGGTGTAGTCATTTTTTCTGTAGTTGTTCTGTTTAGTCTCTGCTCATCGCGAACCTCTTAAATTAAAAACAATAAATCCTAGTAGTTCTCCATTTCTACGCTTATCCAGGAGGGAACAGAGCGCACCTCTAGCATCTATCTTGGGGCACTAAAGTGCTCAGAGACGGTTGGCTGAACAAATAATAGAGTGAATACTTTAAAAAAAATTTCCCAGCATTTGAAGATTAGTCTAGCTAGATGCCTCCTTATTCTCCTCATCTTAACTCCCCACTTTCTCATCATCATTGAGATAAATAGTACTGCTAATCTATGTGGAAGGCCATTTTCCTCTTTTACATATCATTCCTGGTCAGTCAGGTTGTGGGGGAAAATATTTGCATCATGCAATATCATGAATGTTTCAATTACAGGACTTTTAACCATTATTTTTCATTTCTGAAGGTGAAACGAAAGCATGGAAGAGGTAAAGTCTGGTAGCATTGGATATGCAGCTAGGCAATGTGCTTACCTAGATGTAAACTCTCGATTCATGTTACTGAGTCTGAAGCCCAATGCAAGACTTAAGATAAAATGCAGCTCAATCTTTTATTCTCAACAATGAAATTGCAATGGGAAAAACGCGTTTATCTTTCAGTGAGTTCAACTCATGCCTACCCAAACCTGGCCCCATACCGACCAGCAGGACATCTCCTGTCTCCTCCTCTGCTGCTCTCAGTCTTTTTGAATGTCTGTTTCACCTGCATTGTGCAGATCTGTGCATTTCTCTATGTGAAGCAGCAGCCCTGGTATTGTGAAGTCTACAGATACAGGTAAAGTCCACTTCTTAGTTTTCCTTTCTGAAGGTGATACAGTGAGTACCCAATGACATTGTACAACTTGGTTTGAACGCATACGCTCAAATTTTAATTAACAAATGTTGTGTCTCCACACTGCAAAAGGCTGATGACGGGAAAGAACACAGAACACAGTTAATGGGTAGAGTCCTGGGGTAAGCGATGTGGAGAGGGTGGGAAAATATCTTCACACCTGTTGTTCATGAATGCGTCTCACAGCTGGTTGACTGAATGATCGTATTCATTCCCTGGTGGTTTGGATATCGTATAGACCAGGGGTCCGCAAACACTTCTTAGAGAGGGCCAGATAGTAAATATTTTAGGCTTTGGTCAGATGGTCGCTTTTGCAACTACCAAGCTCTACTATCGTTATGAAGAAGCAGCCACAGACACTATGTCAACAAGTGGGTGCGACTGTGTTCCAATAAAACTTTATTTACAAAAACATTTGGGTCAGATTTGGTCTAAGGGCTGTAGTAGCTGGCCCCTGATATACGAGGGAAATTTGCTTAAATTAGTTTGGGGTTTTCAAATGAATGTTAAATTAAAATGTTACATGATGGTATCATTATTCTGATTGAAGTGAATACTAGACTCAGGGCAAGTCTCTTCATCTCCCTGGCTTTAATTTCTTTAACTGTAAACTAAGGGTAAGATGAGGTGAACTGTAGTACAGATGTTCAAACTTCATTTTCTCTGACAAAGCCTGCCCGACCTCCGCAAGGAAAGGCCAGAAAAGAGCTGCTTCTTTTGAAGTAGGGCTTCTGGAAACTCCTGCTCACTCCACTGTGATCTTGAAGGCATCAGAGTCCCAGGAATCAGTGAAAGACAGATTGAAAACTACCAAATGATGTCTAACATGTCATTTAGACCCAAAAGTCAGCAATTCAATTTATTCCTTGGAATGTAGAATTCATTTTTATTTCAAAACCAGATTTTTCCCCAAATTGGAGTGCATATATTCAGAGAAGCAAAGTTCTGATTGAATCTAGAAGACAACATGGTGTAGCCAGAAGAGTGAGGATGGATGGGTAGTCTCTGTCACTATCTGGCTATGCCATGCTAGTCCTCAACTTTATCTGCAGTGTAAGTATATTGGGTTAGATACATTTTGGTGTCAAACTCTAATACAGGCCTTCTAGTCTGTCTGTCCCCTTTGTGCAAGAATGCCTTGTGACTACTGATTGTTTCACTGATATATTCAGCAAACATTAACTGAACATATGCTGTATGCAAAGCACATTTTGGGACCCTAGGGAGCCAAGCATAATAAGACTTAAGTCTTGCATTTGAGTTCACAATTGAGAAATGAATTTTATCTATAAACAGTTATAATAGTAATAAAAAGTTTCAAGCTGAACACGAAATCTCATTTGTGGATTTGATTACTGAAAAAAAAAAATCAACATTGTAAGCAGATCAATCAGGATTAGGAAAGCCCATATCTTCAATAAATATTTTTCTGAGGAAATATTATGTGGCATCGCTTGGCTAGGTGCTAAGGATTTGTTGTAAATATGAGTAAAACAGAAAAAGAAAACCAAAAGAAAAGTTCCAAATTCAAGGAACTCTCATCCCAGGGATGGAAAATAAAAATATATGAACGAATAATTACAAAACAATGAGCTAAATGCAGCAGTAGAGGGAGGAAAGGGAGGCGCTGGGTACACTTGGCAGCAAATGGAAAGCTGGTTCAGATGGAGTGATGTTAGAGGCAATAGCGCGTCTGACTCCTGACATGCGCATTGTGATATTTGGGGAACAGGGAATATTCCTATATGTTTGGAGTTTAAGGAGCCTGGGAGGACTGGGCAAAAGATAAGGTGGGAAAGGTAGCTTGAGACCAGAGCGTGAAGGTCTCCTGGGCCTGCCTGAGAAGTTTGAATGTAATTTATTAGCAAAACAGAGCCACAGCCACTCATAAACCGGAGAGCGTCACGTTCGGGTCCTCAGGAAGAGCCTTCCGTTGTGTGAGGAGAGTGGATTAGAGTGGGCAGATTCAAACTCAAGACCCAAGTGAGGAAGCTTACCTTAGTCCATGAGAGCGAAAACACCACACACACACACTCACACACACACACACACACACACTCACACACACACACACACACACACACACACTCTCTCTCTCTCTCTCACACACACACACACACACACACACACACACACACACACACAGAGTTCGTTTTCTTTGAACTGAAAGGAACTCCACAGAAAATTGTCATATGAGCCCTTCCAAGACACATCACTCGTTGTAAATGCGATGCTGGGTGAAGAACGGCCTCGACTTCCTGAATTTTATTTCCGTTCTGTCATTGCAAGAGGCGAACAAAATATGTCTTGGTAGCTACTGGCTGCAACAGTTGGAAAGCTGCAGTCTGGTAGTAGTGATTACCTATTTTTTTTCCCACCAGCTGGATAAAAATAGAATAAAAAGTCCCATAACCATGGGTGTTTCTTTTGTAGTAAGTGCTTTCTGGACAACCAAAGTAATTTCTCAACAAATGGGAGTGCGGAAAGAAACTGGGCTGGAAATGCAACTCTGAACCCTGGTTCAGTTTTAAGTTTCGAGAGCACCACACTGTGGCCCATTGTCACCATCAACTGTATCGCAGTAGCCTTTATCTTTTCTAAGGGAAAGCCATTTCGAAAACCCATCTACACAAACTGTAAGTATATGAAGTTTAAGTTTTCTTTTTGAATGTTTTCCCCCCTCTCCCACCCTCCCCAGCATTGCGGCTCACTGGTGGAATGATGGGCTGAGAAGGAAACAATTGCATTATTCTGAAGTTGAGTCTTGAATGGTCATTTTCATAGGTGGCCGAGCCCCTAGGCAGAAACCTGCACATTGGCAGATAGGCCTATGCGTTATTGAATGCTCACATGAATCCTGCCCTATTGTGAGTCATCAAGAGTGATTCTAAGCACGTGCATAGATGTCAAGATATTTTGTAAAAGGCTTTCTAACCAATTCAAATACAACCTGACCTCTTAGTAGCTTTATAACATGGGTCAAGTTACTATAATCATTCTGTGCATTTTTTTGATCACCTGTGTGGATAAACATATTTTCGTGTTCTTAGCCATTTCTTCTTTGAATTATCTATTTACATTTTTATCCATTTTTTCTATTGATTTGCTGTTATATTTCTTATTTATTTGTATGAGCTGTTTATTCCTTTGTAATTTTTTTCCATTGCCTTTATGCACAGGGAGTTTGTTTATATTACAAAACTGGACAGGTTGTCACTTACTTGCTTTTTTCTTTCTTTCTTTCTTTTTGGTGAGGAAGATGGTCTCTGAGCTAACGCCTGTTCCCTATCTTCCTCTTTTTCGCTTGAGGAAGATTGTCCCTGAGCTAACATCTATACTAATCTTCCTCCATTTTCTATGTGGGTTGCCGCCACAGCATGGCTTTGATGAGTGGTGTACGTCCACACCTGGGATTTGAACTTGCAAACCCTGGGCCACCAAAGCAGAACATTCTAGCTTAACCACTATGCCACTGGGCCAGCCCTAGTTATTTCTTTTAACACATTTTTAATCTAATGTTAATTTTGGCATGTAGTTTGACATAGAGAACAAACTAGATTATTCAACTAGTCACTGGTTTTCCTAGCAGGTTTTATTACTTAATATTCTTTTTGGTCATTTATTCATCAACTGAATGTAATGTCACTTTTATCATACCTATATTTATGTATATTTATGGTTTTCTTATAAACATAGTTTATATTATATTTTTTATTAAAACTATATATATTATATGCTTATATATTAATTTATATATAGTTTCTAGACTATTTTTTCCATTTCATTGATATGCCAGCCTGTTCTTGATCTATCACTGTACTTTAAAAATTATAGTTTTATAAGTTTTCATAAGTAATAAAATTGGTCTATCCTCGCTCTTCATTTTTCAAAAATTTCTTGTTTTTCTTTCTTGTCCATTTTTCCAGATAAACTCTAGAACAAATTGTCAGGCTCCAAGAAAAATCACCTTTGGGATTTTGATACTTTGGAAAAATTCATTTGTTTACAGAATTTAGTCATCACATTTAAGAACATGTCATGTCTCTCCATTTATTCATGCTTTTCTGGTGTCTCTTAGTAAATATTTGTAATTTTCTCCTGCACATTTATTTAAGAAACTAATTCTATGTTTTTTAAATATTTTTATTTATATTGTAAATGACTTTTTCCCATTTTTTTCTATGTGGTTCTCACTAATACATGTGAAAGTTTTAATGCTCTTTACATTTATTTTCTATACAGACCTCTTTCTGAACTTTGCTATTGATTCTTCAGTGTTCTAGAAAGATAATTATTAACATTTGCAAGTAATAATATTCCTTTTCCCTTTCCAATAGCTAAAAATACCTTTTTATATTTTCTATCTTAGTATAGAGTTCAGAATTCCCAAGACAATGTTAAATAACAGTGGTGAAAGCAAATAGTTCTACTTCTTGATAATAATACTTGTAGTAGTTTTTACTTGTAAATATGATTTTGAATGTTGGTTCAAGGCAGGCTACATCACGGAAACCCTTCTATTTTCAGTCAATCCAGAGTATGTTTCACAATCAAGAATGGGAGACGTATTTCATCAAATGCCCTCCCATCACCTCCTGTGATGATTATACTTTTTTCTCGTTTGATCTATTGCTGGAATGTGTTGTATTATAAACTTATTAAATCGTCTTCATCCTAGCCCTGGTGGTCTAGTAGTTAAGATTCAGTGCTCTCAATGCTGCACTGGGTTCGTTTCCTGGTCAAGGAGCCACACCACCCATCTGTCTGTTGCCATACAGTGACAGCTGCGTGTTGCTGTGATGCTGAAAGCTATGCCACCAGTATTTCAAATACCAGCAGTGTCACCCATGGTGGACAGTGGAGCTTCCAAACTAAGGCAGGCTAGGAAGAAGGCCCTGGCCACCCACTTCAGAAAAACCTGGCCATCAAAACTCTATGAATAGCAGTGGAGCACAGTCTGATACAGCACTGGAAGGCGAGAGGATAGTGCAAAAAGGCTGGGCAGGGTTCTGCTCTGCTGTCCACAGGGTTGATGAGAGTCAGACAGCATCAATAACTAAAAAGTCATCTTCATTCTCTTGGGCAAATCCTACTTATCTGTGGTGGATTACACTCTTACTGAATTGAATCTTATTAGTTTTTTAATATCTACATTTTATATAAGCTTGGTCTGAAGTTTTTTATACAGCATTTTGCTAAGTTTGGGTATTCGATGTGAAACTCTTGGACTTTTTCTTTCCTCTGAAAAATATTTTATAAATAGACATGGTCTATTCTTCAATAATTTGCAGGAAGCCAGTAAGATCATCTGGTCCCAAATCCTTCTTTTGAAAGAATTAGTTCTGTAAGGATTGATTTAGGTTATCCTCTTTTTAAACGTTTCTTCAAAATAATGATTTTTATATTTTTTTGGTGAGGATGATTGGCCCTGAGATAACATCTGTTGCTGATCTTCCTCTTTTGGCTTGAGGAAGATTGTCACTGAGCTAACATCTGTGCCGGTCTTCCTCTATTTTGTGTGTGGGACACTGCCACAGCACAGCTTGATGAGTGGTGTGTAGGTCCACACCCAAGATCTGAACCTGCGAACCCCGGGGTGCAGAAGCAGAGTACATGAACCTAACCACTATGCTACCAGGTCTGCCCCTAAAATAACAATTTTTTTGCCCAGATAATTCCATTTCATTGAGATTATCAAGCTTTAGCATAGGATTTTGGGTGGTACTTTCTTATAATTTTTAATGCCTTCTACGACTCTTTCAATATCTTCTCATCCTAATTTTATGTGTCATTTTTCATTTATTTTTGCCAGAAATGTATTTTTACCATTTTTTTAAAGAGCTAGCTCTCAGACTTAATAGTTGTGTATGCTTTCTATTTTCTAATTTGTTAATTTTTGCTTTTTCCATTCTTTTTACTTTAATAATTTTTTTAACATTTGAATTGACTCTATAATTTATACGTTGTCTTTTATTCTTCTGAAGTTAGAAAAGCATTCAAGACCAATAATTGTAGTTTGGATTACAGTCTTTACATTTTCAGAGATCTCTAATTCTGACTGAATTTTCTCTTTGACTCACTGGTTTTCAGAATAGTGATTTTTAATTTTCAAGTGAGAAGGGATTTATTTTCATTCTCCTACTATTCTTTGTCTTAATAGCTTAACAACAGACTTGAATTCTTTTTTGAGTCAACAGATTTTTAGGATTTTGTTTTGATTTGTATTTTAGGAGGGATTTTTCATTTGAATTTGGTTAATAATTTCCTTTTATTGTCATGATCAGAGAATCTAGCCTGTAAAATTTCTGCTTTGGAAAATGTGCTACAGTTTTGTACATCAAAGGGCAGAAACTCTAATATCTAATTTTCTAAATAAGGCATAGATATCAGGAAAGTAAGTCTCGTTCCTATTCCTAAATTAGAAATATACATTTGCTATATTAAGCCAGTTTTAGGAATTATGTTTTCATATTGTCTCATCTCCTCCCTTTTTTTTTTTCTTTTCTGCTGTATCTTCCCATAACCTCCCGTACATAGTTGTATATTTTTAGTTGCAGGTCCTTCTAGTTGTGGGATGTGGGACGCCGCCTCAACGTGGCCTGACGAGCAGTGCCATGTCCGCACCCAGGATCTGAACTCTAGGCCGCTGCAGCGGAGCGCATGAACTTAACCACTCGGCCACGGAGCCGGCCCCTCCTTTTTTTTTGTATAGCTGTTTGGTCAAAGGTTTTGAGAACATGTTAAGATCTTCTTCAATTTATATTTTCTATTAACTTCCTCCTGAATTTTTTGTAATTTTTCTTAATTTTGATACAATGTTTGATAATGCCCTTGGCTCTTGTCACAACAAATCAAGATTCTGTTTTATGTTTTAAAGCTAATTTCTTATAGTCCTTTTTTTATTGCAAACATATTTTACAAGGAGGTTATATGACATTGCTGGAACTTTAATTTGAAGAGTAGCTACAAAGTCCTTTTACATAAACTGAGTTAATTAGAGCTGAATTAGTTACCTTGTAGTGACATACAGCTTGTGAGTAAACTCAAACCCTTATGTCAAACATAACTGATAATTTTAAATGAAAAAAGTTTCATAAAAATATTCTAACAAATATAATCTTACAATAGATCATATTCTCTCAAGGTTACAAGCCAGAAGTCCTTGGAACTAGTGTTAAAATATACAAGCAATTTTATTTTGCTACAACAGGAAGGTCTTTACCCTTCTTAACAGCCTTTGACAGAAGCGCAACTTTATGATGAGATATAGAAAAAGTACAGATTACATTTTCATGGAAACACATGTGACTATTCACTAACACTTTCCTCATCTGAAAACGATCTGTAGTGGCTTGGCCAGGACTTGGCTTCCCAAACCACCCGTGCAGACAGGGCCCCATTCTTTCAAGTTTCCTCATCAATAGCAACTAACCAAGGAGGGCAACATTCACTTCAGTTCTTCACTATGTTTTCCAATCGGAGCTGAATTAAAGACGACAGCCTTATAATTTTGTTTCCGCACTGCGCATTCGTGCACTAGCCTGGCCTGCTTTTCGGATCATTAGTCTGAGGACAGGGTGATGTACACAGCACTCAGTTCTGATGCTAGTGAGTACCAGGCCTTCATCGGGATGCACATTTGGAGCATCATCTTCTTCCCCGCATCTCGGTCGCTGGGACTTGGAAACAAGGAAATGAATGAAAAATCCACACAGCCATTCCTGGGAGCTTCTTATCACCAAGCTGCTCAGATTGCTTTATTTTGGGAGATGCCGCTCCTGCATTTCTTCTCTCCGCCTCACACCCTCCCAAGCAAGCCTGGGTATTCTTCTGGAGGTGCAGCATCTAGTTGTATACATAAAATGAGGCTTGGATGAATATGAGAGTGGGTGTAGGTGCCCAAGGGTGAAAACAGCTCTGGCGGCTTAAAAACATAAGGCGTGCTAGAGAGAGGCAGTTGCCTCTGATTTCTGCTTGGTATAGACCTATATAGAGTTGGGGGTCAGTAGACCGTCAACGCTAGAATGAATGAAGAAGAGCGAGTATAAGAGAAAACCTAGTTTGTTTATAAATTTCGAGAATTGTAAGAATCATTTATACCATGGCAACCTTGATTAAATGCCGCTGTTTTGGCCTGAACATGCTAATCCTATCAAAAAGCACTATAAGGCACCATCTGCAAAGTGCGTGAAGGCTCTGATGGACACGGGAGTGGACAGGGCTAGGGGATCAGAACAGTGACAATGGCACAGTGCATCCTGGGAAGTTTAGCTTCCCAAAGCAAAGTGATTTGGCCGAGTTGGAGACAAAGAACCCAGGAGGTGCGCGTGCTAGTTTCTCACACACCGTTTAAGTTCAGAGTCTCAGAGAAACATACAAAGTCGCTTTCAAGTGGTTACAATCTAGTTGGTACGTAAATGAAGATCATGCAAAGCAGGGAGTGATATACACCATATGGAATAAAACCTTGTAAGGGAGGATGAAGGACTCTTTAAAGAGAAAGTGGCATTTGAACTGGGCTTTTTAAGAAAAATTGGAATATGCCAAGACAAGAAGAACATCACCTACACAGGGTATGGTGTGAACAAAGGCACAGAAGCTGGGAGGTGTTGGGCCTCTGTGGATGCAGCAGGTTTGCGGTTTAACTTTCCTATGACACACAAGGAAGAGCAATCGGAGATCAGTTTAGAAAGGCTGACTGGAACCAGCTTTGGAAGGCCTTGAATGTCAATCAAAGACCACTGGGCTTTCTTCCCTAGGCAACAAAGAAGAATGAGATGCTGCCAAGAGGACCGACTCTTTATCCATGCATGCACTCACTTGACACACAGCGATAAAGCACCAGGGCCTCTCTGGGGACCATTCCTGGGCTGCTCACTGCAAGATGTCCCAGCCCCCAGGACTCCTCAGCTGAGATAACTCCTCTATGGAGTTTACTACAAAGCGTTCGATTAGCAGCTTTCTACACACAGCCTTTCGAGGGGAGATTTTAAGATGGTACCTTTGTCTTGTAAGCATTAGACCATATTTTAAAACATACGAGGATATATCAAAACATCTGAAGATGTGTCCGGTGTTTGCCCAACAGAGATAATTGATTCTGCAATGTGTGCCAAATTACAGGAAACGTTCCTTTAGCATCTAAAAATAATGTTTGGTGTTTCTTCAGATATATTCTCATTGCTGCTGATATCTGCCTTGGGCCTCACAATTTTCCTTCAGTTTTCTGATTTTCAAGATATATACCGCAGAATGGAGGTGAGTGGTATTCATTGCACACCTGGCGTGACTCCTATGTGCCATGGGATCATATTTGCATTGTAATTTGCAAGTCAGTTATAACATATTCTCTCCAACCACTGAATATTGTGAGGCTATTCCTGCTGGCTGGAAGGGCAAATAACGTATCTGGATCTCACAGATGCTAGCCTCTGAGTATTTTCATATCATTAGCATCATCAGTTGGGTACATTTATCCTGTTCACACCTGAAAGACTAGGGGTACTTTAATCTTCTATGTTATCCTAGCACAATAAAATTAATATATTGATATGATAATTCTTCCAGTTTAATGTTTTTCAACATATAGGAGAAATGCTTTATAAGGTAGTTGTGAGGACTAAGAAAAAGTAGACACATAGGCCAATCATTTTCGTCTGTCAGACATTGAGCATCGGGAGTTTTATTTCAAAGTACATCACTTGATCCAGGGTTAAAATTAAATTTATTAAGAGGTTATTGGACCCAGCATTGTGAGAGAAATAAAAGAAAGAGAAGGATTGACCCTTGACCTCCAGTCTATACTTTTGTTGCAAAGATGAGCCATACCTGAAAGAAATGATAGCATGGCCACTTGAAGCCACCCATGCTTAAAAAGAACGTAAAGATACAGAGAAAAGGGAAAAATATAGAAAGGAGGAGCTCTCTCTGGGGCCTGTGGCTACCAAGAGAGGCTTCACACGGAGGACATGCAACTTGATCTAGGACCTGAAGGACAGGCTGGATTTTGCTAGGGAAGAGGTAGGGATGTTCCCATCCAGGACAAGCAGAGAGGGCTGAAGGAGTTATCTTGGAAATGGAAAAGAATGTAGGGCAGCAGCGATAAAAATCGAAAGCAAAGCTTCTTTCACAGAACACCTGGAAACTTGGCTAGTCTGGAGGCCGTGTGCTGTGGAGTGTGAGAAAGGCATGGATGGATGAAGGCGGCCAGCAACAGGGAGTCACTGAAGATATCTGAGCAGGTTTTTCAGCAGGACATTGAAGCAGATTAATTAGATTATGGCAGGAAGGCTACCTGTGACGGCAGAGAGGCTGTGGAGAGAGAAGCAGTTAGGAAATGAAAACCTAGACCATTCAGTCATTTATGAAACATTATGAAGCTCCAGGGTGTACTTGGCACTGTGGTTACAAAGACGAGTAAGAGGTGGTCACTGCTCTCAAGTAGCTCAGAAGCTAGGAGGGGAGACCATCACATAAGCAAATAGTCCCAAAGCAGTGTGACAGGTGATTTCCAGGGCAAGAGATGGAGAAGTGATGAGGGCGGTGGCAAGAGTGAGGGAAAGAGCCAGGGTCTGTGCTACGAACCGACCCGCTGCCCCATCTTACAGCCTCCTCCGGACCACCCTTGCGCACAGTGTGCTGTATTTCACAACCCTGAGACAGGCTGTCGCCACTTGAGGGAAACAAAAGTGTCACTTTGAAATAACTCATCTCAGAATCGAGATGAGAATTAAAGGCGAGCGTTTAGACACTGTGGAGGCTCTGTTGGCGGTGCAGCTCTGTCCCCTACACAGTCATCCATATTCTGCTCTTGGGAGTCAGAAGCGGGGCTGTGTAACTACTTTTTTGCTATGGAGGCAGCCAGCGGAAGTTGTGGCGCTCACACCTATTAAAGAAGTGTATTTGGTCATCACTATGTACCCTTTAATCATTGAAAGGAGGGGAATGGGTGAGTCCTACTTTCATCAAGCCCTTAGATGTAGAGCTGGGAAGATACTGTCAGAAAATTTTCACCTAATTTCAATGAAAACACACTTGAACTCTGTCCCCTTATGTTCACCTATATGCCAATTTTACTGAAAGAATGAATTCCAAGTACATTTTGCTTTGGGAGATTTGTAGGTAATAATATTACTAGATGAATAATTTAATCTTATACTCTCTTCCCATCTATTTGAAAAGATAGAAATGAAGAGAGACACACAGGCTGGAAAGTGCCCAGTCTCACGTCTGTGACCCAGGGCATGTCTACTCAACATCTATCATCAGGCAGTAGAGGGAGCACAGGCCAAGAGCCGTCAGTTGTCTGAATTCTGGCTTTGTCATTCATTTCTTGGCTTTGAGTCCTTGGTCAAGGTACTGACCTTCTCGTCTGCAAAGTGGAGAAAGTAATGCCTACCCTCCAAGCCCAGAGAGTTGTTACAAATATATAAGTTAAATAATTAATACGTGTTTTCTCAAAGTGGAAGCTATGCGAAATATAACGATGGCATATTTTTTTAACAGTTCATTCCAACCATAACATCATGGAGAGTTTTGATTTTGGTGGCAGCCCTCGCTCAGTTCTGTGTGGCCTTCTTGGTAGAGGTAAAGTAATTTCTGTACGGCTCCTATTATTTTTCTGGAGAGAGAAACAAAGAAAGGGTCTTGTTCTCAACAGACGCTCATTTTTAGAGCCACCACTTTTTGTCCCCCAAAGTGATAGTTATTAAGTGTTTGTAAAAACCATCCATGTTCTCTTTGGGGGAAATTCCTTGGAGAATTATTTAAAATTCTTTGAAGGATGCGTAGAAATGCTCTCAGTATCTGTAGCGTAGAAAGCAAAATACCAAATTAAGTCTAATTTTGCCTCACATGAAGGCATTGTATTGTACTTTTCTAGTATTCTCGATAATCTAGTAAAGACTAGACAGGGGACCTTCCAACTCTAAAATTCAATGAGAGCTTTTAGAGTGAAGAACCGTCTTCAGGAGGGCTTCCTTAATTAAGAGTAGGGAAGCCATTGCTCAGGCTAGTCAATTCTTACCCCGGAATGTCTTCTGTTACAGCATTTCTCTTTTACTCAGTGTCACTAAATGACTTTACCGCCTCAGTGAAAGGCTCAGGTACTATTTTTTTTTAAGGGACAGTTGGAAAAAAGAAAAAAAGATTCATGTACTTTAAGTTCCTTGGGAAAAGGGATCAACCAATTTAAAACATACGCACAAATATCTTGTATATAACGAGCATAAAATTCCTCACTCTTTAACTGAGGAATTCCATTTTGGAGACTATATTTTAAAAAAAAATAATCCCCAAAAAGAAAATCTACAAGGTATTCATACATCTACAATAGCATTATTTACAATGTATTAATTGCACATTATAATGTACAAGGCATTATCTACAATGGTGAAATATTAGACTTGACTCAACTGTTCCAAAGTAAGATGCTGTTTAAATAAAGTTATACAGCAATTTGAAGGAATATTATACAACTATTAAAATGATTAAGAAGACCGTAGCCACAAATTGTATATGACAGAAAGTTTAGTACAAAGTGGAATGCAAAATTTGACCAATTCTATTATTATAAATGTGTAAAAATTGTGTGTGCATGTGAACATGAAAAAGAAGGGAACCCAGAAAATGGAAAGCAAACCCATTTGATTTCTAGAGGTCATCCATTCATTCAACAAACCATTATTTGACACCTTCTATGTGGCATGTGGCAGGTAGCAGTGCTTTTTTTCTTTTCTTTTCTTTTCTGGATTTTAAGTACATTATTTTGTAGTCATTTCAGTCTGGCAGTAAAATAAATCTAAGTGAATCACCAGCCAGGATTTAACTAGAAAATCTGTGGAAATGAAAGGCTGTACACTTTTGCAGATTACTGCGAACACAAGCATGCTCTTGCTTCTCAAGGTAAAGAGCCCTGGGAGCTGCTAGACTTTGTGGGGACCGCAGGGAGACACTGCCACCGAAGCTGCAGCAATAGGCACATGGCTGAGGGGGGCCTGGGGGAACAGGGTGTGGCGGTGAGCCACCTGGATACAGGCTAATGGATGATGGTTTGATTTTCTTTTCTACCTAATTTTCCAGGATGCCATCCTTCAAAATCGAGAGCTCTGGCTGCTGATCAAGAAACAATTTGGATTCTATTCTAAAAGTCAGTATAAGAACTGGCAAAAAAAGCTGGCAGAAGACTCAACCTGGCCTCCCACAAACAGGACAGATTATTCAGACGACGGCAGAAACGGATTCTACATCAATCGAGGCTACGAAAGCTCTGAGCAGATTCCAAAAGAAAAACTCGAACTGGAGGGCCAAGCCACAGAACAGCATTTTTGGAGCAGACTGTAATCAGAATCGTTGTCAGACATGCTTCAAGCTTCCTCTTTTTCCCGTAGAAACTAAAACATTGTGGACAGGTGATGATAATCTACGCTTATCTTTTCTCTCTCCATCGGAGGGGTCAAAGGGGCTTCCCAGTGTATTGAAGCTTGCAACAAAGGACCTTAAATATGCATATTTTGACTGTATCCTCTGCCATTGAGGGAAAAAGCGCATTTCTTGGATTATTCTGTTTTTCTAATAAACTTTATTCTCCTTACACAGCATTGTCTGGTTAAAGCACACAACTTTTCAGAGTAGTGAAATTAGTAGTATGAACATCAATAGAAAAAAGGAAAATCGAAGAAGAGGTTGACCTTTGAAGATTTCAGCCATCTATTTTTATTTTCATCGACAGAAATAAAAGAATTTTGGGGGAAAAAAACCCTCTCAATAAATTGTCACAAGTTTACTTAACCTTATATTCATTGCGAAGAACATTTATGTACATATCTTCTTCCAAGGTCACAAAATTCCTCATTTTGCTTCTTTTGTATGGTTTTAATAGAGAAACAAGAATGGACGTTTACTTCAGAAAATTCAGTTCTAACTCTAGTAAGTCTGGAAGTGGAGAATGATGGAAGTTTCTGTTAATTGCATATAATCTGGTCTCGGGCACAGCTAACATCTAAGCAGACGCCACCAAAGTTGGCATCTCCCAAAGTATATTGCTTGGGGCCATTGAGCTAGAAGGTCCAGAGTAGATGACAAAGGCAATGAAATGAACTGTTAGAATGTATGTTTCACATAAAGAAGCATGACGCCTTTATTTACTCTTTTCTACTGACAGGCAAAAACCTCAAGTTCTAACTCTAAAAGTTGACCCAAACTCAGCATTGTTCATCTTACAAAACAACCCTGGGGAAGGGACCCATACATAATGTTTGTATATAAAGCATGACAATCATCATGCTACTAAACAATCTTAAGTTCCGTTTCATGTTTTCATTATCTAAATCAATTCTTAGATGCACATTAATGATCACTAAAAAGAGTACATCCTTTACAATACATTCTGTACTCTCTTACCTTTCCTACAGATCAACCCCACCGTGACACTGAGAGGACATTTATTCCTCGTGAACATTTCAGATTACCTACGAGGCTTTCCTTGTAACAACAAATCTAATTTTGCTAACTTAGATCTTTAATGGACCATAGGAAATTAGATAACCAGTGCCATTCCATGAATGCCAATTATGTGCCTAATACTGTGATGTATGCATTCAATAATGTCTTTACAATTCCGAAATCCTTAAGATTGAAAAAGTGTTTTCAATACTTGAGCAATTTGTTACTGTAAATAGTATTACACACTTTGTTACACGAACCAGCACATAAAGGCAAATTCCTGTAAAAGCAAACCCTCTGTATTTACATTTTATTCACTTTTTTAACCTTTTCTTGGGTGCACAGCTCTTGGAGAAGAAAAATTTTCAAAATGTGTCTAATTTAGTAGCTACCAATAAAACATAAAAAGATATTTTGCTTACGATTAAGAAATGTATGTCAGGGCCAGCCTGGTGGCACAGCAGTTAAGTCTGCATGTTCTGCTTTGGCAGCTTGGGGTTCGCCGGTTCGGATCCTGGGTACAGACCTACGCACCGCTTGTCAAGCCATGCTGTGGCAGGCGTCCCACATATAAAGTGGAGGAAGATGGGCATGGATGTTAGCTCAGGGCCAATCTTCCTCAAAAAAAAGAAACGTATGTCAACATAAAAAATATGGTAGCTCAGGTTTCTTGAGCTGACATAACTGTATTTAGTAATCTGACCTTTAGAGTGAGAAGATTCAATTGATACACTATGACATTTAGATAGCATAAAAAGACTTTTTAAAAATCTTGATTCAATAAATGTACAGCTCTTTCCCCCGCAGTTTTCCCAGGAACCTATTAAGTATCTGATGGATGATGATCTTTATTTCACACATCATTTTGGGGGTAGCACGTGATAAAGTTGAACTCTATACTTGACTTTGCTAAAATTATGCTCAGAGAAACATTTAACAGTCTTGGGAAAAGTGTTTGATAAGAGCACAATGGACATTGGCCGCATACCAAATGGTCACTTGCAGGAAAAACAAACTGGTCAGGAATAAGCTGCCCATCATCAAGAGGGGCCATTTTTATGGGAACACTGACGACCAACTTTGTGAGCTTACCTCTAAGGGTGGAAACTACTATAGCCTTGAACACTACCTATGTGAAAAATGAGTCCTTGAGTTTCATTTAAACGTGCGTTTGTGGGGCTGGCCCCATGGCTGAGTGGTTAAGTTCGCGAGCTCCGCTGCAGCAATCTAGGGTTTCGCCAGTTCGGATCCTGGGCATGGACATGGCACTGCTCGTCAGGCCATGCTGAGGCGGCATCCCACATGCCACAACTAGAAGGACCCACAACTAAAGAATATATACAACTATGTACCGGGGGGCTTTGGGGAGAAAAAGGAAAAAATAAAATCTTTTTTTTTTTTTTGTTAAAAAGTGCATTTGTGACGTTATCCAGACAGCTAGGACTGTCTTCTAGAGTGCAGACATCCAGAATTCTCTAGAAAGGTTTGACTTGAGGAGCCTCAAGAGGTCTGGCCCTACTTCTGCTCCCTGTCCTACCAGCCAGTGATGTAATTCCACCACACCCACGTCTCCTGCTTTGGGTTTAGATCTGCCCTCTGCAGTCATCCTTTATTAAAAGGTAAGCACACCTTGAGCAAGGTAACGCAGTAGGCTGCTACCAATCTCACCCAAATTTGTGAATATGAGAAAACTGCTCATTTTTGACTATTACTTGAGAGCAGGACATAAAAGGAGTAGGACACTGAATTCAGAATAAAAATGAAGAGATAATTCTGCATCATGGTACCTGGTAGAAGACACTCACAGGTCTCAGAGGACCAGTGGAGGAGGAGAAAGTTTGCGGGTTATCTGGAGACAGAGTTGACATCGTAAGAAAAGGAAAGGATTAGTCAGGGAACAAGGAAGGAAGAGAGATGGAGTCTCTTCGGGCCCTGATTGCAGCACATGACCCCTCCTATTATTATTACTCTCAACCTTGCGATTAGATTGCAAAGAATTTCTGCTCCCTGGGGAAAACCTAAATCAGGTTAATAGGTCCAAGACTTCCACTGAGTCTTCGGCTTAGTTACTTCATCTCAGTATTCCTAGTTCTCTCACTGTGCAACTCCCCCCCCTCAATATTTACTTGAACTTTTTCTTTTTTCTTTATTTAATGCCATGCTTTTAATGGTGGCACAAGAAGGATGTCATTGGCCATTAGTGTGATTTGTAAGGTAATGTTACAACATCTTGGTTATGGAGACCTGCATCCACTTTTCCCTACCTGCTGCCAACAAGAATTCCACCAGAAAGGTATTAAAAAGCAGTTTGTTTCATTCAACACATAATCAATAAAATGCAAGCATAAAATCACCACACCCCTTGATTTATAGTAAAAGCCTTAAAAAGTAACATGGATATTGTTTTCTAAATATGGCACTTTAAACCTACATTTAATGATCTCTTGCTAAGGTTAAAAGGGTCAAACCCTTGAAATACTTCAAAATCCAAAGGGACCAGTGTAACTCTGTAGAAGGAACAGCCCATTTTTGCTTGTCACACACTCCTGACAAATGAGTAGCTTCCAGGGAAATCACTGGATCTGAAACCCGGAGCAAGGAGCCCCCTCTCCTGCCCCACTCCCCATCTCCAAAGGAGCAAGGAGATGGGAGCGCACCCTCAAATAGCTTGTTAATCAAAGTTCCTCAAACTGTCTAACCAAATGCGGAATTTTCCAGTTTCTTTTCTGACCAGAAAAGGAATGTGAATTTAGATGTCAACTCTAACAATTTGGAGCTCTTAACTTTTTTCAAAATCACATATAAACAATTCTTCATCCCTCTGGAAAAGGCAAAATAGCCACCCTTAGGGAAAAGGAAAACAGTATTTATAGAAGACAAAATATGATGTGATTTTGTTAGGATTTTCTGCTGGCTCACTCAAAAGGCTACTGCTTTTTGTTCAAGCTGCCACAGCAAATCTATGCTAGTAGGGAGAAAAATTTCCTTGGCTCAGTGATGAGATAATATCAGTATGCAATTTATTAAAGAGCCTGCCATCCATCAGTGGAATTTGGAACAATAATGATGCACTGAAAATAAGTATCCATCCAAGGTTGGCTTTTTTTTTCCCCTCCTCACAAATTCCTTCAGTCCCAATATCTCTTCAGTAAACTGTTAATAGTACTTTGTTCTTTCTCTTTTTGGAAACAAGCCCAGGAGCGAGAAGGCGCCAGCAGCAGCTGTCACAAACCCAATGGTACTTATTGCTCGGTTGGCCTATAAGGAAAGGAGAAATAAAAAACACATCTTATTCTAAAGGTATCTCAGTGTCCTAACCTTTAAGCTTTAGCTTGTTTCTTAAACCAAAGATTCATTTTAACATACAATGGATATATTTAAATTCTGTATGAAGAAATAAATTTATAATTTTTATAATTATGACAAAGAAGTAAATACACGTAGGGAAAATTTCTCATATTTATATAGCTTCTGACAGTTTATAAACTCATCATGCCACAATTCCTAATAATCATCATAGTACACCTGGGAGGTAGCATTTTCTGTTTTGCAAAACCTGAGACGTTAAAAGTGATTTGCCTGAGGTCATACCACCAGGATGTATAGACATAGCTTGAGTCTTGAACTGTGTCTTCTCCCCCTATGCAACCTCTACCCGCTAAACACACACTGGTTTGGATGGGTCTATACCAGGAAATGATTCAGGGATGCAATCTGAGCTAAATACCTGTAAGCTCTCATTTGGGAGATACAATTTCTATTCTGATAAACAAACTTCAAGAGACGTCAATACTGATGTTAACTATCATGTCAAAAATTAATTTCTCACGTAGACAAACTAAAATAAACCACTCTCAAGCTCAATTGTCCATAAAGGAGTTCAGACATTTATAGCTGTAAGGGTATTAATCATCATCATGATGAGGGATCTATGAATATTCATGGTTTTCATGGCACTCAACTAATACTGCCTCCCATCTGCATGGGTTTCAGTGCAATTTTATGACCCAGAGGTCACATTCAGATGCTTCAGAGTCATCAGGTATTCTGCAAACAACAGTTGTTCGCTGGGATTTAAGAATCGGGCTTTCAAATAGAGCAACACGTTTTTCCCAAATGACTCTGGGGACCAGCCCAAATGCTGAGAATGCCCCCTGTCTAACCCACAGGCCTCCACCACTGAGCCTGCCACTCCCAAATTACTGCCACTCAATGCTACCTCCCTAACTGCAGCTTCCCTGTTGGGAACAAGCAGCAAAGGCTGTGGCCAGGAAGGCAGCACAATGACAGGAGTATTCCCTCCGTTACACCATCCTGCGGTCTACAGGGACAAGGCCTGTAATTGCAACTCCCTATTCTGCCACCATCCCCAGCTGCTGGGGGGAAGAGCACTGGCAAGCAACTGACAATCCTATTTTAGTTTGCAATTCTAATTTTCTTGATTTGTTTGGTTGGTTTTTTATTTTATTTATAATTTTTCATTAGTAGCTCCCTAAGTTATTTTTCCGGGAGAGAGTCAGAATTCACTGCAGCATAGAGCTACCCACACAGAACAGGGGGAGCAAAGAGGGGCAGAATCAGTAATCAGACAGGGATCAAAGATTATCGATCAAGCCCAGCCCCCATAGAATTCCAGGCAGATGCTGAGATCCCAAGAAGGTATGATACAGGGAAGTGTGGCAGGCAATGAGAAATAGGAAAGCACAATTGGTGTCTTTAAACAGAGGTGTCAAATGGCAGCAGGGTACAGCCCTGGGAAAGCAGCAGGATCTGTGGGTAGGGTGGCTCGAGCCAGATGCAGACCCAACTTCCTCAGTATCTTTCAGCCACTAGAAACATAAGATTTGAGAGATCCCATAAACCTGAGATCTGGGGAGGAGACAGGCAACTTGACCCTAAACCAAAATCCCCTGAGATCACACAGGCCAGCTGCAGTTATAATAAAGCCACATCCAGCACGCAGTCTCCCCAATCCCAAACACTTATTTATTTCAAGCTGCATTCTAAACGGCAAAATCCCACATAATTTGGACAATCCCTTGGAGTTATGTGTAATGGGATCTGATCCGCAAGGTTGTAACATCCCAGGATGTTCTTGGTGAACAAGCATGAACAAGAGCTTATGCTTCACGGTTTACTTAGGATTATAGGATCACCAAATCCGACTGCGCACTTCATGCTTTACAGGGCTCTCTGCCTGTGGGCCATAATAAAGGCCTCATTCTGAGGATCTATACATGCCCAACGAAACTATTAGCTGAATCCGGAGCAGCTATGTCCAGATATCAGAGTAGCTGGGCCACAGATGACTGAAGGGTTTATCAAAATGCCTCTTCCCCCGAGATGCTAAGGCTGCAGTACCATGCACTGAAGCACAGCCAGCGGGTGCTGTGTGTCAGCTTGTCCAGGCCTATTCAAGGGTGCTGCCATCTCCCACTAAGACAGACACATTTTAATAACTTGTTTAGACTATCACAGTGACAAATGTTGATTTTTGAAATTTTCAAAAAATACAGAAAAGAGAAGCCCCAGACTGGGAGAAAACATTTGCAAGAGACAAATTTGATAAAGGACTATTACCTGAAAGATGCAAAGAACTCTTAAAACTCAACAATAAGAAAATGAGCAAGCAACCCAATTAAAAAAGGGGCAAAAGCTCTCAAGAGACACATCACCAAATATGCTATGCAGGTGGTAAATAAGCATGTGAAAAGATGCTCAATATCATATGTATTTTGGGAACTGCAAATTCAAATGAGTTACCACTTAGAAAGTACCTCTTAGAAAGGCTAAATTCCCAAATGCCGATGATATCAAATCCTGAAGAGGATGTGGAGCAACAGGAACTCTCACTCATTGTTGGTGAGAATGCAAAATGGTGCAGCCACTCCAGAAGACAACTTGGGGGTTTCTTACAAAACTAAACATACTCTTACATACAATCCAGCAATCATGCACCTTGGTATTTATCCAAAAGAATTGAAAACTTACAACCACACAAAAACCTGCACACAAATGTTTCTAGTAGCTTTATTCACAACTACCAAAATTTGGAAGCAACCAAGATGTCCCTCAGTAAGTGAATGTACATCTGGACAATGGAGTACTATTCAGTGATAAGAAGAAATGAGCTACAAACCAGGACAAAATATGGAAAAATTTTAAATGCATAAGGCTTAGACTAATTTTGACTACACAACATTCTGGAAAAGGTAAAACTATGGAGACAGTAAAGTAAGTGGTTGCTGGAGGTCTAGCAGGAAGGAGAGACGAACAGGCAGAGCATAAAGGATTTTTAGGCCAGGAACTATTCTGTATGATACTGTAATGATAAACACCTGTCATTATGCATTTGTCAAAACCTATAGAATGTACAACACAGAGAGTGAGCCCTAAGGTTAACTATTTTAGGGGAGTAAAAACTTTTCCTTTACGCATCTTAGGTTCTCAACTAAGCCTCTGTAATAAAAGATGGATTAACAAGAGAAAAACAGAAGTTTATTAAAATGTACATCTCATATATACATGGGAGAAACTCAGGGAAGAGCAACTCAAAGACGTGGCTTAGAATTCAGGCTTATACAGTATCTTCAACAAAGAACAATAAATTTGTAGAGAAATGATAGGACGATGGAAAGTGGTTTTAGGCTCATGGGCAGAAATTGTGGGAAGGTAAACAAACAGGAAACTAAGAGTAGACAGAGGCTAGTTAGTAAAATTAGATCCCTCTGGTGCCCTCTCCAGGCTGATAAGTGTCTTACCTTAACCCCAGGTTGTCCCCAATGATTAACTTTTGCCCTTCCTGCTAGAGAGGGGAGGAGGGACACCTCTGAAACTCTATGTCCTGCTTTTAGGCAAATAGGGGAAGGGCAGGGAGCTTTTCTTGTACCTGCGCCTCCTCAATTGTCTTTAGCTCAAAATAATCCTTATGCCACAGTGACATATTTTGGGGGTGGCACATTCTGGTTTCCTTCACTATCGACTTTGATAATGATGTATCAGTGTTGGTTCACCTTTTGTAACAATTATACCACACTGGTGTGGGATGTTGATGCCTGTGTATGTGTGTGTGGTTGGGGGTGGGGCGAGGTGTTATGGGGGAACTCTATATACTTTCAGCTCAATTTTGCTGCAAACTTAAAACAGCTCGAAAAAACCAAATTTTTTTTAAGAAAGATTTTTTAAAAAGGCATGAGGACGAAAAAGAAAGATAGGGCCACAATCCTTCCACCTTTCTCTTTTATGTATTTACAGATTTATTTAATTGGGGGAAGTATATAGCCCTTCCCAAGAACATTGTTCTAAGCTCAGGAGCCCTAAGCCTTAAGTGGACACAAAAAACTAATCTATTACTAGCTATTATTAATATTAATACTATTAATTATCAATAATAATAAAAGTAACCCCAGTGTTGTAGTTTCTGTTAGATCAACAGAGATTTTATTGAAGATCTATAAAAATCCTAAAATACTGCAATTAAAAATGGTATCCATCTAAGGCACACTGTGAAGGGGGATGGATAATATATAACACAATATGCTAGGATACTTCAAATATCTCCTATAATCTTCAAAACAACCTCAGTTTATAGATTAGGAAACTGATAAACAACGTGCCCAAGGTCAGTCATCTAATAAGTGGTGAGGATGGGGTTCTAACTCGGGTCAGCAGAATTTCAAAGCTTAGGTGAGTTCCTAAGGCTGGGCACCATCTTCTTCAGAACCTTCTAGAGAACAGTTCTACTAGTTGTTGAAGAATAATTAACTTTTCGTGGGTCTCGATTCTGGGTCAGAAAGGTGAAAAGATGATGGATTGCAAGTAAGAGTCAAAGCAAGAAGATGGTTCTAACTCCTTTGTATGGAGCCACATTTTTTAAAAAATTGCTGATTGAGTGCAGTGGACAACTTTAACATTAACAAGGGAGAAGGAAAGAATCTATTTCCTAGTTATACCACTAGTTTTCAACGCAAAAGTGAGCGGGAATTTGTACCTATCTCCTCTGTGTTCTGGCTCAGAAGCGATTTATTGTTACATGTGAACAGAGCATTCATTACTTTAATATATCTCCTAAAAAAAATAAATTTCCAGTTGAATTATTTCCTAATGAAAACAAAATTATGTTCCATCTCCCACTTTCCCAAGCTTTTGTGAGAAGAACTGTAACCTCATTCCTTAGAATAGACGATTATATAACTTATCCACTATTTCAGGATACTGGAAGGCTTTATAGATTTATTCTGTTAGATCACTTTAATAAATCTTTAGATTAAAACATCAATGATGGAATTGCATTGGTGGGACGACAGAAAAACAGCACTTGAATCAAGCGTGCTTTTAGTTAGGAATCTGCCATACTACAAAATAGTGGTGGTAAATGACAAAAGTGCAAGTGACTTTAAAAACAGTCAATTAATCCACTAAAAATCATCCAAAATTTCAACAAATCAAAGGATCTACTTAAAAGCTCAAAATTTCTTGACACTGTCATTGCAAGGAGACAGAAACTGTTTACAAACGCGCCAAGCTATGTCATCAGCTGGCCTCTTTCAGCCAATGGAAAAGAATTTCAGAATTACCATCTACGTTTTTGGCAAACGAACTTCCACTCAAAAAAAGTCAACATTCTTTTCAGTATATGAGGTTACCGATTTGAGACTGCTATACGGTTGGGGTAGTGGGAAAAAATGGAAGGACAGAGGGCAATCAGACTGACAGAAAGCTATGGTCTTGAGTCTGCTTCAGTCCCTTATAGCCCCAAATTGATGATATCCATGTTCTAGTCTCAGTTTGATCATTAATTGGCTGCATGACCTTGGACAACTCAATTCCCTCTTTGTCCTTCAGTGTTCTCATGTCTTCTCATTGTTTTCATTTTTTTGAGGCCTGGGAACCTTATGATAGTCGGTAGTTATCATTTGCCCAACGTAAGAAGCATATATCTCTTAAAGAAGACTCACCTGCTCTGAAACTCCTTCTCCATAGCGAAGCAAAGTCACAAAATGCTCACAGTTGTTGACAAATATGTCATACTCCACCTCCTGGCCAATAACAAACTCTGACCGTTGTATGACTTCTTCCACAGGGAGAGGGGGGTATGTTTCATCATATTTATTGTTTATTCTATACGTGTCATTTCCCGCAACATCCTTCAAGAGCTGCATCTTCACCAGGGCCTTTCTGCTGAATACAGACTTGGCGCTTGTAAATGCTGCAGGAATGCCATCTTCTATAAGGAGAATTCTGGTTAGCAAGATAGATTGACCTGGCCCAGTGAACTCCAATGCCATCTGAAGACTTTGGAAGTGCAGGGAGGACTAAACCCAGCTGTGCCCCTAACTTACCATCAACCAGCAACCACTTCATCCTACCAGCCTCAAGCTCTCATTCTGTAATTTATCAATAACACTTAATACTGTATGAGTGAGAATACAAGAAAACTTTCTGAAAATTTACATCTACTCATAGAATAAATTGGGTGAGAAAACTCTATCCATTCTTGAGGAATAAGTTCTCTATCAATCGGTATGATTACTACAGATCTTGATATGTTTCTAACATACTATAGATAAGATCTTTGCTCACTTTTTCTATAAAGTAGGCTCCTTTTCAGCATCTGAACCCTTCCAAACTAATACCGTTGGGTCGTAGCAATAGTGCATTATGATCAGTAGGCTCGTCCTAGCATCTAAATTGCACCTTACCCCCACCTCCACTTTTCTACATTTATTCTTTCAACTAGGCTTCAATTTGGGTCCAATCTGAAACCTGCATGGTATCCTAGTCCTCTGAGGTGTCAGCTAGTGTCAGGCTGGGGCCAAACTTTTGTCTTGCCAGTTCCTTTGGCCAAAGAACTAAGTTTTGAACCTGAACCTAATATAGTGGACACTGTCTGCTAGATGTGGCCCATGCTGTGCCCTACCCTCCTGTTACAATGCCCCAAGCCCCACCACTCCACCTTACTGCCTCTATTGATAAGCATTTGCCCAGACTGCCAGGAACCTTTGTTTCTGGCCTACCACTGTCAGTATCTGAGGCTGGACAGATGAGTCCTCAGTGTTCGGTCTAACACCAGGACCAGGTCCTTCTCCATATGCCCAAGACTGCTATGCTTGGCCATGGTTCAAGAAAATCATGGGAGGAAGGGCCTCTATATAACCAGTGGTTAGACACTTTCCCTTTTAGTAATGACTAAAAGTAAACTTTCTTTTCCACTCTTCTTTTTTTCTATCTTCCAAGCTTCTTTGCACTGGAGCAGCATTTCCAGTTAATATCTAACACATTGAAAGTTTTTACACATTACAAGCTCTTAGAGCACATATATCGTAGTTAGAACTATCAAACTTTGTTGGGGGCTGGTCTGATCAAATCAATTTACAGATGAGGAAATTGAAGCTCGGAGAGTAAAGTGGCTTGTAAAATATCACCTTAGTAGTTAACCACAGCAACAGGAATGGAGTTTCAGCCTACAGGATCAGAGCTCAGAGTTTGAACCACATTAATATGGAGCTTAAGACATGAAAATAACAAACAGCATCAAAATCTCATATTATTTTCCAGATGTGAAGACTGCAGAGATAATGTAGAGGATTACTTAGTGTTAATCACTAGATTCTGCAGAGACTAACGGTTCTGTATCATATTTGCCATTTCCAACATTCTAGAACAAGAGGCAAATATCTTAAAATGTCGCAAAAACTGCTTTGTCAAAAATTCTCAGAAGTTCCCAAGATAGTAAGACTTAGGCCTGTAAACATTTCTCTTTTAAGTTATCTCAAGGAAATAATAACAGGCTATTTGTTATTTACGTACATTTATCCCTAATAAATAAATTAATTTGTGTTCATTTCTAAATATTTAAAAAATATAGCATAAACATGTAAATATAAATCACCTATTATCCCACCACCCAGAAATAACTACTATTATTATTTTGATGTACTTCTATGTCTTTTATTAACATATGTGTATAGATGTGTGCATGTGTGTGCATTCATTTATGTATATATTATTTCTTTGCAAACTAACATATTGCATATTGAATTTCTACAAGCAAATATTTATATTTATTTTCAAATAAATATTACTTCAAGATTATCTCTCATGTAATTAAACATATCCAGAAATATGATCTTATTTTTTGAGGAAGACTGGCCCTGAGCTAACATCTGTGCCATGTTCCTCTATTTTATATGTTGGATGCCTGCCAAAGCATGGCTTGATAAGCAGTGTGTAGGTCTGTGCCTGGGATCCAAACTGGCGAGCCTTGGGCCACCGAAGCAGAGGGCATGAACTTAACCACTATGCCACCAGGCCGGCCCCTAGAAATATGATTTTTAATGGCTGTTACTGTGGCTTTTGTTTTTATCTATCACTCCATCCCACCACTGCCTCCTTTTTTCTGCAAAAGACCCTGTCTACGCCAATCACAGTATCCCATTCCCCTGGACACAGAGATGGTCCAGCAACGGGCAGGGGACCCCCAGTGGACCAATTAGTGTTGTTCTCCATGATTTTTCTAACTATAGTGGACACGGATTAGCTCTCTCTCCTGTTGGGTCACACAACTGTAAGAACAAGAGCATAAGGACGCTGATGGTCATCAGTTTAGCTTCTTAGAGAGTCATAGCCTACAAGAATGGAGACACTGAGAGAAAAAGTATGCAGATGTGAGACAGAGTCTTGATAGTGTTCCAACCCCTCATCCAGGCACCCCTGAGGCCAGCATCATCTCTCCCCTTTCTGCAGTTTCCCTCAGTATAGGAATGAATTTGCCTTTTTGCTTAAGCTAATTTGAGTTTGATTTCTGTTACTTGCAACCAAAAAATTCTCTCAAACACAGATACCTAATATTCTGTGGTTAAATCATAATTTATTTATTTATTCCCCTATTGAACATTAAGCCATTGTCTATTTTTTAAACCATTACAAATGAGATAAAAGTGAATACCCTTATACAAAAATGTTAGTCTACATCTCTCTCAAATTTCCCAAGAATAGACTCATAGAAGTACAGTTACAGGGCCAGAGCATATGAATTCTTTTAAGACTCTTAACATATGTGTACCGTTAAATTGTTTTTGTGAATGATTTTATCAACTTATATTTCTGTCAACAATATCCTTGTGTTCACTTCATTATACCCTTATCAACACTGATTGTTATCATTTTTTTAACCTTTGCTAATGTGATAGGCATAAAATCTGTCGTTTTATTTTACAATTCATAGACGACTCAAAAGTTGAGGCCTGTAAAGATGAGTATTGGCTTTTGCTTTTCTTCTCCAAACTGTTCCCAATTCTTTACCCACTTGTTTGTTGGGATTTGGGTGTTTGCTGTCCCCTCGGCCTGAGAAAAATCTGTCTCCAAATATCATCTCCCTGGTTTCCTCACCTCTTTGAAGTCGTTCTTCAAATGTTACCTTCTTAGGAGATTTTTCTGACCACCTCATTTAAAACTGCAGAACCCTCAGCACTTCCTATCCTGTTTCTCTGGTTTATTTTTTCCATATCACTTGTCTCTCTTCTAATGCTGCTTTCTGTATTTTATCCATGATCTCTCTCGCCACTGGAATATAAGCTCTATCATTCAGGAAGACGTTTATGTACCCCCAGCACCAAGAATAACATTTGAGGGGCGGGCCCCGTGGCCAAGTGATTGAGTTTGTGCCCTCCACTTCGGCAGCCCGGGGTTTCGCTGGTTCGGATCCTGGGTGCAGACATGGCACTGCTCGTCGGGCCATGCTGAGGTGGGTCCCACATACCACAACCAGAGGCACTCACAACCAGAATGTACAATTACGTACTGGGTGGCTTTGGAGATAAGAAGAAGAAAAAAAAAGAACATTGGCAAGAGATGTCAGCTCAGGTGCCAATCTTTAAAAAAAAAAAACAAAACAGCATTTGGCACATACTGGGTAATTAAAAAATAGATATTTAATGAATTGAAATAATCTATTTGTGTGATATATAAAGACATCGAATCTTGTCATGTTCGTGGTGAATATTTTCCCCAGCTATTTACTTTTTAATTGTGATTTTTTTTAATCCAGAGGTTTTAAATTTTAGTGTTAATTGCTCTTTATGATTTCTTTAATGCCACTTTGGTCTTAGAATGTCCTTCCTTAAACCTAGATCAGGTAGATTTACCTACTGTCTGAATTTTATTTCTATCTTGTTTTGTTTTATGATTTCATTTTATAACAAGAAAACTAAAGAGGTCCCAGGAGCCAGTGGAACAAACCTTACCTATAGGTGCCATGTTGATAACATAACCGTCACCCAAGTACAGCGCCCAGTGCTGATAGCCAGGACGAAACACTTCAATCAAGTCCCCTGGCTGGGGGTTGCCAGGGTACTTCAAACTAAAGCAATCATTGAACGCCATCTGCAACGACAGACACACAGAAGATCTAGCTGATACAACTTGGTAAAAGAAAATCAGTTTAAGACTTCCGTAGAAGCGTAGGGATACAGAATTTATTGGGATTGCCTTCCTTATTAAAGACTTACACTCACACCACTGTCCTTTACTTTGAAGGATTCCGACACTGAATTGTGTGTACACAAGTAGACAAACGGAGAAGGAATTTGTCTGCTATTGCATAATTTCCTACAGCAATTCTTCTCATCCTGATCAACTCCACTGCCCCTTTATTAAGATCAGCATTTTATAATTCTCCCTTTAAATTCAGAAATTCATGGATAATATAATTTACCTCTACATAAAATTTCAAAAATATTCATATGAGTCCTATTTGGAATGGAAAGGGGAGGTAAATTTATAATAATATCCGTTTTACTATGTAAATGCTCAGTCCATGACTACACAAAAAGATTTAATAGAGCGTGTATATGCTGTACTCACTTAGCATGAAAAAGTCAGGATCCAGAAGCAGAAGATAAGAAGGCGTTCAGCCTTGCATATGCAGCATAGTAAAATCAAAGAGCAGAAATATGGGTGGACACCAATACTGTGTACAAAAAATAATCTGTAATGAAAAATTTACTGTCTCATTTAATTTAAGCAGAGGTAAGTTGCGGGCTCAGATGAGCATCCAGCCAGATATTCAGGCATACTACAGGATACGAGGTGTTTCTTCCTCGTACCAAACTGTGCTTTGCAGGTCTGAGCACTCTGGTCTTCACCCACGAATTATCTGTAAAAGCCCTTTGTCACTGTGACAACCACAAACACCCCTACAGATTTCCACCACTCCCGTACTGCCCACTTACTGTCTAAATCCTCATTTATTGATTCCAGAAACAATGCAAAGTGGTCAATGTAGAAGGGAGACAACTTGGAAGGTTGGGGAGTTCATCATATTGATGAATATGTCTGAAAATTCTAAGTTTGGTCAGTTTGTTTTTTTCCTTTTAAATCAATACTTTTTAGAAAGAACGTACAAGTCTCTGACAGTTGATTTTTATGGAAGGTTACATCTTCTATGTATGGCACGGAAGTAGAATGACTCAGTGAGAGGGAGTTATGTACATTCATTGATAATCAAAAGGGGATTTAGTGCTATGTCTATGTTGAATCTCTAATTGGCAACAGCGCGTTCCTCATCATCTCTCCCTCTATTATAGCTATGTACTCTCATTTACAAAATAAATCCAAGTGCCAGAAAGGGGAACTTCCAAATCATCTAAATTATAATTATAATAGCACGGGCTAAGGACTTGGGAATACAGACTATCATTTTTCTGGCACTCGAAAAGTCTTTTTTACAACAATTAATATAGGGAGGGTGTTTTTCCAAGTATGAGTATGCCATCTGTTGAAAACTTCAATCATCACACTGTCACAGAAACGTGGCCAAATGTAAGTTGTCCATCTGTTGAAAAAGAACTATTAAAACAACTTTACGGAAACATCAAGTCTAACCACCCTCTCAAATATGTTTGCATCTTATTAATACGGCAGTTCACAATTTGGCACATGGGTACTAAAAGGAAAAATAGATAATCTATGACGATATAAACACACTTCTCGTGAACAGCAGTCAGCAAGCGTACACAGCTGCCTACTAGAATCCAGAGACGCAGCCAAGCTTACAATAATAACCATCATTTAAACAGAGAGCACTTTGTGGGGCAACACATTTTTTTTGCAAATTCACTATCTCAATTAACCCTATTCAATTTTTTAAAAACCTACAGCTATTTGAGTTTATGGTGTTATCATCTTATTTTAGATAAAAAGCTACAGTAGCAAATGCCAACTTCTGGAAGATACTCACCGAAGTGCTTATCAAATAAACAGGGGAAAAGAACTGGCCCAGGTGTTAAAGATGTGAGCTCTTGTCTCAGGTCTTCCGCTTGTTAACGTGCTAGTTCTGTCACTTTGGGCAAGTCCATTCAAACTGCCCGAGTCTCAGTTTGCTCATTTTGAAGGCAGGCATAAGAGTATAGAGCTAACTGGTTTTTCTCAAAAAGCTGTTACAAGCAATATTTCATGAACTGGGTGAAAGCTGTTGCAAACGCTTCGTGAACTGGCAAAAGCTACCCAGGCGGATGGCGAGAGGGAGGTAGCCATTTGTAAAGGTTGAGATACTGGTTCATGGCTCATGAGTGATTTTAGTTCCTTATCCTCTCTTTCCACCATGACAATGCTGCAGAATGGATGATTCCACTGAAAATTGTAATATATTTAACACATCTTCAATTCTGACAGATAGTTCATAAACTGCTTTGCGAATTGTGAGTTAATTGATTTCATGAAGCCTGTCATATTTAGAAAGAAGGATGACAGGACAACAAGGGAACATTTCACATGAGTAACCTCTCCAGAAACTAAGGCAGGAGACTGAAGGCTAATATGTAAGGGGAAAAGTGAGTTCTGACACCAAACACTTGGAATTACAGCAATTTACTGCGGAACGGTACTTCAGGTGTTATCCAATCCACTGCTCTCCGAACATGTTTTTAGCAGCAGGGCCGTCTATCAAACTAAGCATCAGACGGACCCACAAGAATATGAAATATAAAAAGCAGCCCTGCCCTGGATGAAGTCAGGGAGAGGCATGAGAGCCCCATTTGCTCCTCACTGTTGCTGCCACTGAGGCTCCCTGGGACCCCAGAACATCTAGGAACGGAGCTTGGCGTTTAAATAGCACCCATGCAGTCCTAGCACAACATCCTCACTCTTAAGATAGAGGAAAGAGAACCAGGCAGGTGATCTGACGTGCCTAAGGTCATAGGCTAATTTAAGGGCTTTCAACAAATGGTGCTGGAGCGATTGGACATTCATTGCCAAAAAAGAACCTTGGCCTAAGTCTCACACTTTATACGAAAAATAATTCAAAGTGGATAATGGACTTAAATGTAAAATGCAAAACTATAAAACACAGGGAAAAACACAGAGGAGAAAATCCTCAGGATCTAGGCTAGAGGAAGAATTCTTAGACTGGATACCAAAAACATTATCCATAGAAGGAAAAGCTGACAAATTGATGTCCTCAAAATTAAAACCTTTGGCACTGCAAAAAGATCCTGTTAAAAGGACAAAAAAATCAAGCTACAGAGTGGGAGAAAACATTTGCAAACCACATATCTGAGAAAAGACTAGTATCAAGAACATATAAAGAACTCTCAAAACTCCACAGTAAAAAAAGCAAAGAATACAATTAGAACATGAGCAACAGACACACTTCACCAAAGAAGAGACACAGATGTCAAGTGAGCCATGGCAAACATCGTTAGCCATGTGGGAAAGGCAGATTACAACTGTGATGAGATATGCTACACCCTATCACAATAGCTAAAATAAAAAATAGTGACAACAGAAAACACTGGCAAGGATGCAGGGTAATTGGACCACTCATTGTTGGTGAGAATATAAAATGGTACAGTCACTCTGGAAGCAGTCTGTCAATTTCTTTGAAAACTTAACTTGTGACTAACATATGATCCAGGAATTGTACTCCTAAGCATTTATCCCAGAGATTTAAGAAAAGGAAGACTTACATTCAGCCAAAGCAATCTTGAGAAAGAAGAACAAAGGTATCATGCTGCCAGATTTCAAACTATACTACAAACCTATAGTAATCGAAACAGCATGGTAATGGCACAAAAACAGACACAGAGATGAATGGAACAAGAGAGCCCAGAAATAAATCCACGCTTACATTGTCAATTAATATACAACAAAAGAGGCAATAATATATAACGAGGAAAAGACAATCTCTTCAATAAATGGTGTTGGGAAAACTAGACAGCTACATGCAAAAGAATGAAACTAGAACACTTTCTTACATCATATACAAAAATAAACTCAAAATGGATTAAAAACTTAAGCGTAAGACCTGAAACCATAAAACTCCTAGAAGAAAACAAAGGCAGCAAGCTCTTTGACATCCATCTTAGAAGTAGTTTTTCGATCTGTTTCCTCAGGCAAAGGCAATAAAAGCAAAAATAAATGGGACTACATCAAACTAAAAAGCTTTTGCACAGCAAAGGGAACCATCAACAAAATGAAAAGGCAATCTATTGAATGAGAGAAGATTTTTGCAAACCATACAACTCAATATCAAAAAAACACAACAGCCGATTAAAAATGGGCAGTGGACCTGAACAGACATTTTTCCAAAGAAGACATACAGATGGCCAACAGACACATTAAAAGATGCTCAATATCACTAGTTATCAGGGAATCCCAAATCGAAACCACAATGAGACATCACCTCACACCTGTCAGAATGGCTACTATCAAAAAGACAACAAATAAGTGTTGGTGAGGATGTGGAGAAAAGGGAACCCTGGTATACTGGTGGGAATGTAAATTGGTGCAGCCATTATGGAAAACAGTATGGAGGTTCCTCAAAAAATTATAAATGGAACTACCCTACAATCCAGTAATTCCACTTCTCAGTATTTATGCAAAGAAACTGACAATGCTAATTTGAAAAGATATATGCACCCCTATGTTCATTACAGCATTATTTATAATAGACAAGACATGGAAGCAACCTAAATGTCCATCGATTGATGAATGGATAAAGAAGATGTGGTGTATATATGTATATATATATATATATATATATAGTTTTCCTAGCACATATATATACATATATATGTATACACACACAATGGAATATTATTCAGCTATGAAAGATAATGAAATCTTGCCATTTGTGATTAACATGGATGGACTTAGAGTGTATTACGCTAAGTAAAATAAGTCAGACAGAAAAAGAGAAATACCATATGATTTCACTTATATGTGGAATCTAAAAAATAAAATAAATGAACAAACAAAACAAAACAGAAATAAACTCATAGATACTAACAACCAATTGGCACTCACCAGACAGGAGGGATGGGTGAAACAGGTAAAAGGGATTAAGAGGTACAAACTTCCAGTCATAAAATAAATAAGTCATGGGGATGTAATGTACAGCATAGGGAATTTTGTCAATAACATTATAATAACTTTGTATGGTGACATGGTTACCAGACTTGTCGCGGTGATCATTTTGTAATGTATATAAATGTCAAATCACTGTGTTGTACACTTGAAACTAACATAATACTGTATGTCAACTATTCTTCAATTAAAAAACAAGTTGCTCAGCATGGTCAAGAAATGGATCCTAAGATATATAATAATTTTTAATTGATAAATGTAATTAAAACATATAACTTTAGTAAAGGAAGTTTTATTTAATAAAATAGTGCTCCTGAATTTGACAAAAAGACACATTCACACAAAAACCTGTACACGAATGTTCAGAGCAGCTTATTCATAACAGCGCCAAACAGGAAACAAGCCAGGTGACCTTCAGCAGGTGAACAGTTAAAGCATGGTACAGCCATGCCATGAAATCTTACTAAAGAATAAATGGAGCAAACGATTGTCGATACATCCAACACCTGGATGCATCTTCAAAGAATTATGCTGGAAAGAAAAAAGCCAATGCCAAAAGGTTACATACTGTATGATTCTATTTATACAACATTTCAAAATGATTGGTCCTGGGGTTAAGAGGTGGTGAGAGGGAAGTGGATGCGGCAACAAGAGGGAGACTAGTGGTGAAGGAAATGTTCTGCATCAAGATCATGTCAGGAGGCCAACCCTGGGGCTGAGTGGTTAAATTTACATGCACTGCTTTGGCGGCCCGGGATTTTGCTGGTTCAGATTCTGGGTGCAGACATGGCACTGCTCATCAAGCCATGCAGAGGCGGCATCCCACATAGCACAATCAGAGGCACGCATAACTAGAATATACAACTTTGTACTGGGGGGCTTTGGGGAGAAGAAGAAGAAGAAAAAAAAACAAGATTGGCAACAGACGTTAGCTCAGGTGCCAATCTTTAAAAAAAAAAAAAAAGATTATGTCAATGCCAATATCCCAGTTGTGATATTGTACTCTAGTTTTGCAAGATGTTACCTTTGGGGGGAACTGGGTAAAGGGTACAAGGGCTCTCTCTGTCTTATTTCTTACAAGTGCATGTGAATATACAATTATCTCAAAATAAAAACTTTAATTAAACAAAGAGAAACCAATGTAATTTTTCTACAGAGCACGGAAGAGGACCAATATGTGGAAGTTACGCTGAAGCAGTTTTTACCTGTATGTGGGATAATTTTTCTCTCACTGAAGGTGATCCAGCAATGGATGGAGCACCTTGTGCAGACAGCAGTCTCTGCCACAGGGAAGGTTTAAACACAGTCAGGGGGACAAAAATAACATCTCCCTGGTGTGAGGGAGTTAGGGTAAGGAGGCTGTCCAAGGTCCCTGCAACTTTAAAGTTATCTTTCTATTTCCCAAAAGCCATGCTAGGTGTAATCCTCAATCAATACCAAAAAGCAGACATCATTATTTCCCCCATTTTAAAGATGAGGCACCCGACATTCACAGCAGGTCAGGAACTCACCCAAAGTCACATGGCCGGAAAGGGCAGAACCCACACGTGGACTCAGATTGGTCTACTTCCAAGGTCAGCTCCTAACTCTGCCTGCTCCTCCCCATGTACACACTTCTGCCTCCCTCGCTGACATTTCTGCAGCCATCCTCACACGTTGTGAGACTAGCTAACGACTAGGAGCTGACGATTAGGATCACCAGTTTATACAGGAGGAAACTGAGACTCAGAGGAGTTAAATGTCAGACCTAAAGCCACGCAGGTGGTAAGTGACAGAACTAGACCTCAATTCCAGGTCTGCCTTCTTGCTCCAGATGCCATGTTCCCTCTTTATATCACTGATTAACATCACTAACCAAAGGAAATGCTACTAAACATCATTTCGCCTTTTTCCTCTTCTCAAACACCCATCAGACAGAGATGCTACAAAAGCATACAGAATATATATTTTGTATAACAGAAAGTTTTTAAACATTCATATCCAAAACCAGTGAGTAATGGGAAGTAGAGCCTTGCTGGGAACCTCTGTTCTTCTCTCATAGGGGAGATGCCAAGGTGGGGTTAGAAAAATCTAGAAGGTGCCCAGATTCAGACCGCAGGCAAATGGCTATACCCTGTCGATTTGGGGAATTTGATTTACAAGGACCACATCTACTCATTTCATTCAGGCACACATATTAATATACTGCTTCATAAATATAAGATAACAAAACCAATTAAAGATACATTTATAAAGTTCTCTACTGCAATCTGTTGTGTGTCATCTTTAAGGTAAAAATACTTCATTTTAACAGTTCACCTACACAAAATTGTTTCACTAGTTTATAATAAACAGTAGCATGAAGGTAAGTCTGTAATCTTTGTGCAAGAAATTTCCCGTTCCAACTGCCAGAACAGGCTATCCTGTTTGTAGGCTCCATTATGGTCCCTGGGAATGCATCAAGAGAAATAACTGCCCCCTCACAGATAGGGACATGCTGATTAACTGCCACTCCTGACCATGAGGCCACTTGTGTTACAGGAATACTAAGAGTGTTGTTTCGCAAACTGCTCCAAGAATGCTATTGGAAGTCTGAAACACCATCACAGGCCATCAATAGTCCAGCAGTCTCCCAATTCGATTTGGACCATTTCCCACCCCAGCTGTATTTTTCATCTGCAGTCCTGCTGTTCTGAGAGGGCTCCATGAACCCCTGTGCTCCTAGATTGGCTAATCCACAGACACTCAGAGTTGCAAGGATCCTCCGGGCCAAGACTATCACTCGACAGCTGAGGGTTCCACCTCCCAGCCAAATGAACCAGCCTCAGCCACTGTACCGTCATTCTCTGCTTGGAGACCACCCTGAGGCTCCGCCGTACTCACTCCTCACCCTGCCCCCTCTGTAATCTTGGGCTCTTTATTCACCGCTACATTCTAGGCAAACCAAACTACTCACTATTCCTCAAACTCTCCTGGAGTTTTGTTGCTAACACTGAACTTCCTACCTGGAATGCACGGCCCAGTTCCAAATGCCCCCAGATGGCCCACTCTTAAAGATCCAGGCCAGATGCCACCTCCTCCCCAAGGTCTTCCTCCAGTCAGCCAGAAATGGCATCTCCTTGGGAGTTTCCACTGCATGTTGGATCTAAGGCCCAGCGCATTTCTACTCCTGCGTCAGTTACTGGTGTCTGGGGAATTTTTTCCTCTGCTCGAGATGGTTCTTGTTTGTCTCTACACCCTCAGTTTGTAGCGGAGTGTCTGGCACAAAAAACCTGCCCAGAAAATGTTTAAGGAATGAGGAGCCAAAGCCCAGGGAGGACGCGGTGGACGAGTTTTCCTAGCACATAAATCGTATTAACAGTCCTGAAGGCCAAAGTAATATCACCATCTGTATTTCCAAAATCTAATATTTTATAATAATAATCACTTGTAGTATTGTTCATATATGCTTCAGGGAGGATGGTAGGTTTAAAACGCCTTGGTAAGCAAGAACAGGTTTCTAGTCCGGTTCTGCCACTTAATAGCTGTGTGACTTGGGGAAGGAGTCCCTCATTCTCTGAGGACTCAGTTTCCCTATTCGTAAAAAGGAGGGGTTGGGGTTAGATTAGACGCTCTCTACTGATCCTTGGAGCTTTCCGACAGTTGGTTCAAACAAGGCTGTCTGGGAGCCTGAAGTCCTCCCTCCCTATCCCCCGCACACCTCACTCTTAAGCCCGGGTCGTCCTCCCCCACCGGCGGCAGCTGCGGGGCTCCTGGGGTCGCCCTCCTGTTAGCAGCCGCGGGCCGATTCCATCTGCTCCGGGGGAAGGTCAGGGCGGCAGCCACCGACACCGCTCAGAGCCGCCTGCAGCGCTAACGCCAGCCCACCGCGCGGGGACGCCCTGGACCCCGCCGCCGCCGCGCACGCTCGCGGCCCCCGCCCCCCGCCACGGCCGGGGACGGGTCCTCCCGCCCGTACACCGCCACCCCATCCCCGCACACACGCCGCACCCTCCTCACCCGAGGGGCCCCGACGCTACCCCTGCCCTTCGCGCGCACAGAGACACCCACCCTCCCAGCGGCTGAAGCGCAGCCCCAGCGCAGCAACTAACCAATCGCAGCCCTCCTGGCCGCTGGGACGCTCCTGCGTCAAACTTTCCTGGTACCAAGGGCTGTGCTAGGTGCTGCGATTATACGGTTAACTCGTCCTGTTGAGCCCAGAAATGTTCGTGTACGGTCATGAATACACACTATTCCCACTGGAAGTACGCCCCCTCCTAGCTCTACACAAATTCTTTTAAGGCGGCGGAACGGATGCTGGTCCCCGCGCCACAGGAAAGCATCTCAGTCTTTGTCTCTGCGAACGTGGGAGGAAGGAGTGGCCTTAAAAAACCTCCTTGCTTCCAACCACACACAAGCCTACACAATATGTGCTTGTGAGCCTGATTCATCGCCCAGGGCTGTGAGGACACATGTGGACCCCGCATCCCATAGGACCCCTCCCTGTCACGCACCTCCAGGCTAAGATCAACTTCGGTGGGAAGAGGGGAGGAAGGAGCTAGGAGAAAGGGACGGTGCGCCAGCCCTTGGACCCCCCAGCTATCAGTTTCCGCCTGTGGGAAATTTACCTGGCTGCAGATGGGGCCTTCATTAAAGTCAAGATTCTCTCAGGCAGCCTATTGCCCTCCCCACCTCCCCTGCCCTGCACCCCCAAAGACGGTCTAGTTCCAGACAGACTGGCAGAGCAAGTTCCTTATTCAGCGTGCCTTGGGAGCATGTGACAGAGCGGGGCCTAACTGCCTCTGTTTCAGGCCAGGTAGGCCAGCAGAGGCCTCCAGGAACACAGCCATGTGAGTTTAAAAATAAAACTGGGCATGAGGAGTATCCTTTTTCTCATTTCTAAATACGGAAGGCCGGGAATACTAACCAGCTAAGGAAGGAAGGCCTGGCGGACTGCTCCGTGAACTTTTTGGGGCTCTGCACAGGACTTCTTTTCAAACAAGTCATAACCTAGATTTTAACTCTGATGTAAATGGAATCTCAGCTAAAAGGTTTTTTTCCCCCCTACTGATTCAAAGGCCGAAATAGCTCACTAATTTTGTGTGTTTTGTCACAACGGGATAAGAACTACCTAAAGATGTGACTACCTTTATATAAGGATCAGGTTCTGTTACGTAGGTTAAAGCTGACTCTGAGCGCCATGAAACTGAGGGTCTGGCTTTGGCACCTTTGGAAACGCAGAGAATGGAGAAAGACATTGACAGCGTGCAAAATGTAGATATAATTATTGGCAAAGTGGAAACTAGAATGCTTGAGAGGCTGTAGCTTTGGTTTTCTGTGAGCTAATATTTTTCTTACATGTTCCCTATCTAATACATTTTTTAGAATTATAAACTGAATCAGATATGCCTTTCAGTACCCTTTTAATGTCTCAAAGAGAAAGCCGGAAACAGGTATTTGCTTTATGTTCCCCAACTATTTCAATTGAGTTATCACGGGAGGAAGTGGTTCGTGATTTTATACAAGAGAGTTATTGTGAGCATTTATAAAGCCGTCCTGCTTATGAGCTAAATTTATTATGTTTGCCAGGTTAATCTGTTTTCTCTAATCGGACACTTAATCATCCAGTCTCCCCTGCATTATGGATTCATGACTGTGAACTGAGGAGGGCTGCTCAGTCAGGGCAAGATGATAAATGATCTTTTCATTTTGAGGGGTCTTTGTGATTAAATGCATCATAATAGAATTAAAATGAAATAAATCTTGTAATTTTACTTCTAGATCCCTGCCAGGTAGAGATAAAATGCATTCGGTTAAGAGTAAACTCAATTTGATGCCCGAATGGAATTTGTAGGAGAAACAGAGAAAGCTCTGGAGTTCAGGAAGGCTCTGAGTTCTCCATTCATTTCTACACATTGGAGGGAGAGTTAATCACTTGGTGGGACTCTGTGGATGAGCGGCTCAGAATTAAAATTTCCATTTAGAAAGAATGTGGAATTAGCCTTGGGCAGTAAGAGCCAAAGTCTGTCTGAATCTAGGGTTGTAATCCTGGGCTCTCCAGAGCTGCACGTGGGATGCCATGGGAGCAGATGTTGGATTACAACGGAAGAACTGGTTCTCACGATTTTGGCTATTATACTAAGGGAAGCACCAGGTGATTGGCACTGTCAGTTGCTGCCCAGTTGGTTTGAAAGGCTTGAAAGATATTGAAATGACCATAATGGAGATGATTTAATTGTGCTTGTAAAATGAATAAAGTCCACGTACCAGGAAAAGCCCTGCAAGGTAACAAGAGTCATCATTTGCCTTTTTAACACATGGAGACTAAAACTGATTGGCTTGGGTGATGTTAGGGGGAGTCCTCAAAACAACCCTATGTTTTTGTGCATATTTTATTTATTTATTTGGTGAGAAAGAGTTGCCCTGAGCTAACATCACTGCCAATCCTCCTCTTATTTTGCTTAAGGAAGATTAGCTCTGAGCTGACATCTGTGCCAATCTTCCTCTACTTTGTATGTGGCACTCCTCCACATCATGGCTGATGAGTAGAGCAGGTCTGCACCCGGGATCCGAACCCGCGAACCCCAGGCCACCAAAGAAGAACGTGCAGAACGCTAACCACTTGGCCACGGGGCTGGCCCCCCTTTTGTGCATATTTTACAATTAGTAAAGTACTTTCCTATCCTTTGTCTCATTTGATCCTGACAATAAAGCTGTGTCTGCTCAGGTTCTGGCAGGTGTTCTGAGGCCTGAGATGTGGAGCTCCTCCCTCGGGGGGTCCGGGGGTTAGGACTAAAATCAGGCCTCTTTGTTGAGAGCTCTTCCTTCTCTCAGACTCCTTCTTTTATTAGGCAGTAAAAATACAGTCTTTCTTTTAGCTGAAGAAACCACAAGAACAAAAGACATACACAAATACAAAGTGAATGAGACCTAGCGCAAAAATGGTCTTTGGAAAGACCTTAACTGAGGTATTTGCCAAGATGATACAGAGCTTGCTGGCTCCACGAGCTTAGTAAGTGAGAGTTGAGACAGTCATTCAAATAGTTCCAACTCTGCCCCCCAAAATCCATGCTGTTATAGTCAAAGCTTCTTTCTTGCCTTGAATATCCGGGCGACATATCTGCTCAGATTGGACTTTGGTACAAACTGCTCAAGCCTCCCTTTCAGTCTGCTCTGTACGTTCTTTGTCAATATGACTGGAACCAGAAATCGGTTCCCTACAAATTCCTCATGTAGGGCGCCTTCAGGCTCTGTGCTGTCTCTGTGACTGCTGCGTCCCAGTGATCATGTGCATTTGAAATGACTAAGCTCGGTAAGGTAGGCAAGTGTATGGGGCAGTCCAGGGAAGAGGTGGAGAAAAGAGTGAGTTCGTGGAGCCCAGGTTAGAGGCGAGGAAACCTCTCAGCATGTAGCCAGGAAGGAAGGAAACGGGCATGCCTTCTAGAGAAGTTGCCTGCGTTCTGCCCTGGAAGAAGACAATGGAAAAGCCCTGGAGAGTGAGTCAGGAGTCTTGGGTTCTAATCTCATTTCTGCCACTTGCTAGCTGGGTGACACGGGCACACATTCCTTAAACGTTCTGAGCCTCAGTTATACACGTGTGAATTGGGAAAAGTAGTAACATAGCCTGCCATCTTCACAGATTTGTGAAAAGGTCTTTTAAGTATACAATAAGCTTAATATGTGTAAGAAAGACTAAATGCAAACTATGATTGGTTGATGGATATAATGCAAGGGTATCCTTGGAAGGGACACTATGTTTCACCATATTCAGGAAGAGAAATGGCTAAATATAGACAGAATATTCCTACTCCTACTTTCCCTATTAGCCACTTTCCATTTGAAATTCAGAGAAAGTTGTCTTATTTATTAATTGTAACATTTATGTAGCATAAATATCTGTCACTTAAAAGTGATACTGACAATGTCGTTAAGCCTTCACTCTTTTATTAGGCTAATAAATAAAAAGCACATCAGTAAAAAGAGGCCACAAATACAAGTGACTTCAGGAACTTTGCCCTAAGGGGAAGCCACACAATCCCTTTTGGAAAAGGTACTCCTGACTTGGTCCCCTATAAAATGCTAACTTTCTGCACACAATCTTAAAGCACAAGTGTCGACAGGACTCTTGGTGACAAGAAAAGCGATAGTAAATGTGCCTCAGCACTAAAATGCCCGTATCCATGGAAACCTGTGAAGTTCTGTAAGCACACAGGCACACGGCCTACAGTATTTATTGAAGGAAGGGCTGAGGCAGCGAGCGGGGTTATTGCTGAGAAAGCTGATGGATGACTGGGAGCTGCTCAGTACGGGCCTGGGTGTTTTTCCCCTGCAAAATGTGATTACAGAGAAATTCAGAAATCTCACACATTACAGAGAGAAACATGTTGTGTATTTACATGTGCTTATATCTCCCGGAATACAGTGAGTTAAGTCAGATTTCTATCAGAAAAAGCTTGAGAAACCATCGGCATTTCCCTCTCCCCTACATTGATTGGTAGGGACATTCAAATACTCTCTAGATTTTCCACGTGCGCAGATCCAGACATTTCTCGAATGCTGGGAGAGATTGCCACAAGTTTTTATCAAACGGATTATCCCTGGGAATTTAAATGTGTTCCTGGCCAGTGTTTCCTAATGTTTAATGGCTTTAAAGGTAAAGAGCATAATACATTGGAGGGAAAGAATCCTCTACGGATATCTGAAGAATTTGTATAGCCAAGGACCAATATTGCAATAAAATAAGCAACTAATGCTATTTGTAGAGGCATATTCACACAGTGCTCTATTTTTTTTTCTTTTTTTGAGGAAGATTAGCCCTGAGCTAACATCTGCCACCAATCCTCCTCTTTTTGCTGAGGAAGAGTGGCCCTGAAGTAACATCTGTACCCATCTTCCTCTACTTTGTATGTGGGACACC